GGATTACAATTTGCCGTTCATATTTCACGATATTATTTCCGACGAAATCAAGGAGTGACAAGACGAGATGTCGAAGTTCGAAGTCCCAACGTCCGAAATGTCAGCGCTGATCGTCCCGCGGAATCTCATTTGTCGCGTCTTTCGCGCGCCAGCACGGCCGAAACTCCGCGCTAAATCGAGAATATTCGCGTGTCGCGAAAATATCTATCCGAGATACTCCTCGGGAAACTGATATCGAGACTGATTTTTACGCGTTGCCGCGCACGGGATCCGACGGGAATATTAATCCGCGCGTAAGATCTGGCCGTCGTAGATCGTCGAGACGTCGTCTTCACTAAACGAAATCCTACTCTGGACGCGTGTGTGAAAATGAAGCCCCAAGTTCCTTCTACGTGTCCATCTCGTTTCATCTCGTTTCATTCTATTCATTTTTCGCGTTTATGTGTCCTCACATACGAAAATATGAGTATGAGAAACTTGGAATTAAAAGGACACATTTTCGAACGGCGTTCGCGTGCGAGCGAATAGGATCCGCGACACGCTCGGAAAACTCGGCGAAACAAGGGAAATCAATCCGTTTCGTCTGAGCGCGTGCCCATCCTCGCCGCCGTTTTCTCGATAGATTACACGCGATCGCTATCGCCGATATATACGTTGTTGCGCAAACGACACCGCTCCGTGATCAACGACGGTGGGAACGAACGACGGGATTTTGCTCCAGATTGCGACAGAGCGCGACTGCGAGCGGCGGCGACGGCGGCGGCGGCGACTCAGCGGCTGGGAAACTCGCCGAAATTCGACGTGCCTTGTCCGACGCGCGTTTTTCGCCGAGAAGGAAAGAGCGAAAGAGAGGAGAAGAAAGACGGGGGAATTTAATTGGTCGGGTCACGAAGTTCTCTTTCCTAAGATTACACGGATTACAAATCACCCGAAATCTCCGTAATTCGCTTGAAATTAAGTCGGGGGGGGGGGGAAATTAATACGGCGCGGCTTTCTGTTGTCCGTTTTCTCGTCTAAGACCTCGTCTAAAACCGAGCCGGAAGCAGCCTCGTTCTTGACCGTTAATTACAAAAACACTCGCAAATAAGATGCCTTTTTGCGCGGGACAAAAATGTTTAGCTGAATAAGCTAATTTTCTGAAATATGAGCGACTCGGAAATTCCAATTGAAAACAGCGGAATTTTGTGCTCAGGTTAACCAAAATTCTTAATAACGATATCGACTGAATTTCCCGATAACCTAAACCGAAACTTTGGAGTCGTCGTATTTCACCGGAAAATAATTTCCGGTTCGACCAAACATTTTTCTCCGCGTGCCCGGCAAAATCTATCGACTGAGAAATGCGCAGCGAAGGAAACACGTTGCTCCGATGCTTTCGGATTCTAGAGGAAGCTGACATCCGACCTAAGCTTTCCCGCTGAATATCGTGACCAATCCTGACGGCTGCATCGCGAACTGCATCAAGGAACTCGTCTACTTCGTGTCGTAACGCGCGCGCGCGCGCGCGCGCAGCCGAACCTCGCGTGCACTTTCGCGCGCGGCAGAAAGGCGCGATTTTTCAGGAAAGCCGACGAGGCTGTTCGTCGTCGTCGTCGTCGTGTTCGCTTCCTGCACTGTCGCAACTCGACCGTTGACGAGATGCGGCGTGTCGCAACCCGCGCGGAATTACGCTTTGTTCGCACGCCGCGAATACGCTCAGCCAGCGCCGTCGCGAGGTAAATCGCTTCTTGACACGAATGCATCCCGAAGCGCTTCAAGCTTGGCTTTTTCTCGAAAGCCTCTTGTGGCTTGTGAAAAAGGGAAGAATCTGCCTGATACGCGTCGCAGACCGCGGACGCGTCAAAAGTTGGACGGATTGGACCGACTCGAATTCGCCAAAATGTGTCTGATGACTTTGGAGACATTTGTATTATTTTGCTTTCTAAATTCGCGTGTGTATTAAATGCGGGTAGATACACGTTGAAAATTTAAACAGTCAAATATTTAAAAAGTCACAAAAAAGGTACGCGAGTCATTGGTACTTTCGGCTCGATTGACGAAATTTCACGTCACGCTCAAAATATTTGCGACGCAAGATTCGGTACTCTGAGTGCGCCGAAATTTCACGTTGCTCTGTAAACCTCGTCGGTGCTGCTTCGAAAAGCAGCAGCGGCATGCCGGCTCGAAGAAAGTCGGAAAGTGACTAAGCGAATAAAAGGGGGGCGAGTAATCGCGCTGCGTCCGCGACTTCCGCAATGTCGAATCGGCGGACCGTATCGCGCTGCGCGCGCGAGCGCGCGACACGAACCGATTCGACGCGATCGACATTGATTTCTGCGGATCTCTGTGTCGTGCATCCTTGTCGAGTCGCGGAGAATCCGGCGGGAGGAGGGAGGGGGAGGGGGAGGGGGAGTTGATGCAGCAAGTTACGATATATATACGCGGTTATTGATCTCACGGATCTCAGACGGGAATAACGTTGCGATGCAACGGAGAGCGCTCGACTTGTATGTATTACTTATGAATAAACGACGGGAAACGGCGTAGCTTCTTTTTTACCTCCGACACGACGCTCGACGCGTTGCGTCGCGTCGCATCGCGTCGGCGCGCCGTAAGCAATTAAAAACAAAATTACCGTCGGCTCTGAGGCTAGAATCGGCGCGTTACGATGCCGTGTAACAGCGCGATCACGTTTCGTCAGCGTTCATCCGTGTCCGCGATGACGCGCGGATCCGAGCGCAAAAGAACACCGCGAGGAGCCGCTTCTTCAAGAGCCGTTACGAGCCGAGCGAACTTTCCGTTCGCTCGTTGGCGAAAAAAAAGCGGAGAAAACACCGACCGTCGGCGGCCGATGTTCCGTTAAATCGCGCGCCGACAGTGACGACGACGACGACGACGACGACGACGACGACGACGACGTGCGCGGACGGAACGAGCGGATTTCGATCTTTTTCTACGGCGCGACGACGCTCGCTCGGAGTTCGCTCGCTCGTCGCGCTTATGACACAACACGGTAGAGCTTGCCGTAGGAAAAGTAAAGTAAGGCCAGTGCTATAATAGAAACTTTCACTACGGAGGTTCAACGTACCGAGCGCCGACTCTCACTGGCCGTTCTCACTGCTCGCTCGAGCATCTGACACACACATACCGGGTGTCTCCGTATCTCCCTATCTCTCTATCTACTTCTCTTTCCTTCTCTCTTTTGATCGCCCGTTGCGTCGCTGAGATTTTCCGCGCTCCCTCCTAGCCGCGATCAATTAGGAGACGATATCTGCATCGCCGTTGTTTCGCGCGCGAATGACGCGCGAACGACGCGTCGTCATCGCGTAACGAACGTCACGGAGAAACGCTCTAACGTGGCCGTGCGCGCGCGACGGTTCCTTCTTCCGCGGCGGAAGTTAATGGAAACGAACGTCATTGCCGCGCTCGTTGTTGATAGCAAGTCGTGCGCTTTCCTACGCGCGGATAACGCGCTTCTGTCCCGGGCACCGAGTAATCAGAGCTCGGGAGAGATAACGCGAGATACCGAGAAGGTGCATCCGCACAGGTGAACGACCTTTGGCTTCTTGTTGATACGATGCCGAATATAAAATCGCACGCACGGCTACGCTTTTATATCGATTCGTATCTGAACAATACGGTCGCGATTGCGATTGCGATTGGCCTTGCTGCAAGAGAGATTAGTTCGAAGCTCCCTCGACGAGAATCTCATCGGTCAGCACTGTCATTCTGTAGAATGCTTCATTCTTTTCGATCAATGTGAGACGCAGCAGCCGTTTTTTTTTCGCACCGTTGAACAAGCGCTCTCAGGATACTTCGATCCTGATAAAGATAACGATAATAACATTTCCGTCCGGTCAAAATAGAGCAGAGCAGGAAGAAAGAGAGCCGAGAGTTGTCTCACGGTATTTCTGTGAAGCGGCCATTCGCAGATGCATCTATCTAACATCAGGCTTCGCGGAAGTGGAGAGCCGCTCGTCTGTCAGCGCGAAAAAGAAAGCTGGACAAACGAGATTGAGATTGGATTCTGACAGGCTGTTGGCTGCTGGCTCGGTCGGGAGCAGCTGGCCACATTGTGTGTCGACGGCACCAAGTGATCATCTGACCCCTTAAGTAGCGAATTGAGTCGTCGATATGCCGCTGATACGCCGACAGCGCGTGAAACGTCCGCGAAAAGGAGCCGCGACGGAGCAACCCGCGCGCGCGCGCGCGCGTCTTCGGGTCGCATAAAATCGAGAAACGAAACGCTTCCGCGCGGGTATCTGGTCGACCTCGGCTGAGCCCCGGCCAGCCAAGACAAACACCATTCAATCCGCGAGATCGCGCGGTTTAATTCCGCGGCTTAATTTCGCGGTAATACTTTCGGCGGGCCAATGTCGCGAGCGCGCGAAGCGTCCTCGCCGAAAATACCGTCGCGAGATCTCTCGCGCGGCCGGAGGAGTCTGCGGTCGCGGCTCGAAGGAAGACGTCGCGCGACGTGTCTCGCGCGCGTCGCCGTTATCCCAGATAGCGTTTTAATCTGTTAACGCACGTGTTAATGTGTCAACGTAACCGTGCCGCCGACGGCGGCGGCGGCGCCGCATACCAGACCGCGTTCGTCATTGCAGCGCGCGCGCGCGCGCGCGCGTTGGCGAATTGGCGTTAACTTGCTTGAACTTCGCTAAGAAAACGAGCCTTGACGCGTATCGATACGGCGACCCCCTTTTTCTTCCGCCGATAGTGTATTTTTAAGGCCTGCTAACAAGGAGGGAGACTCTCCGCGCGGAGGCTCTTCGCTTAGATAAAGCGCTAATTTATCTTTCGCGTAACGGTGCAGGCTGATAACACGAGCGTTACGTTTCGTTCTACACACGGGCGACTTGCCGCAATACCTGTAATGTAGCCGCCGCACGGAATGTAAAACGCGATGTGCAACAGGCGTGGGGAATAAAGAGCGATCTCGCCAAAGCGCGTACAAGTCATAACGTGATAACACACATGACGAGGGACAAAGATAAAAATGAAACGCGGAAGTCACTTACCCGTGATGGCCGTAGAACAGAAGAGAAGAGAGCCGCGCGACTCGTGGAATCCCCTTCGCCTTCATCAAAATTCGCTTTCTGGGGTCCTCTCTTGCCGCGACGGCTGTGTCCTCAGCGTGTGTGCGCGCGCGCGCGCGCGATTACTGCAATCGTGAAATTCGATTATACAGCACGTCGTGCAGGGACCAATGGTGAGGCGTATTACACCGCGACGAGAAGCGCGAGACAGACGGAGGGTGGGCGAGAGGGTGAGGAGGAGGAGAAGAGGACTATCGTGTCTAGGAGATACGACGAAGCGGGCGCACAGGCACCGAAAGTGGGGGGAGTTGTAGACCTAGGATGTCATGGCGTGGGAGAGTCACTTTCACCGTCCGCGAACCTCGTGGCGGTAATATCTGAAACGCGCCGCGGAAAATCAAACATCCCATTTCGCGAGGCTTACGACGCGACGATTCCTCAGCGAGTAATACATACGTGCTCCGCGGGCTCGTCGCTCATTGCGTGTTTATCTTCCGCTGGATGTTTATCTTTTTTCGGACAGCGCCGAGCCGACCGGCTCGCGCCGGACGGCCGCGGGTGACCTTAGCGAGCGACCGCGACCACATGCGTCGTCGCTCGGAATATATTACTATTGAATTTTGCACGTGACAATCTCGCACACTCGCCCACCCAGGAGTAAATTGAGATTTTTCCGCGCGCGCGTCGGACACACGAAGAAACGATATTTCATGACGATACATTTTCTTTGTATAGTACGTATATTGCGCAATGTTGCACAATTTAGATTGTTCACGCGAGTCCTTGCCGCGTATATCTTGACGCACACGATCAACAGTTTATTGAGCATTTAATTATGAAAGAGACGCAGTTTGTTTCAGAATTTAATCGCGTAACTGTGTAACGTTATAATTTCGTATTCAATAAATTAGTCGGATCGCCGATTCATGACGATATTATTGACAGTTTATGCAGTAGAAAGTTGTAACCTTTCGAGCGAGAATTATAAACACGGTATGAATTAAAAACCGCGCGTGAAAGGTATTGGTAAACGTAGAATTCCGTTGGGACGCAATACAAACGTAAACTCCCGTTTACGATCGTCGTTTATGACGACAATCTCAAAATATATTAATGAGCTGTTTGTCAATGAGTCGTATCTTAATGCACAAGTTTTTCTTCGAGAAAGGTAAGATATTAAGATATTAAAATGTAATCGATATCTCTCGTTATAACTCAGGTTAGTCCCAATGTCATAATGATGATCGAACGGTACTTTGCTCCATATTCTTTTGCATTGATAACGCTAGAAAAGCATCACATGTATAATCAAATTGTCAACATCTCAGAGACTATGCCAAAACATATCGAAACGTCGTTCGCACAAGAACGTTATGTAAAAAAAAAAAAAAAAAGAAAGGAAAAAAGAACCCGCCTCTCGCAAACACCCCGCGACTAGAGCGTCTGCTCTAAAACGAGGCGACACGAAGAAGCGCCGCGTAATAGAGCAAATAGCAGCGAGTGTGTGCGAAAACTCGAAAAAGCTCGCCCGAGATAGACGAGCTTGCGTTGGCTTTGAGCTCGCCGCCGCGTGCACTCTGCACTCGCGCTAGCGCACGCACGCACGCACGCACGCATACAACGTCGAACGCGGCGGCGGCCTCTCTCAAGAGGAGACCGTCGTAGTAGGTTAGTGCATTGGCTGCACTTTCCGTCTCGCTGGATGTGTGCGTGTGTGCATGTGCACATGCATGCGTGTGCCGTGGCGGACTCACTCACTCACTCACTCACTCGCTCACTCGCTCACTCTCTCTCTCTCTCTCTCTCTCTCTCTCTCACTCTCTCTCTTCCTCGCGCGCGCGAGAGCGGCCGTATGCATGCATTGATTACGCAAGAATAGCGGCGTGTGTGAGACTGCTGACCCACATACGGCAGGGAGCAAGGACCCCGCGCTGGCTGCACCAGCCACGTATATACTCGTCTATCTATACACATGGCCGGCCGGCCGAGCGAGCGAGCGAGCGAGCGAGCGCGCACATGCGTGCTTACCTCCTCGAAGCATGGATGCGCTTTGCCGCCTCTCGCCAGCACTCACGTGTGCCATCTAGCGTCGCACGGCGCACACGCTCGCCCACGTGGCCGCACGCGGCTCATTAAGCGCCGTTCACACCAGCCGCCCGCGCACCCGCTCCGTGATTCACATTTGTACCGCGTGGGTACGAAATTATCCGCGAAATAGCAATCGGTAATTTCGCACGAGGCAACGGAGATAATTTTGCAGTGAATAGCTGCATTTTATGCAACGTCAGCGTTGATAAGTGTGTCGGAGATGACAAGCGTTTCTTCTTTTTTTTTTCTTTTTTTTCGTCGCGGAGAGCACGCGACACGAGTTTTCATCTCGGATACACTTTTGATTGAAATTCCCTCCTCTATAGCAAGAGAGTCCTTTTTATTAACTCAGCTGTGCCCCGATCGAATCCACTTGACCCATTTCCGCTTTTAAGGTGCAGTCACTTTGTAGATATCGCTCCCACTCAACAGTTTCGACTTAACCTTGTTAATTTTTCATCTTTAAATAGTTCCTCCGGCGGAAAGGCGGGGAGAGAGAGAGAGAGAGAGAGAGAGAGAGAGAGAGAGAGAGATGCATGAAATAATTGAACAGCCGATATAGATCGATGTACGTTTAAGATAGAAGAACCTCACTTATAGCAGCGTGTATGCAATAATGACCTGTGCATAACACGCGGCAAATAATCTGGCACATGATATATGGCCGACAGTGTTAATTAAACACGCAGCCTGGCCGTAAGTATAGTTGCTTCTTGCGAGCAGATAGACCAAGAGAGCCGGCGCGTATAGTAGTAGCAGCAGCAGCAGCTCTCTGCAAGAAGTTTCAGCCCGGCACGCTGAAGTAAACAACTTTCGAAATAGAGACAGACAATGTGTTATAGAATATTAATGTCGCTCGGATTAGTTGAACGAAGTTTGCGCGCGCTGAAAACAAATAGAAAGCTTCGCGCAAGTGCGTCTTTGCTGCTTTGATGAACTCTCTCTCTCTCTTCCCCCAGCACCCTCGTCGTGACAACAACCACCTCGCGATCCACTATTCCGCGACAACGTCGCTGCGCGTCATCGATCGGGATTTGCACAGTCGCGGAGATGTCGCGTGCGAGAAAGAAAAACATCGCGCGCACACTCCCGCTGGTCGATTTTTCTCCCCAAAGAGACGAACAGACAAATAAGATACCTCCGGATACCGCGGATATTCCTCGTTACATTTGCCGCGCTCGAAAGACCGACGAACGTAACGTTACGGAGGAGCAAAATAGGAGAGACATGCCGCGAGAAGGAGGAGGGCAGACGATACGAGGAAATTAGAGGAGACCTATCAGTCTGTGTGCGAGATTACTCGGCCGCAACAATGCCGGTGGCGCGCGTTTCTCAGAAAGAAGAGAACGTCGGCGAGCGCGACGCGGCGAGGCATAAAAATCCGCGGCGATTGACGCGCGCATCATCGCCCTTATTAAAACGACCCCGTCGGTCAGGTCGACGCAGTCGTAAAACAGCTTAGACGACCTGATCTCTTTCCGACTTGCCCGCGCCGCCGACCGGCGCAATTGTCCGTCCGTCCGCTCGCGATAAAACGCGCGATTTGTTATTATCGCCCGTCGTCGCATTATTAAAATGACCCCCGCAGCACCCGCGGTCGTCTCAGGCCAGACTTAGTCTCGACTAGAACGAGGCGAATCCCGCGCTCGTGCAACTCGTCGTAAGCCGATCTCGGCGGCCGGAGGCTCGCCGCCGACGTGCTTATGGGGGTCGTCGAGGGTGGCCGTCTTTAATTGTTCCATCGCGACGCGGCCTCCGCGAGGATCCTGGGAAACGCGAGAATCGCTCGCGCTGCGCTGCGCTCGTCAGCTTCGCACCGCGCCGAACGACGCACACGTCGTTGTGCGATCGATCCAATTGTACGCTATTGTCGGCGCTAAAGCGGGGTTAATGGCGAACGCATGGCTCGCCGTTAAGTACGAACTTTCACGTTCTCCCAACCCGGCAGCCGGCAGATTGAGCGCAGGTGCATCGAAGGGAATCCTTAAAAAGCGCCGAGTGAGGAGGGATGGCGGAATTTCGCGGGAAATGCGATTTTGGGCGTGCTCGATTCGGCGTCCGAAGCGAATGAACGATATCGGTTTCCCTTGTCGTTTCATCGCCATGTTGGGCGAAGGCAAACTTTTAGACCGAGAGGGATGATATTCACAGGGTTGAGGAAGTCGGTACCCGAAGCCTACGAGAGACGTTGGAAATTAGCAGGTTCTTGTATATAGAAAAAAGCCCTCGAGTGAAATCTCGGGAGATACGCTCGGCGTGAGCGTAAAAATCGAGCGCACGCGACGCGGAAATGCGAATTGACTCAACGCCAAAACCGCCAAAGCCACAAAGTGGTGAAAAAATGTGCGGTTTGCAATTCCTGACGAAAATTGCTCAAACTTATATTAACACTGCGTTTTACACTTTTGCGGAAGTTGAATAAAACTGAGAAAAATGGACAAACAATTTTACGCCTGTGCATAACTGTGTATTTTTCCCAAAACACTGTCGCGCCGGTAGAAACAATACCGTCGCGGTAACGTCGCCGGTAATTCTAGCGTTAAGGGGCGAAGCGATCCCGTGGGCGGGACAAGTGAATCGGTTTCGAACTTGGAATCGCACTCGCCTCTCGCCTCGCGAAAAACGGAGCTGACACTGATCCCCTTTGTTTCTTCTGCTTTCAGGAATTATGACCCTTACGCGCAGCCCGTGTGAGCTAGACAACATGAGCTTGTTTCAAAACCTCAAGTTGAAAAGGGGAAAGGTCGACTCCCGATGTAGTAGCGACGGTAAGAATGTACCCCGGCCGCATCGTACATCATCATCATCATCATCATCGCTCCAGAGTCCAACGCGCGTAGAATTAACACTTCGTTAGCGTGCGCAGGAAGTGGCCGGACGTAACGAGTTTTTCCGCCCCGGGTCCGTCCCGTTATTAGAGCGATCCCCCTCGCGCGTTCGCAACGTCGTGTAACATCGTCATCGCGATTATTTACTCACCTCGTTCGTAACCGCTTCATTCGATTCCACCGCGATACCGCCGACTCGTCCGAGTACGTTCCCTCCGACCCGAGCACCTCGCGGTATCTACGTCGCGGTAACCGCCTCGCGACGAAAGACACGCGCGCGCGAAGAAGACGCGCGACCAGGAACTGATGAAGACGCCGGAGAGATCGTCGTTGGCGAGATTGAGTGTATCTCCGGTATCTCGGCACACAGCCGACCGAACGCTGTCGACGCAATCACGCCGCCGGCTGAGATCGTATATCATCGTCGAGCGAATTATGATGCACGTCGGCCGGTCTCTCTTCACACTGAGAGAGGATTACGCGGAACGAGCCCGGTGGCGAAACGTTCGCGTACTTAACCGTATTCGTAATAACGGAATCTCCGCTGCACGCGCAACACTAATTTTTTTTCGTCGGTCGCGGGAGCTAATCACCGAGCGAACAAGAGAGTCGGTGGTTACTAGAGATGTGCGAATCAAGAATTTTTATGTCGAATCGCGATCGAATGAAATCGAATTGAATCATAAAAAAATTTAACATGACCATTAAACATGCAGATCATGATGGAAGATTTTAATATGAAAGGAATATTGACATTGTAATATCATCTTACAGTAAAATATATATTTAAATATTTAAAGTTAATTTATAATTAAGTTATTAATTATAAATTAAGTTAATTATAAGTTAAGGGTTCAAACATACAGGCCTAGATAGCTCGTCTTGTAGCTGATGCGCGCAAACGCTAATGTATCTGACTCGAATTACACTAGATTCGATTCGAATTCGAATAGTTCGCACATCTCCAGTGGTTACTGACGATACGATTAGTCCCGCCCGCTTCGTCGAAATCGAGTCGGGTCGAAGATTCTCCGAATTTTGATTACCGCGAAAATTGTCTCTCTATCTACCTCTCTCTCCCTCTCTTTTTTTTTCTCTCGACACTTGGTCAATTTTCCACGAACGACCAACCGAGTCAAAGCTGCGTCTCCGTTAAATAAAGATTCCACACCGCGCTCGCAGCGAAAAGGAGAAAAAAAGTCTATAGGCCGCGAGTTATAATCGATCATCGTGTAGCTGGCAATCTGCTCGCACACGCGGACCGCATCGCGGCGTATTTGCATATCGCACGTGACCCGCGAGCGTGTGACTCTCTTCGCGGGGTCACACAAGCGCACGTTGCGGTGTCTTCAATGGCTCCGACCCTTCGTCACAAGCATCGGCCACCATTCACGCTCTTCATTCAGCCTCTGCCATGCAGCGCGCTTGCGTTCATCTCGCTCCTCGGCCGTTCCGCGTGTTGCTTCTCGTTCGCTGCTCTCTCCCTGCCCCACCAGCCCTCCTCTTCGTTCTCTTTCCTCCGCGACTTCCATCATTCAAACAACAACGACGGCGACGACGACGACGACGATGACGACGACGACGACGACACGGCGCTACACGTCGCGATGCAGCTACGCGCTCTCGCCGCCTTCCTTATTGCGTCTTCGTGGCAGCTTTCGAGTGATTGACGGGGCGGCGGCAGCGGCAGGAAGAAGGGACGCCAGATTGTTGGCGGCACGGGGGCAGAGGTTGTGAGACGTGGGTGGCGTAGCGGCAGAGTCACCGGCTCGGGGGAAGCTAAGTCCAAGAGAGACAGCGAGAGGGGGGGACCCAGCGGAGGGTGGGAGGTCGGGATAGTTGCTGCCGGCGGTGCAGGGTTGAATATCAACCCACGCGGTCGTCCCGGACGTGCACCGGTGCTAGTTCGACTTCGCCTGAACCCGCGGTAACCACGCGGTAGAGCATCGCGCGCGCGAGCGAGCGCGCGCGCGCGCGAATGAGACGAAGAAGGGTTGTGTGCGATCGCGCACGTGATCAGTCGGTCAGCGATTGACACGGACATCGAGAGGGTGGTCGGGAGGACACGCCAGAGGGACCAAACTGCAACGTAGATAGACCAGTCGCGAGCTGGTCGACGACGCGTGAGCAGGGATCAACGACGACGACGATGACGACGTCGCGGTGAAATCTCGCGCGCGCCGCCGGCCGCTCTGCACAAACCGGGCTGCATCGATTTTTCGACGCGCTCTCGAGCACACGCGGCCGATACCAATGACCCTCGACGTGCCGGCGGTTTAAAGGTCAGAGACTGCCGCGCGGCGATTCGGCTTCGCGACGTGACGCGACCGCGTGTGTCGCGCAGAAAGCGTGTTGCCGCATCGTGCAGATTGCCGAGGAACGATCAGCTGGCAGAGGGACGCAGGGAGAGTGAAAACGAACGCGATTTCAACGCGTCTCCAGAGTGACTGCTCGATCTTGCGGCGACACGTCCGCACGTGTAAAAATCGACGGACGCGTATTCCGCTTCGCCGACGAGAACGCACGCTTCGCTCGGCGACGTCGTGATCCGCGATACCGCGGAATCATTGATCTTCCTTGGCGCCCACCGCTGCCGTCACCTCCACCACCTCCGCCTCCGCCTTCGCCTTCGCCTTCGCCGCCGCCGCCGCCGCCGCCGCTACACGTGAACCAACGTCACACAGTTCAACGAGTGTGCGACGCAATTACTCCAGGAACGCCGCCGTGAGAGGCGTTCGCGGATGTACGTCGCGGGATGACGATCGTACCCGTGCCGACGACAACGCGCGAGCGGTCGATACGCGATCGATACGGCCGCTCACTCTCGAAGGCTTCCCGCGGCGTGACAGATCGGAATAACGTGTTTGTATCGCGCGATCGTGCAACACTTTCCGCCATGTGCCGCGAGTAAATTACCGGCGATCGGGATACACTCGTAAGAGGATCGCGTCACCGGGGACTGCGAGGAGGGAGACGGCTGAGCAAAGCGTCTTTGCACCACTGGCTCTGCGACTCGCTGTGGTCCGCTGTGATTTTTGCCCGTGGCCAGCAAGGAAGTAGTGACGTTCCTGCTTTAGTCAGGCGAGCCGTCCGGTCGCGCCGCGCGAGCGACGAACTTTCTCGAGAACGGCGCGGCGCATCGCGGAACGATACTGGGGGGATACACCGAAAGTGCTTGCGTCGTGATTATTATGATTGCACAATTATGCGATGATTGCAATATTCATCTTTCGAGGCGAACAGATACGGCATGAGATCTCTCGAAAGTGTTCACGTCAATTTTCATCTGGGGCTACCCACGATCGCTCGCTCGCGACTCGCGTTTCCGCGAGTGTTTGGCGCGTTGTGTTCCAAACAGCACGGCGTATCATATCCGAAAGTCTGATTCTGTCTCTTCATATGTCCAATCGCGATCGGCGAGTAGAAATCAACGAGCGATATATCGCGAGGTTGAACACGATCGAGCGACTTTTTTTTGCTACGACTTACGCGGACACGCAGGTGAACGGAAGACGCGACGTTCTCTGCGACATCGAAGACAATCCGCGGAGACACGCGTAGTCAAGCAAGAGAAGCGAGAGGAGAAGGAACATTGAGAAGGAAGAGAAAGACAGATTTATCGTTATATTCCATAATTCGCGCGCCGCACAAGTTGCGCAAGTGTGTTAATGATTAACGACTCGTCGTATAAATGTGGAACTGTACGAGATTAAAAAAAGGACGAACGGAGCAAAATGTTCCCCACGGGAAGTAACGTCTCGATTGCCACTAATCTCCAGTGGGGCCGTGAAGACTGGAGGAACTCGTCGAATATGGATCTAACGGCTCTTTACGGGATGCAGCAGCGAAGTCTCCTGCCCTACTTGTCCGCGTATCACCCTTACAATAGCTTCCCGATGGCGTCTTACCAGAGCTACTTCCACTTCCGGCACTACTTTCGATCGCAGCTCACGCTCGATCCCTATTTCGCCCTCAATTATCACGAATGCTTGGACGCGAAGGACTTGTACGCGTCGCTTTTCGGTAAACATTGTCATTTACTATCTCGAGCATTACACACGCCTACGCTCGCGGTCGCAGACGCGGAATGTGTGCTGTCGTGGTTTTTTTTCCTCTTTTGTTAGTTTCTTCGACCACAGATCCTTCGGTAAATCCAGTCGAACTCTTACTACCAGCCGCTCTCGTAAGTCAACTTCCGAAAAAGGAAAAAGCAAGATTGAAAGGTCTCACGACTTTTCCGCTTCGCATCCTTTTAACGATATTCCAGTTTGCAGTAAGCTTCGAGAGCGGGAATCGCGCTAAAGTCCACTTTAAACTAATTAGAGGATGTTCCGTTATCCAGCCGCTTTTCCTGCCTTAAAGCTTAATAACGCTCTTCGCGTTCTATCGCTTATTAATTTAAAGTCCGCTCGCGCATACCACTCGACCTTTTTACACCGAGGAAAAGCCGATTCCGAATTAGTTAAGGAATCCGAGCGTCTGGAAAAGAGACGCCGAGTGAAAGGCGAACAGCGAAAGTGGCGCCCGCGTCTTGCATAAGCCCGCGCGATATGTAACTGCATTATGCCGTCGCCGGCGACTATTTCTCAGGCGGGCGCCCGCGCGCCGAGGAGAAAAATTCGGCTATCATCGCCGAGCATCAATACGCTCGTTAGATCGCGCGATGGATACGCGCGTTTATTATCTTTAGCGGCTTCGCGCTCCATTGTTGCGCGTTAGTCGCACGTCACTCACGCGTCATCGCGGAGCATTGACATTACCGCGGCCGGTCGCGGCGGAGCGCGATACACACGAGTACTTCGCGGTTGTACGTATGCGCGCGATTGCACGCACGAAGGGTACAATCGACCGGAGGAGGCCACACGTCGCGAGCTCGTTCGACGATCCGCGAGAGGCCAGATAGCCCAAATGCCCAAAGTTCCCCGCCGAATCCACGACGCGAGACGCTCAGACGCTCCGCGAATGAATAATTCGCGCTCGGCTAACGTTCACGGCGATCGACCCTATTAATAGCTCGGCTACCGGCTAAGTACCCGCAATCACAGCCCGGCCTTGTCAACTACATTCCTTCCTTGACCTACACGAGCGGCCGTAGGTACCACATCCTTTTCACGAGAGCCGACAGCACTCCGAGAGCTGTCGACTGTTACACCTTTGTGCCGCGCTGCGCGATTTTTATCCCGTCCGAGAGGCGGTGCGACTTATTCCACTTGCTCGCGGAGAAGCGTCTCGTCCTTCCCTCATGCTCTAAGAGCTCGACTCGAGCGGACTCGGGAATTCAGATTTCTGCGCGTCCCGCGCGTGATCTCCACTTTTCGTCGCGTCGCGCGCGAGGGAGGAAAGTTGAATGCTAAACGAACGACTGAGTTTCGGATTCCAGAAAGCGCTTGGATATTTTGAATGTATCTGGTCTTTTGTAACCTCGCGCGCGAAAAGAGAGTGATTCTGTGATAAATGTTGAATTATTGTTCAATGAATGGTACTGAATAATCATTTCATCGTATTACGTAGATTGCACCGAATAATTAAGCGATATTTTAAATCATCCTTAAACAAGTGTATGTAATAATAATTCTATAGTAATTGGATATCAATGTATAAAATGTGAAACGTGATACTCTATGTGGGCGATTATAGCAAGGTTACCCCGCGTTGTTACCTTGTCGCACCTTTCTGCACCGCGCAGCGCGTGCACGATAAGAACGCGTCCGGAGCAAACGGGCTCTCTAATGGCTCTTCCCTTAACGCAATTACAAGGTACCGCCGTAATTTCTCCATTACGGGGATGCGCACAACGCTTTCCACTGTTGAGAAAAAACTTTCTCCCTTCGTCACTTTCTTCCTTCGCCAAGCAAGACACGCGCGTGGCGATCTGCGCTCTTTGAAACATTTCCCCCTCGCCGTCTCGGTCATTGTCATGAAATCTTTGTATTACACTTTGTACATCAGATACCTTCGCGTCGATCTCCTTACTCGCGTGTCACGTGTATGCAATTTATACGGTATGTCATCGTTGCCCAATCGACCCGCGATCCTCGTACCCGATGTACCCCCCGAACTTCGGCCGTGCGAAAAGGCAACGCGCGCGAGATAATTAAGTCGTAAATAAACGCGAAACAATAACGAGCGCGAGTCGACAGATTTATCGAAGCCGCGGCGCGGGGAATGAGATATGCCTTCGAAAGTTCGCCAATTCTTTCCGCTAAAGGCCGCGAGATCGGTGGGGAAGGGAGAGACTAAGGGGGGATGGGGGGCGTCACGATAAAAATAGAAGATCTCTAATACGAACACGTCCGGAGATCATTTTATACAAAATGCACACGGTGCGATGGAACTTTTAAACGTAATATTGACACGAAATCTCGTGGCCGTTCCTGAATGCACGGCGCCTTTCGTACACGAAAGGTCTGGATATTCGAGGGAATGATTGTTTCCCAACCAACAAGAGAGCCGCGAGAGATCGGGCGATTCGCGCTCTCCGACAAATGTTCTCTTATATAGCGCGATAAAATGCGCCGAAGTAAAACGGATAGCGTGTTTATCGCACAGGTATAACTTCAAGTAGTATCCTCCACACACACACACAGAGAGAGAGAGAGAGAGAGAGAGAGAGAGAGAGAGAGAGAGAGATAGTGCACAGCGGACGTGGGATTTCATGGACGTGTAGAGACGTCGGATTGATCACGTCTCGCGTATCGGAATCTATTACGAGAGGCGCTATTTTTATTGCAAATCTCTGTTTTAACCGATACGTACACAACGCGGCATTGATTGCGCAATAATGAGCAGGATGCTTATCGGAATTGACATAATCAGATGTAATGCGCTCGGAAGCTTGTCGTCGATACCGTTCGCGATTGCTACGACCTGCGATGAACGAAAATGAAACGAAGGGCCGACTGGGTGTTTTCTCAGTCTGTGTATGAGAGGGAGAGAGATGCACAATATTTCAGTATCAAATTATTAAATTAGAAAGTGTCAATGGTATTCTTTCCCGACTCTGCTTTCGAGGAGCGACGATTATTTTGCATGTTAATTTCATCCGGCCGACCCGACAAACTAACGGCGAGACGGTACTTAATGCGTCGATGCGGAACGCCGAGTGGGACGCGGGACGTTTTTTCAGAGAGCAGAAACCTACATTACGTCACATGGCTAATCATTATAGTTTCATCCTTATTCTCAGAGTCGCGCCTTGCGCTGCCGATTCGTACCAGACATGATCGCAACATCGACGACACGTAATGAATTTCCCACAATTTCCCGACGATTTGCTCATCTCCTCCAGGCCATCTGGACTTTCTGATCCTCCCGCAAGCCTTCTCTCTTCCCTCCCGTCGGTTTCCCTCTGAACGCGTACGGGAATTACGATCACACGCGCATCTCCCGTGTTCAAGCTCGAGCGTGCCCGACCGAGGGCTGAAAGGAAAGAATAACTCGCGGAGTACTCTGTACACCGAGTATAAACGTGAGACCAACGCCTTATTTCTCAGACTCCCCGGTATCCCTCGGATCAGAAGGCTCGCCACTCGGGAACCAGCCGGCGGACGCACCTTCACCCATAAACTTTCCTGCTCCAGGGGAGAGCATGGCCGACACCTCGACCCTGTCGCCGGAAGCGAACACGCCGAGCTCGCCGGGCTGCCCTATGGTCACAGTGAAAAGCGAGTACCTGCTGGGCAGCCCGAGTCCGGGGACACCGCGAGGAGACTCTCTCCGTGGTGCTGGCAGCGGCGGCAGCGGCGGCGGCAGCGGCGGCGGCGGCGGCGGCGGCGGCGGCGGCGGTAGCGGTGCTGGCGGAGGAAGCGGCCAAGAAGGTCGCGACGCGACGTGTTCAGACCGCGCATCGCCCGACTCGGTCTTCCCGGACGCCAGCCCTATGCTGAGCTTCAGGGTCGTCGACGAGCCACAGCAGCAGCAACAGCAGCAACAACCGCAGCAGCAACCGCAGCAGCAACATCACCATCAGCAGCCGCAACCGCAGCATCAGCAGCAACGTTCCGCAACACCCGCACCAGCCAGATCGTCACCCTACTCTCCGGTTCAAGCGGTCTCGTCGACTCCGATGGGTCAAGAAGCCACCTCGAGGAGCGATAGCCCGGATAAGGGCGATTTGTCGTCCGCGCAGACCAAGGAAGAGTCCGATAACTCGGTATTCGACGGAGGTGGAGGCGGCGGCGGCGGCGGCGGCGGCGGCGGCGGTGGCGGTGGCGGTGGCGGTAGCGGTCGCTCGGAAGCCTCCAGCCAACCTAGTCACCGGAACAGCCCGTCGTCGCAGTTCAACCCGAGCCAGAGCGTCAGTCCGGGTGGTGGGACCGCGCACGGGCCGCAACAACAAGCGCCGCAGACCTCGCCGACGCTGACGAGGCCGCGCGCACCCTCGGTGCCGCCGCACCTGTTGGCGCACCATCATCAGTTCTGGTCGCAGAATACCGGTATGCAAGGATTCGCCACGCAGAGGCTACTCAACGGCGTCATCAGCAGCGTCGGCTACGGCCAGAACGCCACCGCCGTCTCCACGAGCAGCGGTACCAGCACCAGCGGGAACGTCGCCAGCTGTGTCACCACCGGTGCTACCACCACAGCAACGTGTGAGTATCATGCCATGATGTCTGCTATTTGAGAAACTCCTCTTTCAGGCAGTTGGATCAATTTTGAGAGAGACGTTCCCATCGTACCTAACGACCGTGTCTAAGTTCGATCGTTCGATTGTTAGTCTCGATTGGACATTTCGCGGTTCAGCTCAACTCAAAATCCGAACAAACCCGACTCCGACCCGAGACTTTAGGTTCCTTCTACCCACGACCTTCCTACTCGTGTGCGTATCTTTTCGGGACGATCGAGCGACCAGCGTGAATAACGCTTATCATCCGCCTGTGCTTGCAGGCGAAGGGATGAAACCACCGGCGCAGAGAGCAGCGCCGGCACCACCGCGGCCCCCGCCTACAGTGATAATGGGCGAGATCGGCGGCGTCCGGACAATGATATGGTCGGCGCCGCTGGACCCGGTACCGCCGCCTGCAGCGTCGTGGACGACGACCGCGGCGGCAGCGGCATCGTGCTCCTCGTCGGAGGAGTCTGCCGCCCAGCTGCTGCTGAACCTCGGCCAAGAGTCCCGGGGTAAACCGCCCACCTCGTCGGTGTCGTACTCGTCCGGACCACCGCTCAACATGGAGAGGCTATGGGCCGGCGATCTCACACAGCTGCCAGCCGCTCAACAGATGCAGGCGCTGAATCTGACCGCCTCTGGTTCCGGCCAGCCGTGGGTGAGCAACGGTGGGGTCGTCAAGTCCGAGGCGGCCTCGCAATCTATATCGATAGCGCCGCCGGCGCCGCCGTTGCCGCCCCAGGAGCACGAGGAGGACGAGACGCCGATGATTTGCATGATCTGCGAGGACAAGGCGACCGGCCTGCACTACGGTATCATCACGTGCGAAGGGTGAGTGATGTCTCGTGTTTGCGTGATATCGTGGTACCGTTTCATGGCTCGTTTCGTCGCGACCGCCAGGTCTGTTTTAATGTTGCTTATTTTTTGTTGTTGACCATTTTTTCATTATTGTTTCTCTTATCGGCCAGAAACTCATCCTCAGTAATGGAGTATCTGAGAGTCTTGGTGCAAATTTAAAGAATGTTTCTCCACTTATTTTTCCATATAATTCCGGTATAATTTGGAAATACAGTCTTGAAGTATAATTTGAAATTTTACGATTACACTCTTGCGCCCGGCCGATTCGAGGAATTGACAAATTTACAAAAATGTTGCGAAATGATCTGATGATAACGCAAAATAACAACGCTTGATGATTCCATTAAGAACGACCGATAAATTGCTTTCCCCGAGGCCATTTATTTTTCCCGGAGCTCCCGGTGGCGGAGCTCGGAACAGCGGAAATTCACGCGAATATTTCACAACTATTTACTCGCACGTGCGGGCGAAGATGCATCTCACGATTAGATTCACGAGTCAATGTGAAGCCCACGCACGTTTCATTTCTGACGAATATGCTTTATTCGCGTTGGCGATGGGCGTACGCACGTGTAATACGACCGAGTCGCGCTAATGAGATCGGTTAATTGCGATTCAAACTCGTGCATGTGTAGCCAAGGCGCCTTTCGAGCGGCGCATTACAACCCGAAGAACCGACCGATTCGCTTAATTAGAGTTAATTATACAGAAGCTACCTGCGGAGAGTACAGCCACACTTGGTCGCAAACGCATGTAACCTGCCGCGACCTCCAACCTTTGTCAATTACATATTCGCGCTCAACTGTGCTCCGCAGTTGCACGTTAAATATTTCGAATATGCTGTCCATTCACGTTGTACGTTTTATTTTTCCGATCTATCGGTATTACGTATTTTATTTCTCCGGGCTCTATTTCAGTTATCTCGTATTTTAAACCGAACGGTCGAATGGTATAAAAAGGAAATGCTCTCTTTTCCCCGTCAGCATACTACAAATGTTTTATAACGCAGCTTGATGACGTTATAAAAATTTGCCGTTCAATTTTTGTAGAATGTACTTTTATAAATATCAAGTGATAAAATTAAGAAGCTTTCTTGTATATATCCAGATTTTCATTATCCATGTGTTTGTTCTAAAGATCTCGTTAATAATAACCGCATTCAACATTCAGCGGTCGCTGGAAGAGAGCATTTCGTCAAAGTATATTAGTTTCCGCGCAAGCACCTTTGCGTACTTTGTAACGAGATTAAAAATTAACCGAGCTAATTCCATAGTTGCCGGTGAGCTGTCCTCGCGCATCCTAGCGATATCAACACGACGCGAGAGGTACTTGTTGCGTCCCGATTACGTTTCCCTAGACTTCTCGAGCGACACTTTTGATTAGTCCGTGAAATTACCACCGGGTATCGTTATACTTCCTCGCGACACTCGCGCCAGCGTCCTTGTCCAACTTTCTCGTTGTCTCGAGCGAGCGAGCGAGCGCGGGTGGATTAGACGGGAAAAGTCCGCGACAAGTCCCCCCCCCTCCCCCGGTTCCCACTCACGATACTCGTAACCCCGCGCGAATGAATTCTTGATTCAACCCTCGTACCCTACGGGGAGAAGTGCTTCCCAAGATAAACAGTCCTATCGATAAAACCAAAGCCGACACGCGCTTCGCTAAAGTTGCAACGATAACGGTTATCCATGGCCGCTCGCACGCAAGCTCCGACAGCGATCTCGAAGATCGTCTAAGGCATCTGGATTTTGATATTTACTTTTTCTCTTATTTCTCGATAACTTCGAACGATGTGTGAGGGCCGGAAAACTTGAAGTTTTCTTCGTCATCAGAGTCAAACGCGCTGAATGTTGCAACTGCTTGCGGTTTCTTATAAATCGAGGGAATTGGATGAATTTTTCAAAAACTCGGAATAGAAGTCGAAAGTTTATAAAACTTTCAATAGAAAGAAAAAACCTTTCTCTCTCTCTGGAGTTACGTTCTTCCTTAATGTTGCGCAATTCGTTTTTATTACCCTACAACCGCGAATCACATCGCGCGCGCGACCTGCGAAGTTGGCGAGTGAAACGCGATAGTGAAACTTTTTAACCGTAAACTAACCTAAAGCTCGTCGATCGTGAGTTACGAGGGTTCGATCGATCTGTTCGCAGGTGCAAAGGGTTCTTCAAGAGGACTGTACAAAATAGGCGGGTGTACACGTGTGTAGCGGAGGGCGGCTGCGAGATCACGAAGGCGCAGAGGAACAGGTGTCAGTATTGCCGATTCAAGAAGTGCATCGAACAGGGTATGGTCCTGCAGGCGGTTCGGGAGGACCGGATGCCTGGGGGCAGGAATTCCGGTGCAGTGTACAACCTCTACAAGGTACGCGTCAGGCGGAAATCAGGCGATCGAACGTGCCGCTCTTCCGCTCCGCGACGTAACGCTCGCGCAAGTTCGTGTTAACTTGTTGCGCGTAAACGACGTAAACACGTGTAATCTCTTGCGAATTAAATCTTCAGTTCGTTCGAACGTTGATCGTCCACCGTAATCCCGCTAATTATATATCAGCGGGTGATTACATTAATATCCTGTTGTTAGCAACGCTATGAGAGCGGAAAACGCTGGATTCGACCGCGGGAATGAAGAACTTTCCGATACGCCTGCTCCGATTTTATCGATTCACCCGCGCGTATTAGCGCCATTATTCCCGATGTTATTTGCATTTGTGTTTTGCGAATGCCCGGTGATATGCGTGTACGTATGTGAAAATGCGCACATGTTACAAATATCCGAATGCGCGTCACGATAATGAGAAGTAGACGACTAGGAATAATGTAACATTCAGTCGCAAAACTCGACGAAATAATTCGCCTCCAATTTGCGAATGTAATCACTTGTCGAGCATTTCGACGGAAAATCATGAGATTTCGGATGATTTTAATGTTTAATTTTCCCCTCTAGTCTCGAGGGGACGAAAAGCAAGGGAAAATCTCATAGACGAATCCGCGCTCGCGCGCGTTTCTATACATTTTTCGTATACATTTTCTTCCCCGAAGATCACTCACGTATCGTATTATACCTCCACCGCAGGTGGAGGAAGAGAAAAGAAAACGTCACGCGAGAACATGCCCGGGCAAGTCGACGAAGCGGTAAAATGTCAAGTGGTTAGCGCGAAGTGAAGTGTCCGTGTTGGCTGGCTCTGGCCGGAAGTCGGTCGCGGCGTCGAGCCGCGCGTTTGATCGATGTGAAAGGTCGCCTGTTGATTGACCGCAGGTGAAGTACAAGAAGCACAAAAAGAGTAACAAGGCGGGTGGCGTCGGTGGCGGCATGGGAGGCGGTATGGGTGGCGGCGGCAATGTCGGTGGTGTGAACGGGTCGGGTTCTTTGGCTGGCAGCAAGGGCACCATGGCTTCGACCATGTTGGACAAACACATGGCCGCGGCCGCGGCGGCTCATCACAGTCAGCAACAGCAGCAGCAGCAGCAGCAGCAGCAGCAGCAGCAGCAGCAGCAGCAGCAACAGCAGCAGCAGCAGCAGCATGCGCAGCTCGCCGGCAGCTTCCTTCACCATCACAAAATCTCGTCGGGCGATCCGCTCAACTCGCAACCCACCCCTAGCCACCCGAGTCACCCCGCGCACACGGGCCACCTCGTCAACGGGACGATCCTGAAGACGGCGCTCACCAATCCCTCCGAAGTGAGTACTCGATTCTTCACACCGTCGATCGACGATTCTTTCCGTTTTCGTTCGTCGTCGAGATTTTCTGTTGGAAAACTCGGGCGAATCTCGCTCATCTTCGATGTCGGACATTTTATGTGTTCTTTTAAGCGGAAGTGAAAATTCACGATAACGTCCGCTTGCGGACTCAGATATATGAGACTGGTGCCGTTCTCGAGAAAATTCTCGGAACTGCGATGATTGGTCGATTGTATCTTTAATTGAAAGAAAGATACATTTTTCAAATCGATCGAATGAGAGTCCGATCCGCCGAGTGAAAATAAAGAGCAAATGATACGATTGCTGTCGCCCGTATCATCCCAAGAAGACTCTCCGAGCACTCTCGCGGCTCTCCGGCGGAATTGCGAAGTGGCACCGTTACGCCGCGGCCGCGGCGCAGCATCCGCGAGAGCGAAGAGAAATATTCATTCGACGCATTCACTTGGAATGATTTATCCCCGACGATCGCCGGGACTGAGCCGTGCGAATTCTCGCCTTCGGCGCGAGAGCGCTTCGCCAAAGCGGATCGCGCGAGGCAATCCATCTCTCTCGCCTTCTTCCGCGTGCCTCGCGAAACCGAGGCTCTCGCGCGTCTCTCAGAGAACTAGTTTCGTTGCAACAGCGCATAACAGCTTTTACTCATTTCCCCTAATTATCCGTGCGTTACGCAAGACACGCCGCGGCAAGCGAGCGTCATCACCGCCCCCGTCGCCGTCGCCGTCGCCGTCGCCGTCATTGTCGTCGTGCTGATCGTCGTTGTGTCGTCGACGTAATGCAGATTAATCTCGGTCGCGGGACGTGCACGTATACCCGCCGTCGCCGAAGAGCGTGATGTGCGTGAGATATTCGCGGAAACTTTCTAAAAGCCGGCCTGCGATCGCGGCGCGATTATGTGATCCGAAAGTCCATCATTCATCTGTGTATGAGAGGAGGAGGAGGAGGAGGAGGAGGAGGAGGAGGAGGAGGAGGAGGAGGAGGAGGAGGAGGAGGAGGAAGAGAAGGAGCAGGGGAGCAAAGAGAGTAGGAGACGCCTGTTCTTTTTGCGTGGCCGTTTCGCTCGCGGCCGACGACGGCGGCGGGGTACATGTAGATCAACGGCTCCTCACGGCTTCGACCCTTTTCACGGATCCCTCTCGCTCGCCGGAGCAATCGGCAATTTACGTGATTTATACGGCATAGCCCCGGTTAGAAATCGAGCGTGGGTCAACACCAAAGTTGACTCCTCGCCGCGGTCGCCGGCAAGCAGGGGGATCCGCCACTCTGACGAGAACGTCCGCAGGCATCTTCGCTTTCACTTTCGAGGCAGCTGCACGCGGCAGCAGCGCCGGTGAGATCGCTCGAAATCCTCGCCACGATGATCGCCACGTCTTTCGTCCCGGCGATCGAAGGATCGAGCGATCAAGACTCGTTTCTTTGTGTGCCGCTACTTGTTCAGTCGTTTTTTTCTTTTTTTTTTTTTTTAATATCCTTTAGTATCAAACGTCTTCGTTTAACCGTCGAGGAAGTCGTGAGAATTCCTAGATTTCTCGCGTTTATTATCCGTTATCTTTTTTTCCATTCTGCAATCTAGTTTCCTATCGCGAAACGTGCGTCGCGCTCGATCGTGGTTTGCACGCGATACCGATATCATATCCTCGCCTGGGAAAATAGAGATCGGACCAGTTCGATGAAGTCAGAATTGCATCATCGATATCTGCGAATCTATGACGGCGAAGAACCTGTTGCGATCGCGCGTAGGAATCTCGGATTAATCATGATGGAGCGTGCCGTTTACCGAGTACTTTGCGCTTTACCGAGTGCGCCTCAGAAAAGGGACTGATGATAGATTGTACGCGATAGTCGCCAATTAAATGGTTCTCCAGAGATCCTACCGGTCTTGTCGCCTTTCAATGGCGAAGCGGAAAATATGCAATTAATGCGTCTCACACAGACGCGTTATCGATAAATCGGTGGAAACGGCGGTCTTCTAGAGGCTTTAAGGACCAAAGAGGAGACATATTCATGAGAATTTTAACAAAAATCTTACGTCACATACGTTCTTCTGAGAAGCGGAAATTAATGTCGAGCGAGGAGAAAGAATTTATAATTATTCGTGCAGAAGAAGCATGCGTAAATTTATGTTGATGCATAAACTCGTCCACGGCTAATTAACTTGCTCTTACGTCGTCGAATAATGAAATTCTCCGGATAAATGCTTTAATTGGGTGACTAGGCGCTCGCGGCTTCGTCGTTAAGCGAAGAATTTGTGACTTTTGGCGAGACGACGTCTCGAATATTGCACGAAAATACCGAATTCGGTGTGTGTCGGTCGGTTTCCCTCGCGCCGATCCTGAAATGAATGAACTCCTCGTTGCAATTTCACTTTCTTACGACTCGGCTTGCGCAAGTCTCAAGGTTTCCCACATTACGAAAGCCGATAGATAGAACGAGCGCGTAGCTCGTTCGCGCGAGAGTCGACCGATCGTCGTTGACGTCGTTGTCGTTGTCGTTGTCGCCATTATCATCGTCGTCGTCGTCGTCAATGCTCCTCGAGTGACACGAGATCACGTTGCGTATCTCGTCAAATTATACATCTTTACAGAATAATGCCGTATATCGCAGTATCGCGTAATTTCAGGGGACAGGGGAGAAACGTAAGCGAAGATTTTTCTAAAGACGCTCGACAAAGACTTGCTACTTTTTTCTAGAGTTTCCTGATGTAACGTTACAGCAGTTACGCAATAACGATTAATTTCGCTAATGTAATTATACGAAGAGATCGTTCACGCGAGGGGGGTGATCTCGCTGACAATTTAAAATGAAAACAAAATGAGGCACAATTTGCCCCTCTCGATATCCTACGATCGGAATATCTGAATTGCGAAGACCGTGTCCCAAATTTCTCGAGCAACACGCGGCCGCCGGCGCGGCGGCGGGAGCAACCGAAAAATATGTCTCGTGTTGGATGAGCAAACGGAGGAACTGCCCGAGATCGCGCGCGAATGGCCCGGTAGAGGCCATTGCCAAAAGTGAAACCGATGCCGTGAAAACCGGATAAATATTGGCCGCGGCCGACGGTGCTCCATTAAGGAGGTCACTTTCGAGCCGCGCGCGGCCGAGTCATCGTACGTGAGATGCACGAGAGACAAACATTCATCCTCGAAGCGGATACTTCGCGAAGGGATAAGAGAAGTCACGAATTCGAAGACAGGATCGCTTTCTTCACAAGGAGGGAGAAAGAGAAAAGATATATTTTCGGCCTTTTCGGCCGCGAAAGTAACGCGGTGATCGCTCGGTCGAATGGATAATCAATTTCATCAAAGGCCGACGAGAGAGGCGCGCGTTCGCGATGCGTCCGCTACTCGATGGTTATTTATTTCGCAACATCGTTGCGAGAGATAAATTTTCCCTGCGACAAATCTACGATAAATAGAAACGTGATTCTCTCAGATCCCTGGATATCGTCAACGACCCGTCGCGGTCCGTCCGCACAAATTCGGATGTCTGTTCCTCTGAAAGGGAGAAGATATCTCTTTGCACCGGTACAGCGTCGTCACACCGATCACTGAACGTCGTTCGTCATCGTCATCCGCCGCTGCGTGGAAACGTCCGCGTCGTGGCGAACACCCGACGAACGTAGGGACAATAGAAAATCAGCGGCAGCCGGTGCCAAGGACGGGCAGTTCTCCGGCGGTTTCGTAACTCGTGAAAGTCTGCACGGGGGACAGTGACCTCACCCTCCCTCCCGCGCTTCCTCCTCCTCCTTCTCCTCTTTCCAGCCACCTCCTGTGTGTATCTCCTTCTCCTCCCGCATCGCGCTCCCGCACCTTCCTCGTCGCGCGCCTTCGACTACGAAACGCGTCCCACGGTTCTCTCCACGATCGTCGCGTGGACCTTAAAGGTATCCGACGAAGCGACCAGCTTTCCCCGAAGTCGGCCAGAAATCGAGTCGACGAGTTGCCTCTTTCTGTCCCTATCTCCCTCCCTCTCTCTCTCTCTCTCTCTCTCTCTCTCTCTCTCTCTCTCTCTCTCTCTCTCTCTCTCTCTCTCTCTCTCTCTCTCTCTCTCTCTCTCTCGTCTTTCTCTGTCCCTTCCGTACACTCCGTGCCCGCGAATACCCGACCCCGAGGAAGTGTTTCGAGGTCCGAAAGGTCAGTGAAAGGCTATGCCTGCCGGGGCCTTACGTAGGAAACCAACAACACGCGGCCGCCGAACTCCGCGGCGATTGCGCGCACGACGACGGCTGGAATGTGCCGGCGGAATCGTAATTATCGCTTGGATCTATTCACCTAGTCGGCGATGACTTTTCCGCGGCGTCGAAAACTCGTAAGCTCGAAAGCCCGACGTCGGGTAACGAGCGCAACAAGGGGAACTGACTTGGAAAATAAACAGTTCGAGAAGGTACTCGAGCATCTTCGATTTTGCGAATGATGTGCGAATATATGCTGAATAATCGAGATCTAAATGTAAAATACACAATGTATACGAACATTCGCGAGCGTATATGTGTGTAAAGCAGCGTGAGATATGTACCTTGCAGGAAAACGCGAAGCGATATGTGTCGCGTTGATGGAAGGCCTCGCGGAGGAAAATGGATGTCTTGTGTTCACGAGGGAAATAATGCGTGTTTCAGGTTGTGCATTTGCGGCCAAGGCTAGACAATGCAGTAAGCAGTTCGAGGGATCGAGCCTTTCCTCTGGACGCGACCCTAACCATGATCCAAACCCTCATAGACTGCGACGAGTTTCAAGATATCGCCACACTGAGGGTACGTCAATTCTATACTTCTTCTTACTACCGTAAAGCATACATTACGTTACGTATCAATAAAATTCGGCTCCTTCAAAGAGCGACAGCGTTTAAGTATTAAAATGTATTTTGTCGCAAAGCAAGTGTCCCGACCACGACGCGGAAGAGCGCCTGTTTCTCATCGGTTGATGCAACTAGCGATCATTTATTCCTCTAAAGTAATCTCTTTTCTCGCTAATATGTATATTTCTCTCTCTCTCTCTCTCTCTCTCTCTCTCTCTCTCTCTCTCTCTCTGTCTGTCTCGGTAAAATATTTCTTAATTAAGAAGTTAAATATATACGGTGACACGTTTCGCGGCGGTTAATCTCCGAGTGAACCGTCTCCCGCCAAGATTGAACGTGAACATTACTCGTGTTACAGAACTTGGACGAGCTGCTGGACCATAACTCAGACTTAAGTGAGAAGCTGTGTCAGATAGGAGACAGTATAGTGTACAAGTTGGTGCAGTGGACCAAAAGGTTACCGTTTTACCTTGAGCTGCCAGTTGAAGTTCACACGAGGCTGCTCACCCACAAGTGGCATGAACTCCTCGTGCTGACCACGTCTGCTTACCAAGCGATGCATGGTCAGCACAGGTTCACCAGTGTCGGAACCGACGAGACGGGTGCGGAGTTTATGCAGGAAGTGAGTATCTTCGTTACAATTCTTAGATACACGTGCATCAGAAACATGACGCGCAATAATACACTTTCATCAAATTGCATTACTCGACACACCTTCTAGTTGTGCAAATAATAAATTCTTCTTGTCGCTTATGCTGAGAGATGACAAATCCATAGGAGAACCAATCAAGATTAATTAAGAAATCATAGATTATGTCGAGTGATGCAACGAATGTTTCAACAATTCGTACATATGCTTATTTTGAACGAGCATTTTCTTCAAACGCGATCTTCAAAGTCAGTTTTCACATCGCGATATATATTCGCTGATCAATCTTTTTCACCAGTTTACGAATGCGTCATGTGTTTTCAAAGTCGCAATGTACGAAAATACATCTTCCGCTCAAAGATTAAGCAGGCAGAATGTATCCGAATCCAGTACTAGTAGAATTTTTCACGACCAGGTATCGAACAACATGTATACGTTGCAAACGTGCCTAACCAGCATGATGGGTCGATCGATAACCATGGACCAATTACGGCAAGACGTAGGGGTCATGGTGGAAAAGATCACGTATGTCACGCTAATGTTCAGGCGGGTGAGGCTACGGATGGAGGAATACGTCTGTCTAAAAGTAATCACTATGCTCTCACAAGGTAAGTACTTTCACTGAACGCGACGTGCCGACCTGAGAGCGCAATTCCGTTGTTCGCACTGACTCTGTTATTATCGCGTCATTTAACTTCCTCGATTACATGACACGACATTATAATATAATCTAACGTATCTTCTTCCCAACGCTGCAATTGGAGACGCGAAATGTAAGTCCAAGATACTTTCTACGAGCGCTCACGCGCACGTTTCATTTTCTCATGCGTAGGAAATCTCTACCGTGGGTTTTTTCTTCTTTTAAATTGTAAATTGTAATTTAGCTCTCTCCCTCTTGTTTTTGAGACGAGTTATTCTCTGGACGAGAAATCTCGAACTATTAGAAGGAATTAAGAACGAGCATACAATTTCCACGTACTGCGGCTATCACGATTCTACATAACTCGAATTTCGTCTTGAATTTCGCGAAACGGTTGCTGCAAAATGTATCGAATATACGTTTCAACTAATCTCGTTTGTCTGCCCTAGCACGAGGAGGTACAACGGAATTAGAACAGATACAAGAACGTTATATGAATTGTCTACGAAGTTTTGTCGAGCACAGCGCACCTCAGCAGCCGACTCGATTTCACGAACTTCTCATCAGATTGCCCGAGGTTAGTTAAAAGGGGTGTGCTTTAAAGATTTTCGTAGCATGCTATGTATCTCGAAGAGATTCTTTAAGCTGACGTTAAATCAACCAATCGAGATCACTTATTCCACGAATTTGGACAAAAGACAAATTAATCTACCTAATGATAATTAATAGAATTGATTTTATCGAATGTTTAATTAGGTCGGAGAGAAAGAACGTTTAACATTTACTTTTCCGACGGTCATTTTGATCGCGATTGTTCTCTTTCCGTGCTAAATACAAAAGCTATCGTAAATGTTGCCGTTTAAGCGGAATCCGTCTGTTTCCTAAATTGCAGGTGCAATCGGCGGCGGCTCTACTACTCGAGAGTAAAATGTTCTACGTTCCTTTCCTATTGAACTCAGCAATTCAAAGATAGTAATTAAACAAAATGACGATAAACGAAGCTGAATACCTATATACATACTATACATATATATAAATATATACACACAGAAAAAAGAGTAAGAGAACCGAACAAACAGACAACAGCAAATGACAAACGAACCGAGAAAAACGGAAAAATAGAGCCCGTGAAAAAGTAAGAGAGAAAAAGAGAGTGAGGACTCGAGCCGAATGGGGAAAGGCTTTGTTTGTGTATGTATAATAACTATATAAAAGTATATATATATATATACATATAAATAATATAAATAATATAAATGTGTATGTTCGTTACATTGTACAAACGAAAGAAGGCGGAAAGGGAAAGGAAGGATCGTTCAGGCGGGCGAAGAATTAAAAGGAATGAAAAGAGCAGTGGACGATAAAAAGTAACCACGTTGGAAACAGCGAAAGACGAGAAAATAAAGAGAGAAAGAGAGAGAGAGAGAGAGAGAGAGAGAGAGAAAGAGAGAGAGAGAGAGAGAGAGAGAGAGAGAGAGAGAGAGAGAGAGAGAGAGGAAGAGGGGAGGAGGAAAGAAAAAAAGCTGAACGATTTAAATAGAATATTAAAGAAAGAGTATAAGAATTATAGAGAGTGAAAGAGCGAGAGAAAGAGAGAGAGAGAGAGAGAGAGTGTGAGAGAGAGAGAGCGAGATTGAAAGCGAGAGAGGGAGAGAAAGGGAGAGAGAGAAAGAAAGCGCGCCACCTCGAGATGGGGAATCAATCGAGGAGGGAACTGAACTTTTTTATCGAAACTAAAAGACTATAATAATATATTTCTATACGCAAAGTACCGCGCGTCATTGTGTGTTCACATTGCATAATCCGATCGATAATAAGACTCTCGTTACGTACCGCTCACCGTAGGCCACCTACTACTACTACCATCACTACTACTACTACCACCACTACTACTACTACCACTACTACTACCACTACTACTGCTACTACTACTACTATTACTACTACTACTATTACTACTACTACTACTACTACTACTACTACTACTACTACTACTACTACTACTATTACAGCTACTACTACCGCCACTTTCTACTACTACTACTACCGCTCTCGAAGCTAAAAACAGCAGCGCAGCAGCAGCAGCAGCCGCAGCAGAAGAAGAAGACACCACGAAACGACTGACTGAAGAGGATCAATAAGCCCGGATCGATCGATCGACGATCGACGACGCGTCATCGTTATCTCGGCGTCAACGATGGATCGTCTCACCGTCGAGTCATCACAAACTACGACCAAACGTATCGACGCGCGTCTACGTACACATGTATACACATACACACACATGACACACACGCGCGCACACACACACACACACACGCGTGCGCGCGCGCATACACTGACAACATAAACAAGAGACCTCTTCAGCAAACGCCTGCCTTCGTCACGACGTATCGACGTGATCCTCTTCTCGCGATTGTCATTCGCCACCACGTGCGAAACGTAACGACGCGCGTGAAGAGTGCAACGCTACCGCAGTTACCAGCCCTCTTCCCCGACATCACGGCGCATCTGCACATCGTTGTTGGCGATCGATTGTGAGTCTTCAGGGTATCGATCGCACACAATCCCGCCGTCAGGAATAGAGAAGACAACGGAGTGCAAGTTTCCATGTCCGAGTCGCTGAAGTCGCGATTACTTTCGGCGCGAAACATACGGTGAGATTCGACCGAAAGACTCGAAATCGTGACATTCGCGACAGTCGGATGCTGAAGATGGAGAGGGGCACTCGATCGATGTCCGGATAACAAACGCGAGGTGACCGCGAGAAGAGGAGCCACGAGGAAATGGAACTGTACGTAAAAACCGATCGTCCTTAACACGACTTACGGCGACTCGTATATACTCGGTGTCTTGTTCACACGGTCGAACCCTGCACGCATTCGCGAATGCGAATATTTATTTCGTGCGTATTACGTCACGATGGTTCAGCATCGAGTCTTCGTCAATGTCATCGTCTTCGTCGTCGTCATCGTTACTGTCGTCGTCGTCGTCATTGTCGTCGTCGTTGTCGTCGTCGCCGTCTCCGTCGCTACTCAACACTCCGAAAGATAGTCCAAGCGCGCAACGTAAAAGACTACAACACTCTATTATAATATGTCCGTTCGTTCACATTTGCATCTTCGACGCGATCTTTGCCGCGTAAATATCGATCACCGACTCTAGAATTTCGCGGCGCATGTTCTCCGAACGATTTTCGATCTTCCATTTACTCTTTGAGGTTGCTCGCACTCCTATTCAGCTTTCTTACATGTACAAAATAATTCCCATATAAAGTGAAAATTCGCAAGTTTGATTCTAATTGTTATGTTATAAAAAATGAGAATATGTTTTAAAAACGTATTTTAAACATGTTTTGAAAAAGTACGCTTTAAGAACATGACGAGTCTCATTACTAATAGTTGTCTTAAAAGTGTTCATAAAATTAATCTGCCATTTTTTATTATATATATGATTATATATAATTATGATATTTAACGTAAGAATTAAGATATTTTATATTAAATTATTTAATTGTAATATTCGAACTGCAAACAGTCTCTAAAAGAGTCCTTGATCTTTTTCCTCTCTTTTATTTGAAGAAATTTTGCTATACGAATCGAAAGTCTGTTTTCACGTGAAATTGATTAATTAACGTTAAAATAACGAATTAACGTTAAATACCTTCGCAACATGTTTCATATATGAAACAAATATTTTGGAACATTGATCGCTTATCACACGAGATTTGTTACATTGGTTCGATATTCACTGATGAATTGTTCGTTTCCATCAGTACGTAGTGAATGAAACAATAGCATTTTGTTGTTTTGTTTCAATTTTTTTTCTCTTGCCAATTGTTACCATGAAAAATGTCCAGAAAAGAAAAATGGAAAATTGAATTGTTCGCAGCACACGCGTCGTTTGCGTTTCTCCAATAATTGCGATTTAATCACAAAGTATGCGACGAGTTCTCTCATATTATTCCTTACTGAAGCGACACTTTCATAGCATCACATGTGTAAAAACACGTGTATACACGGAAACGAAACGCTATACGAACACCGGTATCCCGCTGTCGTGTAGAATTCCGCGAAATTTTGTTTGAATTCATTACTCGGGTAACTGTGTAAAGTACGATATATAAAAAAAAAAGAGAAAGAAAAAATCGATCCTCGCGTCCCATTTTTTACCAAACAAAATATATATCTATATGCTGCTTATATACATGTGTGTGTATGTGTGTGTCCATACTGACCGATCGTAATAATCGAGCATCTCGCGGGATTGGGATACCGGTTTGTTGTTCGGGAGTGGTTTGTTCATTGTTAATTAAGGAAGCATCACGGAGTTGCGAAAAGCGAGGTGAGGGGAAAGCGGTGGCTGACACCAGTCGATACGTCGTTCGTGTCTTGGAAAATATTGCTCCTTGTATACGCATGTAACGATTATTCCGCGCACGTTTGTCGACGTGATCGTTTCATCTTGCCTCCATAGAAGATATCGTAAATACACGCTAATCGCCCGAGAGACAAGCTCGCGACCACGAGGACGACTGGGAAAGCGCATTTTTATCCCGTCCCAAACACGTTTTAACCCTATTCCATCTTTTATTTTTCGTGATCCCGCTCAAATTCTACACTAACTCTAATTTTAATCGCGGATCGATTAAAGAGTTTATTCTCGGCTCGTCTGCAAATCCATATTTTTAGAAAATGAAAGGCGAAACATGAATATGTTATTAAGCTTGTAACATACATTTTTAAAGCTATATAATCAGTAATATTCATTTCTTTAAATATGGATTTCAAACGATTCAGAGAAATAATAGGTTCTTCAATTTCTCTTTTGATATTGAAATTTTTCCTAAATACTTCTATATTCGAAAATAAAAAGTAACAGAACAAACGATTAAACTATATCATGTAGTCAATCAAAGGACTATACGAAATTAAATTGAAAACAATTCAAAATAATATTCAAAGCTTTTTCTCACTTGAGACAATCTCGTTCTTAATGAATTTGCAGTAGGATAAACATGTTGGTTATAACTTAAGTGTAATGTACTTTTGCCGTTTTGTGTTCACATTTCAATTCTTTTTAAGGAATTTTAACATCTGCATGTTAAATTTTTAAAATGTGCAAATAATTGTAATGGTAATAGCAATTCATAAAAACAACATTGATTTTTTTGTGGATAAGCAAATTTTTCTGTTTCTGAAATTCAACCCGCAGAACTTTTATAAAAGAAGATCCGATAAATTTCGATAATTCCAATTTAAATTCGATAATTTTTACTTTATATATATATATCGTATATAACCATTAATATTTCTCAATTATAGCCTTATCTTTCTTTCCAGTTCTCCTATCCTGTATTTATATATTCGAGGTGACTTCCGCGCGCACCGGTCGGACTCGTGGCCTCGTGGCACACGTTCCAGAAATCAACATAAATTATACACGGACCTTGGGCCTACTAGCCTAAGGATACTTGTCCATATTATAAGACTTAACTAACGATGGGATACTTCATACAGTAAACGTTGTATATTATTTGACGTTAAGAGGAATACTAGGGGTAACGGTTCCTGTATTCCCCGGACATCATCGTACGCTCGTCTCTGTGTTCAATTGGACGGTCGACGAGGTTGCATAAGTGATAAGCCTCGCAAAAATGAGAAGGAAAACAAGGAACGCTCCTCGACACTTTGTAACATCATTGGCAGATAGAATGGAATGTGTATCTCGCTCATGACCGATTTCGTATTGACGGTTAATTTTGTCCATCAATTCTGTCTACTTTATAGCTGTTGGAAAGATAGTCGTTTGGTATACTTATTAAACATGGCCATATCAATTAAAAAGTTAATATTTGAGATTGAAATTTGTTGTGGAAAAAGTGTGATTAAATTTCTCTTTACATATTCTCTGAATCGAATATACACACATTTAATATATATATATAATTATATACATACGTCATATATATTCGTGTAACAAGAACATTTTAAATTGAAAAATTTGACAAAGTTATTTCTTTCTTTGTAATAATATTATAACCAAGACAAGTGACGATTCTTTATATTTCCATATATTTTTATTTATAATTATAGAACATATTATATACAGTTTAAGCATTTTGTGAAAATAATGTGTAAAACATAAAAAAAGTTTCAAGATTATATATTTCTAAAACTTTTAAATGCTTATAATTGCCATTAATTATAAATACTGCTATAATGTAGACAGAGGTGACATAATAATTGGAGAAAAAGTCCGTCATTTATTAGATATACATTGAATATAGAATTCAATTGTGAATGATCTGTCTGATTTACTGACCTTGACTAACTGCATTGACGAAATCGGACGTTGATCGAGCATCCGCAATTCCAGCCGATACTTTATCCTGCTTCGGACGTGAATCCGTGTAGAACCCGCGTGGAAGCTGCGTAGATTTCCTAGTGAATGAAAACGGTTCTCTCTTTTTAGTTGCACTTTTAGGATTTTTAAGTAAAATAAGTATATATTCAGACTCTCTTTCGATGAGGACAAGATGTAAAAGATGCATCACATTGGAGATGCAAAAGGCGCGGCTAAAAGGAGCAGATCTAACATATTTTATTCTTTTCTTTTCTTTTTATATGTCGCGTAAATACAGTGCAATATATACATATATATATATAATATGTTCATCGTGAGAACATGTGTGAAAACGACACGCCACTACTCGCTTTCGTCTTCTCTACCATCTCTTCTCGGTTCTTCTCGTCCACTTTCTTGTTATCGTTAGCTCATAAACATTACGCGTACTTCCCGCCAAGAAATTGTTCGTGTCGCGTCCTATTTATTGTTAGCGTGTATATACAAGTGGCAGAGAGTGTCGTCGTCGGTCGCGAAAGAAAGCACCGAGACAGACTACGTATATATCTCTTGTAGATTATAAAAAAAATATATATATGTATATACACACACACACACACACACACACACACATACACACACACACACACACACACATACACACATACATACACTCACACACATACAGATATATTTCACAGGATCTCCCAGGATTATAGTCACTTTCTTCGTTACGAGATCTTTTGAACAATGTTAAATCTCAATTCTTCTTAGACAGGAATATGAAAACACACAGGAAAATGGATATAATTTTCACAGCTGTTTTCAATTATTGAAAAATATTTCATTTTTAAAAAGGGAATTTCCCTTTATTAAACAAGTCGGTAAATAAATACTTTTTATAAATACTTTTTATGAATAAACACTGATAGACAATTAAAATTTTTTAATTTAAGGTAACATAAATTTTGAAATATTCAATATCAAATGAATTTTATTCAAATTTAAACTTCAAACGAAATAATCACTTATATTTCAAAATTTTTACAAATTTATTTTATTTATATTTTAACTGATTGACAATTTAAGAAATATTTACAATTAAATAATTATGTAGAGATATATACGTTTATATAATAACGAGGAGAGGAGGAGGATCAAGTGTATATTCCTTTAAAAAAAATTAGATTGCTCAAAAGATTGTAATGATGAAGGGAGAGGCTGTCATCCCGAGAACCTGTATATTTTATAAAAGAAAAAATGTGCATCGATGTCTGGGAGTACAGCAGCTGCTTACGGGAGAGCTAAAGCGTTGGATCAGCAAGACTTAGGGCATTATATATACTACAAAGAGTATTATCATGCCCAACCTTTAATATTTAAGTGCGAGTGAGAGTCTATTGAGTAAAAGGAAGAAAGGGGAAAAAAGAAATTAATGAAAAAGAGGAAAAAACAAAAAAAAAGAAAGAAAGGAAGAAAAAGAAAAACGCAGAGACCATCACGCGCCTCTCGTTTGTGGGTTCAACTTTGTACATATTGTAGGAAAAGTTTAATAATAATTCTATGTTGCAGAAAGAGAGAAAGTATACTAGTCTCCTGTCTTTGTATAATTCCATGTTAAATACCTGCTCTCACGTACATAGGCCGCAAGGGACGCAGCCAGTTCGTTAAATAATCGCGGGGGAGCGAACGAATGTGTGTATGCGTATGTGCGAAAATACAATTTATAGGATTTTTTATTATCTCACATTGATCGGCAATATTAATTGCATATCTTAAACGGCCGGTATATTTTCTCAACGTCTTTGCAATAAATATTTTTATCTATATCGCTCAATATGCATTAAGAATATGTAACTTGTTTTGCAAGCGCGTTTTATATTTATTTATTTAAAACGATATATTAGTAAAATGTGAAATAGTATATTACCGCGTTTTCAGTTTTAATGAGGAAATCCGATGAGAAATTTCAATTCCTCGGTAAAGTAATTTCATTTTTTTCTATTCAGATTATTCTACCCGGATATTCAGTTTCACGGAAATGCAGTCTTTTAATATTATCAGACATAACCCTAGTGCCTTGTTGTATTCAATTTATTTGTAAGTGTTCAAGTTTTTATAACTGATATAAATTTTCTTCTATCTTACCTGTATATATCGATCGAGAAACATAATTCTGCTCGATTGATGACAATTTCTGCAGCTTCTTCGTGAGAAACGCCGATTCGAGGTGCATCATTTTCCTTAGCTTCCTCTCGATTGAAAATTTCGTTTCGAAATGGAAATAATGGCGGACCGTTTCTTGCTGCCGTTACACCTAAAGAAGCGCGCGAACATACAAACGTTTAACCCAAAAACGACGCGGCCGGGAAGGGGAGAGAAGCAAGAAAGCGCCGGATTGGCTAGAGAAAAAGTAAGCGAGAGTGAAAGAGAGGGAGAGAAAGTGAAAGAATGAGAGAGCGAGTGAACGTGAGAGAGAGAGAGAGAGAGAGAGAGAGAGAGAGAGAGGGAGAAAGAGAGAGAGAGAGAGAGAGAGAGAGAGAGAAAGAGATACTTTTTCAATGAGTGAGTCAAAAGTTACCAATTTCTACCTACGTTTAGAGAGTACGTTTTTATTATCTCGTTTACCTTCGATTATATTCCTTTTGTAACTGAGATTTCGGATGCGCCGCGTGAAATCTCGCCGCTCTGCCGGGAACCGAGTGTTCGCTTATTGCGATCTCAAAAATGTCGCCCCGTCGATCCCGTCGCCAGCGATGAATCCCTCCAGCGAATCTGTCGAGTAAATCGCACGTATTGATCGCCCGAATGAGTAAATCGCCATAGATCGCGTATCTCATTGTCGGATATACGCGTACAATATCATTTCCCGCGGTAACCGTTCTTACGGTCCACCACCATTTTCGTGAGTTCCTCTATTGGCAAACGAACGAATGGGCACGTCGATCGATGTACGCTCGATATGCAATTATGATCACGCATGATATGTAACTCACGCATTTACCGTACCTCTTTTCCGTCGAATATCGCTGTTATTATTGTTATTATGTTCCTCCGTTGGTTTCTCCCTTAGCGAAGCGTCATGTACTTCTTCGAGAGCGCGTATTTCGCAGCGTATCTTGCGTAGATCTTTCACTGTAAAACACGATACCAGTAGTCTGCGAAACCGCGACGACTGTTGAGTTGACGATCGAGTCAGACAGTACCTGATTGGTCTAAATTCAAATTTGAAATTTTAAGACAACCAATGAAAATGGTCGCAGCGCCCGACTTGAATACGCACAGCCTTGAAGTGAACCTATAAGAAGACTGCAAAGGGGGAGAGGAATAACCTATCGAAATGTCCGGTTTAAACGAGCGGTTTTTAATTAAATTTAAAAACTAATTGTTCAAAATGGGATACTTCAATTGGTTACTAACCTCGATGTATAAGAAACTTCACCAACAACGAAATTCGCCTGTCGCATTTGTTACTGCATTTGTTATCGCCTGAATGTCGCTATGAAATTGCGATTAATTTTTATGGAAAATCGCAAGCGAGATTCAGAGATGTAATATGAGTTACATAATTGAATGAAATTGATTCGTGAGTCACATGGTAAATAAACAAAGAAAATCACAGTCATTTGTAAGATCGATCGAGATCACAGACGTAGATAGGATATGCGTTTTTAGGCGAAAAAAGGAATTAATTTTTTATTTCATGAAGCAAATCATCACACTAATTAAATTCGACCAATTTGGGATCGAGGGCTTCCGGTTCCGGGCAAAACAGGCCGAATTTCACGCGTGGCGCGTGAACCCCCCTGTATTTTTATGAATAAATAAGATATTTATAAAAGAAGAAAAAAAAGTAAATCTGAAGTCTGTTTGGAGATGCCTTTCATAGGGATTATAAATGTAGATAATATATTATACATAATGAACATAAATACACTATATTATTATATATATATATATAATTATATATATTATATATATATATATATATTATATATATATATATATAAATAGTAAGGAGTAAATAGAATTATTATTATTATATATATATATATATATATATATGATATATATATGATGATGATGATGATGATGAAAATAATATTATTACGAAGTAAATAAACTGATTAAAGATTAATAAAAAACTCGTGCGCCGTTTATTCGTTTTATCGTGCAACTCTCCTACATATCTCCTTATCTCATTTGTTAGCAGTGGTTTGTACTGTTCTCGTTATCACAATTAACAGCCACACGTGTGCATACACATTTGTACGCGCACGCACGCACACACGTACGCCCCGCACGCACATCAGGAGTATCCATTGACAATGTCGAGTGCAATTTTTTGCGCATTTTTATTACAGACGTTCTCATTACATTAACATAACAAAGTCTATACTTTCAAGGTACATGATGATCGTTCAAAATGATGTTCTACCTGTGAGATCTTTAAGGATTTATGCGCAGTGTTCAAGCTCCCGCACGGAGCATTAAGCTAAATTAATCTCGTTTACTTGTCTCGCTTTTCTCCCCTTTGTCGCATCTTTGTCTTTCATTTGTTTTTCGTTTTCTTTCTTTTTATTCTCTCGCGAGCTCTCGTCGATGATTAATATCGAGTGACACTCCGCGAAACAGTGCCCAATTTCGAAACCAAGACGCAAGTTCGGCTTCGGCACGATCGTTCTGGCCGTACAATTAATTTCAAAAATGGCACATTGATCGGTTGAAGTAATCGAAAATATAACGATTAAAAAGAGTGAACCGATTCACGTGCCACTTTCAACATCATTTGCCTTAGGCTTTGAGGATTATACCAAGCGTTTTACGTATCGATTTTGCAGTCGAGTGCTATTTCGCGTAGTCTGAAACAATCGCGTCGCCGCAAGCGCTTGGACACTTCGATAAGATTAAAGCGATCACAGACAGAGGCATTTCGGGGACGAACACCGCCGCGAACACCCCACAGCCGTAGATACAGAGGCTAATACTTTAGGATTTCTAGGATACCCGTATCGCGTGGGGCATTCACGTCGCGTCACCTCCGTTTCATGACTCGGAGGCTGCAAATGTAGCGAGTCGAGTTTGTAACGCAAGCTCCGTGTCTCGTTCTCGGTGCAACAATCTCTCTATCTAACGCAATATCTCGTTACAGGTGTAAAGTGTAAAGTGTCAATAATTCAGTTAACAATATAAATTGTACAAATTGATGTGTAGTACAAATTGATAAAAATGCTTCGCGCGCGTATGACATCTTATAAAAAAGCAATAAGAACGCGTACGTAAACGAATGATCATAAGAAATCCCGTAAAACATAAGTGATACCGTAGAAAAAGTTTCGCGAGTCGAGAAGCGAGGATATGTCTCTTGTACATTATAGCGGATCAGTTCGCGGAGTAGAATAAAAGCGAGAAAAGGGTGGCGCGATATGAACAATTTTCCCCGTATACGTTCTCACGTTTAAGCTCTGGTACCTGTATGATTCTTCGCCCTTACGTTAGTTCGTCTATGATTATCTGTCAGTAAGAAAAGCGTTTACTTCCTAGTAGACCGTCGTGTTATAGTTCTGAAGGCACTGTTCAAAAGTCCATTACATTTCTCGAGATAACCGGGTCTTCCGAGACCTCTTCCAAAGTATCCGCGACATGGAGTGTCGTTATAAACATCGACGTTTTACCATTACACCCGCCTCCTTCTTCGATCTATATCACAAAATTCAAAATAGAGTAGTCTCCACTTGACAGCCAGTGCCAATGCCAATGCCGTGTATTCGTCGGGTCTGTGATCGGGTTAGGAATTATCGTGAGCTAGCAAAAATCGATGGTCAGAATTCAGGCTTATGATACGCAATGGCCGGTGCACTCCGTTAATTATGTAACGATATCGTATCATTATATTACAGAAACGCTTATTAATTTAGAGGCACATTGCTAAGGGTCTCGGTTATTTCTTCTTTTTTTTTCTTTTTCTCTTTTCATTTAAAGTTGCTCCCTACGTTAATGAACTTACGACAATTAACTAATTATACGATTATTTCGTACGACAGCGATTTGGCATATAATATCGGAAACTGTACAAAGATTCGGAGAATATAGTAAGTATTCGAAAATATCGCTCTGTACACACGTAGAATAGGGGTGCGGCGAACGAATGACGAATGCCTTGAAAAGAATAATCAACGTACGTGTCAAGACACTTGAGAGACGTTATTGAGCTCGGAATTTCTTAAAATTAAACGTAAAAAATGTCATGTGCATAACAACAAACGAGAGAACTCTTCTACAGAGATGGTACACAATCCCCGCTATCGGATTTCCTTACCTAGGCAGGAAAACTTTGGCTACCGCTACACGCTATTTGTACTTCGGCGAAAAAAGAGCCGAATTTACACTGCTAAGAACACTGATTGCGCGTCTAGAAGAAGAAAGTAACTGCACGCAGCACACACAGTACCTAAACCGGAAACAGATCATTTACATGTTCAGGAAGACCTTAACAGTACTATATATGCTCACGTTTTTAATAAACCTGAATTCTACGCACAACGATTGTAGTATCAGAGAAGCATTCACCGTGCTCAGAGAGTGTACTTTGCCGGAATGTTTGGAATATGATATTTCTTTTTTTCGCTTTTATTTTGTTTTTTTTTTGGTTTTATTTAATCGTTCACACACAGCACTGGACTATATTCGTTATTTGCATTCATAAATTATTTAAAAGCTCTTAGTCTTTTGAACATTGAAGTCCACGATGCTGCTCTGAGATATGAATGCTCTACAGAATGTACACAGTAGACAGCAAAAGCGTCTAGACCACAGAATGTTCACATTTGCTCCATGATGCAAATGATGCTATGATGCAAAATATTTTTTTCATTTTGAACTACAAAAATCAGGCTGATGCGATGGCAGATACTATGTATATATATAAAAGTTAGCTTTACAACATATAAAACTTGATAAAGTTCTTAAAAAATCTAAAGAACATTCCCTGAACAAGTAATCACACAATTCAGTCCGCTAAGTATTTCGCATTTCGGTCGTAGAACGCATCCAAATAAGTTTCTTTTTCTTTTAAGGGAATTAAAATTCTAGAGTTATATATATATATATGTGTGTGTGTGTATATATATATATATGTGTATGTATATATATATACGTGTGTGTACGTGTATGTATATATCATATACTCTCACAAATTTGAGGCTCCGTCATGGTACCAGCCTGGATCCGTTAACCGAGTCATGTTATTCCGTAAAGTCTAGACAGAGACACTTCTTTCCCACGTCCGTACAAATGAGCCACTAAGTTAGATCACAAAAAATACGGAGTGGTCGTTAGAGGTGGGATTACTCTCTCAGAATCAGGCACCGCCTGGAACAGCACGGGTGTTCTCTGATCCACTGTCGTGAACTGCAAGATACTAGCTATGTTACCGCATCGGTAACAATAATTTGGGGCTGACCACACTGTGACGAGTTTATCATTAAACATGTACCTATAACCTGATAAAAAATATGCATCGTCATTACATTTACATTTACGAAATATTTCAAAAGAATGGAACGGAGGAGCACAAAAGAAAGTAAAGAAAACAAAAACCTTGCCTAGCGACTAGGCAAAACAATGAAGGTTCGAATAAAAGAGGATGCAATCAAAATAAGAGAGGAAAGTTACAATTTCCGATAATATTTTAACACTCTGGTAAATAAAACATACCTTCATGAACTAGTTGATGTGCTCTACAGATGAGTTTAAGGTCGTTTACTTCCATGAACATGTAAGTCACTTTACTGCCAAACAGCCAACCTGCACCACGTGGGCTCACTGACCATGTTTCTACATCCTCTGGATCGGACCAGACCAAATCACAGAAAGCACCTGTATGACATAGTAATTAAGGAAGAACATTCGATACACCTTCTCATATAAGAAAAATAATTTATTAAATTATACAATATTTAATATGATGAAACATTATTTCATGTAATTGTTATCTTTTGTCTATATACAGTTATTTGCATACCTTTGTGTGGAATCTCTTGATTCCTTTCAATCGTTCTAATTTGATCTAGTGTTCTAATAGCCGGAGATAATCCACCATGTACACAAAGAACCTGTTCATCGATTAACTACAAAATAGGATATTTTATTTAAATATTATAATATGCAAAATCTTTTAGTTATAATTACTCTTCTTAGCTTTTTGAGATACTCTATGATGGTATGAATACTTACGGCAGCAACTGTGAGCAAGTCAAATACCCTACAACAGTACTTCCATGCATTAGCATTACCATACTTGTTTTGGCATTCATCTGTAATAAAAGGACATAACATTTCCATAAAACAAGTATCTATGTAAACTTGGAACAAAAAGTATACCACTATATCCTTACCATAAAATCCATAAACATGTGTGATTTGTCTAGACTCGTGATTACCGCGAAGTAGTGTTATCCTGTCTGACCATTTAGCTTTAAGGGTGAGCAGACGAGTGAATGTCTCTAGACTGTAGTAGCCCCGATCTACAAAGTCTCCCAGGAATATATAATTTGTGTCTGGTACTTGACCGCCATTGCGAAACAGTTCCTCTAAATCGTAAAACTGCAACAGCATGGAAATGCCCGCAATCTATGGTATTTGTCCGCATCCTTGTCAAAATAACTATGTAGAGACTATTGCAAAGCTAAGAATGTAAACTTGATTAGAAGTTAGCTCTCTCGCTCTCTCTCTCTCTCTCTCTCTCTCTCTTTCTCTCTCTCTCTCTCTCTCTCTCTCTCTCTCTCTCTCTCTCTCTCTCTCTCTCTCTCTCTCTCTAACACTTTACAGATTATTCCTGTTTCTCATAATGAAACAAGTAATCTATACAAGATTATAGTTTGCAGAGTATGAGGACTTCACGATGACCCTGTCATAACTGCGGGATCAGCGACGATGCTCCGATTTGAAGGTTAAGGAACTTACACATCCGGGACTTACCTGACCATGAATATCGCCGCACACCGTTACCGGGGTGGACACAGGCTGGATGTTGGACTCCTCCAGCAACAAGTCACATACGATGTCACAAAGTTTCTGTCGACAGCGTGAAAATGACTGGGTGATTAACGGGGAGGGCGAAATACGCGCTGGAGTTACAAGTAACGTATCGGCGCCGTTCGTGCGCGGCCGTTATCGCCCGCGAAACGGACTGTCCGTTCTCGACGCGGACGCCGATCCCGCGCGCGTTAATTTACCTTGAGATCATTCTCGGGCAGGTATTTGCACTCTTTCGCGATATCTATCCATCTATCGACGTCTGACATTTTGGACTCGCACCGTAGTAGGAAAATACTGATCGCGCCCCCATATAGCTACGCTCGTCCGCACATAGCTAGCTGAATCTCGCAGAGACGCGAGCGCTCGCACCGTTGAAGATATGAAAGCGGATATACATCGAAGCTTTGCCACCTCGATATGAAGATGCGATCGAAGGTTTTTCTATATACTCTCCACCCACGCTTTTCGTGACTGCAAATTAAAATTAAATCTTGAAAATTATTACTGTTTGTATCAAATTCATCTTCGTCCGGAAGTCCATCTTTTCATAATATATGATTAATCTTAAGGATAGAGATTTGATCACTCTCCACTTTTTGCTCTTTTGTCCTTTCTTCGATGCTCGAACGCATATTTTACTTGTTTTGAATGGAGTAATCGGAAGATAATACACGACTAAAACAATCAGATTTAATACATTTGCATTGGTCAATGAACACCGATTTGGTGAAATCATTTTGTGTTTTGTTCGCACATTCACAGTCCCATCGACCTCCATTGTTCTATTTTATAGGTCACATAGTCGTTGTGAAGTCGATATAAGATTCTGGGCCACAGGTTCTTGAATGGGCATGATAAAAATAGTGCAATTAATTTTGCACTCTATAACCGAATTTTATCGCGCAAAATGTAATCTCTTCTAATTCTTCCCATTTTACATTGACTATGATGTTTATATTTTATCTAAGAGTTATGTAATAAATTAAAAAGTTATGCAATTCTAATGAAGCGTAATTGAAAAATGGTATAGGAAAGAGAGAGAGAGAGAGAGAGAGAGAGAGAGAGAGAGAAAGGCGAATAGAATTGAACAGATGTCTATGTGCAATATTTCATAAACTAAAATTGTAAATTTATATCTGAAAATGAATACTAAAAACGTTTGGCTCTCTCTCTCTCTCTCTCTCTTTCTCTCTCTCTCTCTCTCTCTCTCTCTATTCTTCTCTTTTTTCTAATATTTATATTTCTTATACGATCCTTAAAGAAAGGGGAGTGTATAAACGCCTATAAACGTCATAGCTTACATAGAGCTACATGCGCACAATCATACATCATGGTTAAAAATAATCCTGAATTGTACAAACTGATATAATTATTGAATGTCGTAGTTACATTAAAGTGGAAGGCACGTAAGGTTTATAATTGCGTGTGTTATCATTAAATCGAGTAATAATCGAATGATAATAAAAGTAGGAATTCGAAAATAGGATCGACATGTATACGCGGCGTGTGTCACACCAGATGTCTTTACGGGTCAATGATCAATAACGACAGCCAATGTCGCGGTTCTATTGAACGAACTCGCTTCTAAATTCGCCGATCGATCGGCCGAATTTAAGGACCACCGTTTCAGGTAGGCCGCTATATAATTCGCACGCTACACAAACGCGCGTATAGGCTGACAGATATGTATATGTGTTCCGTGAGATACCATCCTATCGTTGAAAATCGAACGACATTAAACGCAGCATCAAGTTCATATCGCGCTCGAACCATTCTGTATTTATTCCCAAAACAAGCGTTTTGCTTCCAGCGGAAGAGAAATGTATGAATTTCGCTTTTAAACGCATCTTTTCAACACTTTTCATACTTAACATGAAATAGACACATGTTCGAGCTCACGTGAGAAAGACGAAAGATCACGGGTGTAGAGAGTGCAGTCAAAATTGAACAGCTCTCTCGTATATAGGTAGCAGTACGAGAAAGTGTACAACTGCTGAAACGAGCGAATCTATAGTCAACCGAAATCGATGCGTCGCTTTCCGAGGACGATTCTACTTTCCTATTCTTTCTCGTCGCTTCATAAACAGGAAGAGGGAAAGACGGGAGGAGGAATCTGATCTGGTTTTCACTTTCGTGCATAATGCTAGCGGAGATTTTTGCCGCGAGACTTTGAAAATATCGCGCGCGCTCGCGAGCGAATAGCGTGAAACGAGCTAATAATTTAGTTCCTGTTGGCCGCGCCGCGTTACACTTTCTACACTCGAAACCAAACGAATATACGCCCAACTGCATTCAGAACGAAATAAGAACATACATCGCCTTTGAGGGAAGAGTGGAGAGAGAGGGAGAGAGAGAATGAGAGAGAGAGAGAATGAGAGAGAGAGAGAGAGAGAGAGAGAGAGAAAGATAGAAGCGGGAAAAAGGTGATATACAGCGAAGAGACGCGACAGGCGGAGAGAATAGACGAAGTTGCGGCATCGATCAGAAGGAGTATCAACTGTCATCCGTCGTATCGGAAGAGAACGTTGTTCGCCGAATTTCCGTCACGCGCCACGCGCGCAAACGTACGAACGTGCGAACGCGCGGGTATAAAAAGGTCAGAGCGTCGACGGACGCTCGCGCGAACAATATGGATTTTATCTCGCAGCCGCTGAAAGTGGGTCACGACGACGACGACGACGGACGGCGGTGTGCTTGTGCGCACGCTTCGATTATCGATTGAACCGCTTTACGGGTTCTCTCTGTCTCTCTCCTTCATGCCCGACACAAAAGCGAATTCGTCGTTGTCGTCGTCGCCGCTGTCGCGTAACTGCTCCGAATCCTCATTTACGCGAGCGTGTCCGCCGCGGCGCCTCGCCTGCTGCCTTTTTCTTGGGAGCGGCTCTCGTAAATCGCGCGTAACTCGCGTTCTCGCGTAATAAACTCGCGGCGCACTTCGTGTCGTACGCAGTGCCGTGTCGCGCGCGACGCGACGGCGAGACCGATGCGAGACCGGTAAAATCGCGCGATTCGTATCGTCGTTCTCGCCGCCGCCGCTATCGCTACCGCCGCGGTGCGAAAATGCGGTAAAGTGAGCCACGGAGCAACCACAGAGCCAACCGTCAGCCAGCCAGCACGCGCGCGAGCGAGCGAGCGGTCTGTTTCGCGAAAGGAAATCGGCCATCTTGCTTTAGTGTGTGCTTAGACTCCGCAACGGACGGGCTCGTCTCCGTCAGCCACTCTTTTAACGGTTGTGCGTGTGCGGGCGGTGGCAGGGCATCGGCGAATAGTAGCAACAGCAATCCAGTAGTGAATCGCGAGCCGCAACAGAACCGCGCGCACACGCTTTGGTATTCGTGGAAGAAAGAGCGAGGAAGGAGGAGGGAGAGAGCGAGAGAGAGAGAGAGAGAGAGTGCGCGAACGAGCGAGATCGTGCGTCGATTTCCGAGCGGCGTAATCGCGGCAATCCGGCGGGATGGCGGGCAACACGGGTATGGAACAATTGATCCCGATCGTGAACAAGCTGCAAGATGCGTTCACGCAACTCGGTGTGCATATGCAGCTCGATCTGCCGCAGATCGCGGTGGTGGGCGGCCAGAGTGCGGGCAAAAGCTCCGTCCTCGAGAACTTCGTCGGCAAGTAAGTGCTCGACTTCGTCGTCGTCCAAACGTACACCCAGCTTTCCTCTTTGACGTGCCTCCACCCCCTTCGAAGGGCACAATCGTGATGATGATGTCACAATCTGGACCGATCCCTCGTGTGATTCAAGTTCGAGGCTGTTCTATCTCGTGACTATCTCGATGTAGTGATGATTCTACGTAGCAGATAAAGGCGGATCCAGTCGAACGTAATCGATTAACGTCGCCGTGATCGACCGGTTTCCTCATCCTTGAGTTTGTTCCTTTTAGTTGCGTTCTCTCTATCCTTACCATCTTGCAATTTGTACCTTCTAAGTCTGGCCGCGAGCCTGGTTGATCCGTGTGCGGAAGATGTAACAAAATGCGGCTGAGAGCAATAAATCCTTATTTCCATTTCTGCGACGTCTTCGTCGATACGAAGGTCCTGCTGGTCCTAGGCGTGGTGAAATACACGCGACTTTTCGGCTCGATCGTAACGTCGTCATCATCATCGAGAATCGTTTGATAACCGCTGCTTCGTAGACGATGCTCTGTTCACGCTGCGAAACGCAGAGCTGAACGAGCACGAGCGAATAACGCCCACGGGGCAACCTGTCAAACGTCTTCTCCTCGGTATCGTCCCTGGGAACACGTAGAAGCGTCCGTTCATGCGCAAAACGCCAGCGGGGCGATTCTACGTTTTCGTAGAACGAACGCCTCGTCATTCATTGGTCATTCCGATGTCGTGGTTGAACGAAAGAACTCAATATTTATTTGGAACATCAATTATGAGACGATCAAAACGTCCAGATAGAAGCGAATTTCATTGACAGACATTTCAGTGAAATTTTAAACCAAACACCTTCAGAATCTTTCCTTTTTAAGCAAGAGAATTATTTAACTTTTGATTGTAATGTTGTATGTTTTTGTATTTAATTTTTTAATAAAATACTGTAATATATAAAATAGCTGTATTCATAAAATAATAATAAATATTTTTTAGTTATAATTTTTTAGTAGATTTCATGATATAAGACTTGTACTTTATTGTATGTGTTATGTCTGTGATGTCACAATATTTCATTGATTTGATGATTTTGTAGGGAATGATAAGTGATGTTAATGATTTGATACATTGATATGATATTGCTATTTTAACTGTCTGATATAAAAGAGCAGGGAATAAAGGAAATTATTTAGTAAAGAATACTAAGATATATAAGAAAATACATATATTTCTGTCATAGGTATTAAAAAGAATATCATCATATATAACATAATTGATACTGCTGTATACACCAATGAGTTTAAATATGATTAAATATTTTAAAATGGTTCTTACCTGTTTGATCGGATGGAGAGTCAATGTGTCATTGCTTTGCAATAGCATATTGTGTATACATATTATATGCATTTTATAATTGTATGAGAAGCATTTACTTGTAAAATTGATTTTAAAATTCATTTTAACTTTACAAAAAATATAACAAGGATTATATTTCTTTCCCAGAGATTTCTTACCCAGGGGTTCAGGCATTGTAACCAGGAGACCTCTTATCTTACAGCTGATTAACAGCACAACTGGTGAGTCATGACAAATAGGGCTGATTATAACATCTCTTCTTTATTGTCTCCCTTGATAATTCACTCATGTTACTTGATAATTGATATTAAATTAGTATATATGTATATGACAGTACATATATCTGCCCATACATTACTTTTGTAAAGTCGTATATTAGAAATGATTCGAGGAATGTAGAGTCCACACGTACTGGCAATATCATCTTGTTAACCTATTAACCCGTAGTTGTGACAAACATTTTCTTTTTAACGGAGGTAATGCATAATGCATTTATTCTATAATGTTATTTTCTGCCTGACCTTGGTTTTATGAAGCTTTATGTGATATCATGTGTATCTCTCATGTGGCATTTATTATGTTGAATAAATAAATTATTGATATTTCTAATTTTATTACTGCATTAGCTAGATTTAATAAAGGTCAGAATGTTTACTGAACTGCAAACAATAAATTATCATGCTTATTTTTTTATATATTTCCTGTCTTTAAAAATTCTGAGCTTATCATATATCACACTTCCTGAACTTAAAATTCTGATAAGCAAAAATTTTGGCATATCTGCTTCCAATAATAAGAATATAATGGTTAATATAGTGCATGAGAAATATTATACACTGTTTCTTTATTAATATTTAACATCTAAATTGTTTTCTCTTTTTGTCTTTGTATTAATAAAAGTAATTGTCTCAGAAGACTAGATTAAAATATTATTTTTCCTCTTGTTATGTTTTAGAATATGCGGAGTTCCTGCACTGCAAAGGGAAAAAGTTTGTTGATTTCGATGAGGTACGGAAAGAGATTGAGGCAGAAACAGACAGAGTGACTGGAAGTAATAAGGGTATCTCTAACATACCAATCAATCTTAGAGTATATTCACCCAATGGTAAGCATAACACCAAAAAGTTGTAAAAAAAGAAAAGAACGAAAGAGAGATGATTGTAACAGATAACAAACACATACTTTTATTTTCATACAGTCCTAAATTTGACACTGATTGATTTACCTGGGCTCACAAAAGTACCAATCGGAGATCAACCAGCAGATATAGAGTCCCAAATTAAAGCAATGATCTTTCAGTTTATCAAACGTGAGAATTGTCTGATATTAGCTGTGACACCAGCCAATACAGATTTGGCTAACAGTGATGCTCTTAAACTTGCTAAAGAGGTGGATCCACAAGGTATATAATCATCAAAAGCGTTAACGTTAATATCCTTTCGACTTAAACGTTAATTTGACATTTGATATCGTAAGGTGTACGTACAATTGGTGTCATTACTAAATTGGATCTCATGGACGATGGCACCGACGCGAGAGATATCTTGGAAAATAAGTTATTGCCATTGAGAAGAGGTTACATTGGTGTTGTCAATAGAAGTCAAAAAGATATAGAAGGCCGGAAGGATATAAAAAATGCTTTAGCAGCAGAACGAAAATTCTTCCTCAGGTATATGAACTACTCTAAACATTGTTGCCATATATAGGAAAACAATTGCCATTTTGTTTTTTCAACAATGTATTACTTTTGTTTTACTTGTCAGCCATCCGTCTTACCGTCATCTAGCAGATAGGCTGGGCACGCCGTATTTGCAGAGAATTCTTAATCAGCAGTTAACAAACCATATCAGGGATACTTTACCGGCTTTAAGAGATAGATTACAGAAACAGCAGCTAACTTTAGAAAAAGATGTCGAGCAGTACAAACATTTCAGACCTGATGATCCCGCAATCAAAACAAAGGCTATGTTACAGTAAGTGAATCAAGAGTTTTTCAATCATTCTCGTGTTGCAGTGATCGGTTTTCTATGTATCTCATATTCTATGTGCTCGTTTTCCATTCATAAACTATATCGTGAGAATCACAAATGCATATCTTATAGCAGAATATATCGTACACATATATTCATATATGTAACGTCGAAATTTTTCGATAAATGTCTCCTATGTTTCATAATGTTTCCATTGTAAATAACAATCATGCAAGTGAAACCACAATTTCTTTGTTTATCTATGTTATACTTTTTTATTCTACGGGTGGAGGGTCTTGAAGTATTATTTACTTTTTGTTTTTCAGATCAATTCAAATGTATATGTAGGTATTTCTGTTCCCTCTTTTGGTCTTTTTGTTTTAACAATTTTAGAAAGTGTGCCATTTGCATGAAATTTTAACATAAAATAAAAAACTAATTGTTAATATGTACGCTTTTATCAGAAATTGATTCGATAAATTTATTCTGCTACAAGAAAACTGATTAATAAAATTGCTAACAGGGGTTTCTCTTCTTTGTATTTTGATATTAGAACTATCATATGACATAATGTTGCATTTACAAAGATATATCTTACCATTATATCATAAAGTTTGCAAGTATTGATATTAATAACCGATAGTTGATCGGTTTTGTGAATGGTAGATAACATTTCGAGACTCTCTACCCATATAACTAATATTGCCATGTAACACGTTATATTACACCAATTAATAGAAAAACATTTTTAAGGATGATACAACAGCTTCAGTCGGATTTCGAGAGAACTATAGAAGGTTCGGGCTCCGCACAAATCAACACCAATGAGCTCAGCGGCGGCGCTAAAATTAACAGACTCTTTCATGAACGTTTCCCATTCGAAATTGTGAAGATGGAGTTTGACGAGAAAGAACTTAGAAGAGAAATTGCATTTGCCATCAGAAACATACATGGTAAATTTCTTTTGACTTCTTTATTATTTAATAAGAATGTGGAATCGAATTAAAGTTTTGCAGCATCAAGTTACTAACAAAATTTCAATTCTGCAGGTATCCGGGTAGGATTATTCACTCCAGATATGGCTTTTGAGGCAATAGTCAAGAAACAAATAAATAGACTTAAAGAACCAAGTCTCAAGTGTGTAGACCTAGTCGTACTAGAACTTAGTAATGTTGTACGCATTTGTACAGATAGGGTAAGCATAAGTTTTATTATCTTATTTAACGACAAGATACGTGTTATCGTTTACATGTATGTAATTCACCAATTTTTATGTAAATTACAGATGTCGCGTTATCCTAGACTAAGGGAAGAGACGGAACGTATTATAACCACATACATCAGGCAGCGCGAACAAATGTGCAAAGAGCAGCTGATCCTGTTGGTCGATTGCGAGCTCGCTTACATGAACACGAATCACGAAGATTTTATCGGTTTTGCGAAGTAAGTAAACCTTTAAATACTCTTTATTGTCTCTTACATGTTTTATCTTAGATTTAATTATTATTTAAAACAAACACACACATACACATATACACGATCCGAAACTTTCAGTTTTGATAAGTTGGTACATCTAGTTCTACATGTTCCTTTCGTTACATTTGTGCTTGCTGCTATATTCTATTTTATTTTTTACGTTTATTTCAATAGCCACTGAATAGCAAGAGGCATTATGTAATGTTGTTAGTACTTAGACAAACTTGTATGTTTCAAAACGTTGCTTCAGTTTTTAAAACGGTATTAGCAATATATAATTTCACGTGTATTGCATTAAGTTTTTGCAAAGTTTTTATGAAAGGTTCCTATATAATATATAATATTCTACACACGATATAGTACATTTTATAGTAGATTTTGTTTGATATAATATGAGATATCTTCGGATATAATATGAGATATCTATAAAAGAACACATATTTGAAATTACACATATTTGATTATACTGTTCACAGGTAAAAATTACTATTTTATATATACAAAAGTTATCTTTTATAATATTATGTTGTAAAAAATCTTAATTTTAAAACATAGATATATTGGAATAGTTTTATATTAGCTTGTTATTTTAGTTATATTGTTATATCAGCAGGCAATAAGTAATAAAATTTGTTTAATCTTTGACTACTAAAAGCATCCCGTCACAAAACGATTTTTAGACTGAGAGCATTTATAATTATTTGATAAAAAACGATTTCCCATATTGTATAACCGTTTTTATTCGATTTTGTTGTAGCAAAAAGATTAATGCAGACTCAAACGATTAGAGCATAATTATAAGGATAATTTATTAATTGGAGATTTTTAAATCAATAAATTAAAATTCAATATTTTTTGAAAACAACAGAAAAGCGTATTATACACATGACTGCTATATCAAATTATTTGTTTGCTTGCCACTATTTTTCTTTCACTCAAGTTATTAGCGCATATATTTTCACAGTCGGTGCATGTTTTGCTAAAGTTAACTCACATAGCAATCTTCTGGATCACATTCTAGCAAACATCCTTAACTCGCTCTTCCTTTAAATCTAAAAACTATGTTAGAATTCGATGAATATAAAAATCTTTTAGTAGATGTTACCTCATCTATTCAATGTACACTTGTATGACACTGTGCCAAAGTCATACATAAGTACGCTAAAATAATTTCCCGTAGGCATTTATCTTAATAACATGTTTACCTCTAGTTCATTTCCATTATTTAACAGCAATTAACAACTCAAGCTTTCATACTATTCTACTCATTTGGCAATTAGGAATCTAATTGCATAGTATTACTTATTAAGATTATCAAGGGTGTGTCTCTAAATGCATATACTTAAAACCATTGGAAATGTAGATATAGTTGTTGGTTAAATATACAAAAAATAGGAAGAATTATCAGCTTACATAGAATTGATAGTAATGTTGAAAATTCAATGTCATAAAATTTCTCAGTTTTATAGATAATGTCGTTAGGAATAAGGCATACAGATTCTGTTCGGAAATATGTAGTTTATTAGCACCCATTTTTTTCCACATATCGTTAACATATCGTAGAAATTCTGTTATCTTGAATATTTAATCTCAAGCACTAGGTCAAATTATGACGTATAATCTATCATTTATCTAATCTATCTATGAGATTATGTGTGCCTTACCCTAATCAGTGTAACATGGGCTTGTTGTCCTGACATATATCTTTATTCATTATCAACTTCAAATTTCACAATTAAAGAAATGATTTAATTATATCGGCAGCGCTGCAGCCAGTAGCCATAATGCAAGGTAAGAATATTAAAGTACATTCCAACAAAGATTTACACTACATTTTTATCCCTTTTCATTTTTTTGGTCTTTCTTTCTCTTACGCTTATCTTTTTTCTTTTTTCTCTTTTTTCTTTTTTTACTTAATATATCCTTGCTTCTACTTTAAGTCGAAATACTAACATACAACTATAAACCAGATTCCAGTACTTTTCAGCTTGACCTTGTGTTTACTTATATTTTGGAAGTTTTTGAATAAGCAAGAAATATATAATATATCTTTTATTCGTATTTTTTTTTTTCACAATTTAAATTGTCTGCTATATCAACTATTGCCATAGTTAATCAACAACTAATCAACAATTATAAAAAAAAACATTTATATAACTTGCTACATAGGATTGTTATAAATGAAAGTAATTATTAAATCATCTGTATCATTCATGAAACTCTTGAATTGTATTTCATGCAGCATCAAGCCTCTTAGTTTCATCATCTTATAATCTGTTTTGCGATGAATGTAACATGTGCTTATGTAATCCTTTTGCACTATAATATCGAAATTTATTGCGATGTTGATCAAATGACGTAGCGACACACTATATATGTTTGTGATATGCTAATGTGTTGTAACGTAGCTGTGCAAACATATGCTTAAAAATATTCGAAGCTGTATAAAATGTATAAAATATAACATGCATGAGGCGATGTGGCGATACATAAATTCCGCTATATTCTAAATTAAGCGAATATTTTAAGGTAACGGTTTCCTTACACGTAATAAATTTCTTGAAACAGTCGCGTAAATTTAATATCATTTTGTAGATAATAAAGATACAAAACATTATCCACATTTACATTATCGCCTTGTAAAAAGAAAACAAAGTTTAATAGTATTCATGTAACCGAAGGTTTTGAAAGTAAATCGTCTCATCAAGATAAACCAAACGTTTTCGTCAAGATAAACCAAATTCTTTCTTTTTTCAACAAATGTATGTTAAAAGAGAATACTAGGATATCCCTAATGCTAGTGGTATTTTTTTTATTGTTTTTATTACACTTATATTATAACTGATAATGTAAGATTTGATGAACGATTCTCGCAGTTGTGGGTATACGACAATCTCTTCGTTATATTTGACATTTCATTATACATTATAATTTATGTTACAGTGCACAGCAATCCTCAGAAAATGCCGTTAAGGCTGGTCGACACACATTAGGCAATCAAGTAATTCGCAAAGGCTACATGTGCATACATAATCTCGGTATCATGAAGGGCGGGTCGAGAGATTACTGGTTTGTCTTGACATCGGAAAGTATCTCCTGGTTCAAGGATGAAGAAGTAAGTGTCGTTTACAATTATATTAATCTCCGTCATCTTTCTAGTTGCATTACATTGTGTGTATATCTTGAAAGTGGCGTTACGTACGTTGCAGAAAAACTGACATTTGAAGGCAATGTGTAATTTACTCTGTTTTAATGTATGAAGGAACGTGAAAAGAAGTATATGCTGCCTTTGGATGGGTTGAAGTTGCGTGATCTAGAACAAGGCTTCATGTCGCGGCGACATTTGTTTGCGTTATTCAATCCAGAGGGAAGAAATGTGTATAAGGATTACAAGCAGCTGGAACTCAGTTGTGAAACGCAAGATGATGTTGACTCTTGGAAAGCTTCGTTCCTGAGGGCTGGTGTGTATCCCGAAAAATCAACAGAACAAGAAGATGGCGAAGGAGAGGTAAGTACATTACTGATTAGAACACAACCAAATAAATAATTCCCTATGTGACCTCGTAAAATAATAGTTTTATTTTGGTTTATCAACGATGATGATGTTTAATTGAAATTATCTCTTACTCATTTTTATTAGTCTCTTATTTCTAGTATAAAATAACAATGTAATTTCTATTCTATATTACAAGAATGATTTATTATATTTATTAGAACCCATTTTAATTTATTTTAGGATAAGCAGAGGGTGAGTTAGTAAAGGCAGCATAAAGAAACATTTTGTTTTCCATTCATTAACCATTTGATGATGTGATACAGTTGCATTCTCAGGGAAAACTAACCAACAGAATGATATTGTTGCAAATTGGTTAAACTTTACCTTTACACTAATAAAGTGCAAAAGAAGAATATGTGCGTAGAATTAATATTAAATTTTGCAACAGATTTATACGCTTTTATAAAGCAACTTTAAAACTCGGTGAATATTGCTACTCTCTTGAAACGCCTATGCATAGTGTGTAAACCTTTTTTACATATCTGTAACCTTTTCCAAAGTAGACAACTAACAACTTTTTTATTGAATGTATAATAGTAACTGTATAATAGTAATTGTGTTCTTTTTGTCTTATATTTAAATCGACTAAAAAGGAAGGATATGAGGTTGGTACAACCGTGTTTTCAAGTGTTACGAAATATATGACACTCACACGAGCATCGGACACCTCAATCAATCACACAATTGCAGCAATACTAACATCACAAAATATGTTATTCTACTTCGAATACATTTTTAGGCCTCTCTTTAGCCCGTCTTGCTATTCAGTATTTTATTTTTATATGCCTTTAGACATTTGGGACTTTTTAAATTAAAAACATTAATAGAAAATGCAAAGCTTCTTTAATACTTTTGTTTCTTCAGGATGGAATAGAAGGTCAGTCATCGATGGATCCTCAGCTGGAACGTCAAGTGGAGACCATCAGAAATTTAGTGGATTCCTACATGAAGATTGTCACGAAAACTACTCGTGATCTAGTCCCAAAGACAATTATGCATCTTATTATTAACAACGCTAAGGACTTCATTAATGGGGAACTGTTGGCGCATCTTTATGCAAGCGGCGATCAGGTGAACTGTTACTGTTATACTGGTTTTGTTCTTGAGGATTTTTATCATATTTCTTGCACATCGTAATTAATTCCCTCCAAATTATGTTATACAAGCAAATGAATTAACCCTCCCCCTTATTTCCCAGTCAATCGAAGATGACATTAATACTCTGAAGATATTTAATAATGCTGTAGTCGTAAGTGTCCTCACTTTTTCCCCATCCCTCCGGTTCAAATTCAATACTTCCAAAATATGTTTGTAACCTTTTAGCAAGGCAAATTTAGTTTAACCTTCAAACATTTCAAAATCTAAAGATTCCCCGAGTTAAAGTTCGTTTTCTTATCATTCAAATATTGATTTCTTCAACATGGTTAATACATGTTGTTCGTCTTAAAATGTTATAAAATTTTTTGAATTTATATGAAAACTGTGAACTTTTATAAAAATTAAATCATTTTCTTTTTCCTTTTAACTATCTGAGAAAAATATATGACATATGCAAATTTCTGCAGGCTTCTATGATGGAAGAGTCTCCTGAAGAGGCGCAGAAACGGGAAGAAATGTTGCGCATGTATCACGCATGCAAGGAAGCCCTTCGTATCATCGGCGATGTCTCTATGGCCACTGTTTCAACTCCCGTACCACCGCCCGTAAAAAACGATTGGCTGGCATCCGGCGAGAATCCAAGGTAACCTTTATGTTATTCCTAGCTTTGTCTGTCGCGCATTTTACTAATTTTTCATCCTTACATTTTGTACCGTCTGCTTTGCCATACATTTGAACACCGTTGAAACAGTCTTGGGTAAGATCCTTTACATATGACGTATTTATCTTTAATTTTTTAACGGTACAATATCTCGAGATAAGTGAATATTTTTTTCGTTTTAAAGAACATAGTGTTCACGTTTATGCACGCTTTTCGCGTTAATAGAAACCCATTTGGTACGTAATTGTACCTTTTACATAAAAGTATAAGCTAGATTAATGCTGCTAGAACCTAATATGATATTCTGTAATTAATGTATTTTTTTTTTCATATACTAGTAGACATGATATCAGTTATAAATCCGGTTAATAACGAAACAAAGATTGGTTGATAATGAAAAAAAATAAGCTATTTTACATGCGTTCAATGATAAATATATAGTGTGATCTCTTTTTCCGATTTATATTGCAACTTATTTTTCGTTTAGACCATGTCTCGATAGACGAATCCGTAGTACTCATGAAATGCAAAAGAACCTGTTATAAGACGTATCCTACATTCTAGATTATCGCCACCATCTCCTGGTGGTCCAAGACGCGGAGTGACACAGCCACCACCTCTTTCTAGCTCACGAGCACCACCACCAGTACCTGCAGGGGGCCGGCCGGCGCCAGCCATCCCTAATAGACCCGTTCCTGGTGGACCACCGCTAGCGCGAGCTAATCCAGGCCTACCTCCACCTATGATACCATCGTGAGTACATTACCATTTATATACAAAGCACATAGATACTAAAGTTCAACTAGAAATATCGCAAACGAGATTTTAAAACTTGATTCGCGATTTTATTATCTCCTCACTAATCGCAACGTCTCTAACACCGAGTCATACGCACGTCGAGTTTCCATTTTCACAATAATGCCGCGATGTATGGTCTAAGTCTTAACGGCACGAAAAGTCACTCCCGGCGACCAGTGTAACTTCCCGCACAGGGTCGCGAACGTAAAGTAACACGACTTTCTCGAGTATACGAGCTCGACTATACTGAGAACAAATAGCTTATATGACGATTGGGGGCTTGGGTGCTAACTTCACTTTCTATTGCAGGCGCCGACAATAAGTCTTCGCACTAATTCTCGCCTATTCGCTACTAATCAATACGTATCCGTTGCATATAATCGGTGTATATTTTACACAGAACTCACCGTTTCCTAAATATGTTACCGTACTATCTGTCTGCATTACACTGATCACACACGGAGATCACGAAGTCGATGTTAAGTATAGGGGTGTGAAGATCGCACGGGAATTATCGTTCCAATTGTATTAGTGTTGCACTGAGAGTCTTGAGTTGTCGATTCTAAATGAGCTTCCAACCAATTTCATTTTCGCACGTTCCATCTGCGTGACACGACAACGATATAATTTTTAGGTGATTATTCAGTGATCGATTGATATTCAAGAGAAAGAGAATAAGGTGTAACCGTGGCATTTCTCGATACGGTATTGTTTCTGTGTTATTTGACGTTACATAGCGTCTGTCAGCTGTACAATAATTTTAGATGTGTATTACATGCATATGTATATTCTATGTACAATACGAATCTTCTCTCGCGCGGAGATCGACACACCCTCTAAGTGTAGATGTATCTTAGCGCCGATATAATACTTGGAACCTGTGCAATACTAAATATTTCCAAAAGGTACAACTTTCTTGTTCGTAGAGAAGAAATGGAGATATAAATATATAAATATATATATAAACATATACATATAGAGTCACACTTGTTTCATTGTAAATTACTTTGATGAAACTGTACATCATATGTGTATATATCGTTGGAAATATTATCAAATAAAGGGACTTTGTGTTCTTACGGCAGATAGAGATATATAACCATTTTTATTCACTTACTAACAGCATGACATTTCGGTAAAGTCGGCAACTCGGAGATATGTAACGGTTGCGTCTCTTCGAGGTCTATATCGCTTATACGCTAATTCTTATCATGGATACATATATTTCCCACGTAACTTTAAAAATTATCATAGGTATGTCCTATTTAATGAGTAAGTTCAAAGCTTCTCAATCGCACTTCTGCTACACGTTCCTTGTCTCATCTAAATGTTCTATATGAAGCGTTAACACCAATTCGAAACTTGTCAATTACTATTTACGGACAAATGTGTCGGTGCCTGCATTACAATTTACCAAAACAAAAAAAAAAGAGGAAAAAAGAAGAAAAGAGAACGCGAAGATATATATTAATTGTTACATATATTTATAAACAGGAGCTTTATAAGGCTATTGTGGTAGAGTACGGCAGTTTAAGAGCTGCTCACTCGGAATATCGGGCGAATATCGTGTTGTTGTTTACGAGACATTTTTATAACTACTGTTACGACGAGTCACCTTCATATAACGTTTCTTTGTCTCGGATATGCATGTAGAGTGAGACCATTGTGCACGCTTTCGTACACGCGGCACCCGCATAAAAAATTTCACGTATATAACGTATGTTCCTTTATATAAAATTATATAAAATTAAAAAAAAAAGGAAGTAAAAAAAGAAAGAATACAATAATGAAGTAAAAATAGAACATCAGCAAGAGTGAGAAATCTGTAGTCAAAGCTGGGTTATCCGTGGTGTGTTTAGTCGAGGGGGTGGTCTGCAACAGAGGGTGACGCAAGCTGCGACGCAGGCTGCGACGCAAGCCGCCGTGAACGAGCTGATGGATGCGTTCAAGATCAAGTAAATAGACATTTCCACGTTGAGTTTCGAGTTGTACCCTTAATAACGTATAATACACATATATATGGTCATTTGTTTATAAGTTGCGCAGATAGATGGTAGACTGTTCAGGGTTGAGAATGAGACTAATTCGGTATCCCTTTCACTTTTGGATGGATCGTTACTTTTAACGAAACTCTCCGCAACAACAATAATCCGCTAATTTGTAATCCTCTATCTCATTGCTCTCTTTTGTTTCTCTCCCTGTGTCTTTCTTTCTCTCTTGCATGATGTCCACGAATTTGAATTAACGATCATGCCTTTTGAAATTTGATCTGTACGCGCGTGTGTGCACATAACATATTTACTTAACGTGCATATTTGCCGTGTAGAAAATAATCCTGTAAGAATATATATCTGTATCATAGCTCTCTAATGACTATACATATACATACATACGTACATACATACATGTAAGCACTATACACTTTGCGATACTTCGTACTACCTTTGATGGTCTTAGAAAAACTTGATATTATGATATTTTCCAAAATTGCAAATCGAGCAATAAGATATTTAACTGCTTTATAAAATTGGAATCAAAGCACGGTCAGGAAGTTACGAACTAAAAGTATATTATAAATGTATGTCAAGAGAAAAAGCTGGACTCTCTAACGTAGAGATAAGAACGGTTGATCTGATTTCATTGTTATTTTCACACGGCGCGCTGGTGTGAAAACTCGCAGATAGTGTTGTTAGAGCAAAATCTAAGCGTTGAGAATAGTATGAAACTTCTCCAAAACGATGTATTTGCATCCAGTGAATCTATCCTGGAAAGTCTACCAGAACCCGATAATGTGATCGACAGTAGCGTCGCATTAATTGTAGAGTACATTCCATCGTTGAAGAGCGTGAGTGTGATACATATAACACATCACTCAATAAGTTCGTAGGATGACATATAAATGGCGCTACTATTGACAAATCCATATGATTTTTAGGAAGTACTAACCTTCAAATGATACGTGTCAAAATTTCATGACAATCGGACGTTTAGTTCACAAGTTACAATAGTTTTAGTGACGCACGACGTCGACTCGTTTTAGCAAGGCTTCAGTTTCGGCAATCACTTCTTCATTGGAGCCAAATCTCTTTCCTTGGAGCTTTCCCTGCCAATTTGATTCTGGAGTGTAGTGATGGATCCATGTTTCATCCATTGTCACATACCGCATCAAAAAATCCTTTTTATTGCGCTGAAACAGCTCCAAACAGCCCGCTGAATCGTCGACGCGATGCTAAAACGAGTCGACGTCGTATGTCACTAAAACTACTGTAACTTGTGAACTAAACGTCCGATTGTCATGAAATTTTGACACGTATCATTTGAAGGTTAGTACTTCCTAAAAATCATATGGATTTGTCAATAGTAGCGCCATTTATATGTCATCCTACGAACTTATTGAGTGATGTGTTATGATTATACATATACACATATGATTACATATAGATATTGTGGTACGGTCGTGCGTCAGAGCCGCATCCGATATGTATTTGAATTTGCGATATTGAAGGGGAGAACGTCGAACACGTGCGTGGTTGACGATAAAACGAGAAAATGTCATGCTGTTGGGAAGGTAATCAAAATTACGAATTACGAGTGTGTAACATCCAGCTTGTTCCGACACGATTTTTTCGACGGCCGAAACACTACACAAGTATTACCGTAAAGTCTCTCTATATTTTTCTCTTTTTTCTCATTCCATTTACTGTAACGTTTATTATTTTGTTTCTCCTGTAGTAATTATAAAAGAAAACATACATATATATATGTGTATATATATATATATATATATATATACACACATATACATACATATATACCGTATATATATCATATAAAAGAATATAAAGAATACTCTCTACGTAATCTTTACGAGATATAAAGGAAAACAATGTGCTCAGATATAGGATGTGATATAGCGTAGAATGCTTCGGGGATTTTGCATGATAATCCGGAGTCACACGAGATTTCCTCTTTAAATAGTTTAAAACGGAGTAACGTAGTAATCGTACCCTATCGAGAGTAAAATGATAGAACCATAATATCACGTGTAGCGTATAATGAACGTACATTCTCCGTTTGGCGGATGAGGTTCAGAAGCGACATGTTGTGTTATATTTTGTATTACCTTATAGTTGTTTCTCTTCCGAAACTCCCTTGATCACATGCTTGCGTTTCAACTGTATATGTATATACGTAAGAGAAAGAGAAGAAACGCGTATTACAAACTTTCCTGTAATTAGCTATTTTGACGCGTGTTCTGCGGCAAAACGATGTGCCTCGGGATTTTTGCGGTCACTCGCGTGAAATTTTCGGTGCTATCCTTGATGTATAGATGCTAGAAAATCGTGTCGAATAACACACAACGAGAATTTACAAATCCACCGCGTGACATTTACATTTCGTATGACGCTTAAAGTTCTGCCGCGCAAAGGTGGATTGTACCTGTTGTTATGCATAGAGTGATTTATGTTTTCACTTGGAATACATTCTTACGCAATGACCGAGGGAGCAACGAATCGAAGGCGGTAATTGAAGTGCAATTACTAAAAGAAAAAAAAAAGAAAGAAAATATTATTTTTCGTTACAGTAGAGAACGAAGAATATCTTCTCTCTGATAGATGACTAAACTAAAAGAACACCGGCGACGAAAGAGACTCGTATCTTTCGTAGTCGTTACGCTGTTTGTATTCTAAGCGATTTTCGTTATAAAGTATCGCGAATTTAAATACCAGAAGCATTGTAAAAAACTAGAGAACGCTGTAAATGTGTCAATCACGTTACGTCTTACATGCTCAATTCGAATCGTATCGATATCGAAAGGGCCTAATAACATTCCTTGAGTTAATAACATTCCTATTAACATTCCTTGAGCTATGAATGTCGCGACGGTCATGCGTTAGTGCGTTTTAAAAGCTTGCAAAATCTATTGCTCCACCCTCGAGGCATGTCGCAATTAGTCGCATTTGGTATACATTGCGTACACATCACTGGGTGAGAATATTGTACGAATTCATGGTTCAGTTAGATGACTCATGAAGTTCTGTAATATCAGTCGACATCACGTGTTGTTGCTTTCGCCGCAGATTGGCGCGCATTGCATCGACACAGATTATAAAGAAATTCCGCGTGCAGGCCCGCAAGAATAAGTGGTACTATTGTAATGCTATTGTACAGTATAACTTGTATACAAACATATATATATACACACACACACACACACACACACACACACACACACACACACACACACACACATACATATTGAGCTATTGATTCTTCGCACCGCAGCCGGAATTAATCGATCGCGGCGAGGTAACGGGAAGAATGGATCGTATGATTCATGATACGTGATAAGAAATACCATTATTATTATTACTATTATTATTATGAATACTATTACGAAAACGCCGCTATATATTATATTGTAAGAAAGAAATCTGTAGATTCGTTTAGCGCGAAATGCATCATGTTGCACACTCGATAGAGTTTTTCTGTTTTTCTTAATTACGGAGTAGCGTCACTCCCGCGAGATCGTTGTTGTTAAGACATAATGATGAGAATAGACATAAATTAAGAAAGCCTTCTTGCAAGGCTCCCATAGCTCTTCGATCGAGCATATCATGCGTGCACGTGTCGAGTACTGTTGATCGAGATAACACTCGTTTACTTCTGTGCGGATGTTCTATCTTTCGATATTGTCGCATTTATTTTCTTAAGGGAAATGATAAGTTTTAGCTGTCAAGTTCATAGAGACGTATCTGTCCAAAATGAACGTATAGAAATTCTATGTCACGTAATGTATGTTATCAGAGCGAGAAGAGAATCGCTTGTCTCATGTTACGTCCGTGACTGCACCTATAGAGAGAAAGAGAGATTCTCGCGCTAAATTGTAATATTATAAGTTGCAATGTTCTCTATGACAGCTTGATAAAATAACTACGTCGAGTCTTACAACGAAAAGTAATTTCTTTTAGCGGCAGACGCTGAATCTACTTTAATTGAGTAGTTTAATTATATGTTTGACTGAATGGTTTACATAAGCCATATACATATATATGTACAATGTTATGTGTTACACATATATTTCATTTTCGAAGGTACTCGCTTTTTTCTTTCTTTTACGTTGCGCTGTGCTGCTACGACGAGAATCGCGAAGATATCGAAGCCCAATGTTAATAGTAGATGATTACGTTGAGTCAGTGAATATCGTGAAAATGATTTCTACGTTCACAAAAGATCGCACGCAAAAAAAATATATATATATATATATTGTTTACATATAGTGGTCGCGATACACAAGACACTTACTCTCGGCGTATTATATACATGCTTCCATCTAAAGAGCCTTATGTGTCACACTCTAGTTACATACTATGCTTATCTCGTGTAAATCCAACACCGACTAAATAATATAATTTAATTATACCGCCGGTCGAGAATCTTCAGATCGCCGCGCGTATATAATGTTACAAAAGAGAATATATAAAAATGAAAAAAAATAGAAAAAAAGACATATACGCAGAGCGGGGACGGTAAAATATTTCGGCCGAAGCATGAATCGCGGGTTTGCTATCGGCGGGATAGTTTTGATATCTCGAAGAGTCCGGTACAGGCGAAGTTCTGATGATCTTCCGTGTTGTCAAACTTACCGACAGATAAAGAGAAAGAAGGAGGAAGACGATAAAAGCGACTCGATAGATTCGCATGCTTCGAATGAAGTTTCCTTGTGTCGCCTATATTTGTATGTATGCGTGTATGCGTGTGAGCGTGTAAATGATAATTCGAAGTGGCGTCGAATACAAACGTGAAACTTCTCCCTACTCTCCCCTGTACCGAATCCTTCGATTGTACGTGGGCAAAGTAACCCCCAATTAACGAAATAGAGAGCCTTCGATAAGCAAGACTTTGCGGCCGCGATGATATGAGCGAGAAGAAAAATCCATACAGCAAAATCACTATGTACTTCTAACTCTTCAGATATAATCGGCACAGCATAGTTCTCGTCGATTACTAACGAAACAACATTACATTGCCCTTGTTAATTTTTATACCATAATATATATACATATTGATTTTTATAGCCATTTTTATTCGGAATATGTGAATCCGACCAACAAACTGTAACTGCATTCTCGGCAGAAGTGCGAGCATTTTCTCCTCCCCCTTGAGATACATTGTTAAAGAAAAAATGAGGAAAATTATTATACTATAACACACATTGGAGGGTTACTTGGCTAAGTTCTTCTGCGATACACCCCAAAGAGACACGTTGTAATATTGCGCTGTGCGCGCGTACACAACACTGTTTTACTGCAATATAAATGTGTATATAGGGAGTAACATGTTATAGAATATATCTATATGCGTGTGTGCGATGTACATATATATGAGCATACGCGTATGTACGCGTACCTACGCGTATGCATATACGTGCATGCATATGCGCGCGTACGTAAATGAAAAATAAGATTACGTGGAAAAGGAGATTGATCGCTCCCATGAACGATCGAACACGCATTTCCGTCGGGACAATCCTTTCCTCTTTTTCTTGTTGACGGCAAACGGGAAGAAATCCCCGCGTTTTTCGGTGAACAATAAAATACGCGACAAAACTCACAGGGGCTCATCAGTGATGTGTTTTCTCCGCACACGGGGATGCGTATTCGGGTTCTGCGTATTTTCTTTTAGTAGTTCTAAAACCTCACGTTTGCGACCCTATAATACGTTCTCTCCTAATTTACTCGGAATTACTTTTCCTAGGTATTACTTACCGTCGATGGTGATGAGTATGTTTGTATATACGAAATGTTTATTAATACTGTACTGTGGAAGACTGTAAATGTATGATGTAAAAAAGTTTAGTTTTAATTTTAGTTTTAGTTTTGAAGGATTTTACTTTTAATTTTTGTAGAACGTACAATCAACTTTTTCCTGGAGAACTTAATACTTTCGAAAATCATACGCCGGACAATTTAATGAAAGAAGCGTAAATGGATTGTATTTTAATATTTATTTGTCCTGAGAGTGTAGCGCTGCTATTAGTAAAATGCGGAATACGACGTGTTATACGTACCTGTTCATGTTAATCGATTCTTCGTGTAAGGTGAAAACAATGCGATTGTTTCTTACTGCAATAATTAATTTCTGCATGTGATTTATCGCTAAAGCTTATGCATGTTGTGCGGACCTGTTCTATTTCTTCCCAAGATCCATCGTTGTTTATTCATATCCCGTTAATATTTCATAAAATTATTAGCATTATTCTCTTTCTAGTCTTAGCATCTTGTCATTCATGTTTCACAGCAAGAAATCTTCAGATATATAGTCAATATTATTTTTCCGTTAGATATCAGCTTGTGACGCTATCGCGACCAAAACTGAATGTCCGACTAAAAGGATGAAAGTAACAGCCGTTCATTGTGTACTATATTATACATATAGTACACAATGTAAGTATATAATTATAGACAAGCTCTGTCTACTTATTATCTAATTATGAAACTTATGTTATTACTAAGAAAGTATACAATGTGAGTATAGAATTAGACAAACTCTGTCTACTTATTATCTAATTATGACACTTATGCTATTATTATTGTTAAGAAAGTAAGAGACTATGTAACATTTTTAATTGACAGATTTAGTCGGACATTTTGACCTAAATTTCTCGAGTATCATGTATCGATTCTTCCGTCGTTTTTTCCTATCGTTTTTTCCGTTCGATCATCTTGTCCCCGCGACATGCTTCCGCTTTGAATATCGTATGGCACACATATTTAGCACTCACTCTATAATATCTGTCTGTGTTATAGGCGTCCTGTACCCAATATTCCTCCCCGAATTCCCGACAGACCGTACTCTGGCCGACTAAACTGAGCTAGTCCGACTGTCCGAGCGCGCGGCGCAACAACGACGACAACCTGTGCAGAAGACGCACCAGACGTGCGTGCACCCGACACATCAGGGAGAGAGGTCATATGCGGACCGATAACGGGTCCCGAAACGACCGGAAGCTCAGTAAGGCAATGGGATGAAGCCGGAGGATGAGAAAGAGAGAAAAAGAAAGGAGGGGGAAATCGTCTCCGGCGTTGAAGATGAGGAGTTCTGCTCTCTGAAATAAACGTTTCGTCCGACCGACCGACGTATTACTATCCTCTGATCTCAACAGCCTCGACGTCGCGACTCGTTTTCAATGATGAGCTCGTCAGCGGAGACGAACATACGAAGAGAATGAAAGAGATGGGGGGAGGGGGGGAGATGAAGAAGAACCGGGATTACAGCAAAGAACGAACGAGGTGGAGGCAAGAAGGCTGTGCTATATGCGAATAGCGGAGGAAAAGAGAAGGAAGGACCAAGAGAGACGAGTGTATGATGAAGGGTAAAGAGAAAACGGTTCGCCCTGGACATACACAGGACGAGGCAGTCGAGGAATCCCATCAGTCACTTTCTCAACTGCTTCTTTCTCTTACATAATATAGAGTTCGTCTTCTACATTATTTATGCGGCTAGACGCGTTAGATTATATGTTATAGCTTTTAAGTATTAACATCTGGTTTGGCGGGCGCGCCGAGTATCCTTGTAAGAAGTAACGTTTCGTTCGAGACGGCGATCGGAATCTTACGATGAGACGGACGAGCCGGAAGATACGTTCATCGATCTTGCTCGGCTGTTGCTAGTGATTTATACAACTTGTTGAATGTCGCGATTGTATCAGTATTACCGAACGCGCGAGTCAGTGAACGTAGAGAACGATAGGGCGAAACGCCGAGACTGCGATATTCATGTATAGCTCGACTTTGTTGTATAATTTCGATACATTAGGTCAGAGCTGGCCACGATCTGCACATTTCGGGCGAAATTCAGTAGGTGACGCCTACCGTCCCCCTCGCACCGCTCCGCGCTCAGCGGCCGAGGCGACGATCGCGGTGCACTCAGGCCCGTCGCTGTATAAGAAATCAGCTGGGGCGTCACATTATCATTAAAATTGTTTCCTCGTTTAATAGTCACTTTAAAATATATATTTTTATGCGTTATATATATATATATATATATGTGTGTGTGTGTATGCGTTTATATATATAAAAAAAAATATATATATATGTATTAAACACGTAAACATATATATTTTAAAGTGATTATTAAACGAGGAAACAATTTTAATGATAATGTGACACCGCAGTTGATTTCTTATATAGCGACGGGCCTGAGTGCAGCGCGATCGTCGCCCCGGCCGTTGAGCGCGGAGCGGTGCGAGGGAGACGGTAGGCGTCACCTACTGAATTCCGACCGAAATGTGCAAGATCGTGTCCAGCTCTGCATTAGGTTGACGCGTAAGCTTTGTAATGATCTGTCAAAAAAAGTTGGAAAATGGTCAATAGTTTGTAAGAAGCAACTTTCATTGATCAATGAAGTACAATTGTCTTATTTTTTCTTATTTTAGTATTTATTTAGAAATTTCCATATTCTTGTACTTAGACTCTTAAGAATTATTTAAATTTAAAATGTATGTATTTTTGCTTCTGTGCAGCTGTTTATGTATCTTACATCTATTTATATTTTTTGCGTCATCTAAAATTCAACATTCGACACATTTAAAGTTAGTATTTTGTTTTGTAAATATTCGATGAATAGATGTACAGGATTATGGATTTAACAGAAATGACGACTCTTTAATTCGGCCCTTACTTCATCAAACAAAGAGGGGAACAACTTCGTGAAAATTGAAACTGAAAATTGAAACAAATTTTGATAGAACGACAAAGTTTTTGCGTCAATCTGACGTAATTTTAACTTAATAATTATTAATAGACTGTAACTAGAGAATTGTTAAGCGAATAACTGAAACTTTCTCTTGCTTCAAGCGCAGCTTTGATTTTTGTCCAAAATATTCAAACTTTTTCTCGTTCTTCTCGTCGTAAGATCCATCGGAACTGTTGTAGAAAGGACTTTCTTTAGCGTACGAGGCGAGAATGGGCAACCCGATTACCTCGATTGTAGAAGAACTAATTAGAACGGAAAGACTAAGTCACATCTCGTTGAGAAACGAAAGAGGTGAAGGGGGGAGATACGATCAAACATGGTATCAGCATTCCAGAACGTCGAAATTTCGCAATTGATATTATGCGAATATACATGCGAATCATTGTGATGAACGCGGTTGTTATCGCAATGACACGGCGCACATCCTCGTCATTCTAGCCAGAATCGTTTCTTTTTGGTACAATAAAACGATGCCATTTCACGGATTAATCGACCGCGCCAGACAACGAAGATTGCGTAGACAGATTAATCGTCGAAAATGCGTAATGGAAGATGAAAAGGATTCATATTTATTTCGCGGGCAATCATGCGGGATTCGTTTATCATGGCTGCATGCGCGACATGTGTGAATTTTATGTATTTTTTTATATAGAATTATTTTTGCATCAGTTAGCGTTTGTCGCGTGAGGTGTCAACGCCGACAACGCGTCGCACAAACGGAGAACGATATAAAAAAATCGATTCTCTAATGCATGCGCCAAATTTTGCGGCAGAAACACGAAGTAACAAATTGTACATACGAGATATTATAAATATAGTATTATGCGCAAACGTGTACGTGCTAAAGGAGGAGATGAGGAAGAAGAGTCTTTTATATTACCAAACCTTATTATATACTAATACGCTAGTAGCCACTTAGCTATGGTACTCGAAACCGACTGACGAGGAATGTACCTAGAACGTACGATCAATCAAATAAATGATATTTAATGCAATTTTGTTCGATTTATTGAGAAAGTGAAAGAAGCACTGTTTCTGCCACGGGTTATGATGAAAAATATTGTAATTTAAAATCCATTATTAATATCCTGTCGCATTGTGCATACGTGAATGTGTGGGCTCGTATAATATCTTATTACATCACGTTCCTACAAGTCATTTTATTGTATCAAATGAAAGAATGTGATTTTTTACTCGTAATTATAAGGGAATTATATTTTCATACAAGAGAATTAGCTCTTATTATATATCTGGCTATTATAGTGACGATTTGTAGTAACTGAGATGGATGACAGATAGCTAGCTAACTTAACCAAGTGATCAAAATAGTTTCGAAAATGTAGCGTAAATTATCAATCGTTATTGACATGTCCCGTGAAGAGTGAAACGTTGCGTACTACATCATCAATACATTGTAATACCGAGTGAAAGATTCAAGTTATGTCAGAAGAAATTTGTCATCGCAATCAGGATAGGCTCGATCACATATTTGAGCAAGTGAAAGTACTTTCGGGCGTAGTGGATGAACTTCGAACAGAAGTGAACAATCTGAAGGAAATATCCCTCAATGCGAAACGCGAAGAGGACTTGTTCGAATGTACAAAAGTAATCAACGAGATTGATCATGTTAGACCTTGTGTAGTAGTAGGCAAAGTGAAAACATATCTTGAAAATGTCAGGGACTTAGCAGCGACTGAGGAAATTTGTCAGCTTGCGGAAAACAACCAGGTAATTTCAAAACGTAACATTTATTCTTGAGTGTTAAATGCAAAGGTTTCACATAAATAACATATGTACGTATATCGCGATTATAATACAATTATGACATGTATTAGATTTCTAAATCTGGCTCGATCTCTCCGAGTCGTCGCACGGGACAGTTTAAAAGAGAGAAGAAAGAACTTTCGTCCTACAAGCACCCAGCACCAAAAACTTTGTCGACAATATATGATGGTCTGAAATCCTTTAAGAACAAGCTCGTCAAAATCATACACAGCGTCCCAGTGCCTCAGTTATCTTTAAAAAGCACGAAGAATAAATGCGTTACGTCCAGTCGACAGCGGCAAATTCGTTTTTCGCAAAGAGAAAAAAAAGGAAAGTTCTATGAACTTGACAGAGCAAACGGGAATGACGTTTGCATCGAGTGCATCGACATCAACGATGAGCCCGATGATTCAACGGATACTTTACTTACATCGGATGCTTCTGCGGACGTCACTACTTGTTTATGTCAAGAGGATAATGAAAAACTTGCTTATTCTTCATATCGGGACGTAAGAACAACGGACGGGACGGAGAGCGGAGAACGGGAGAACAATGCGCAAGCTAGTTCGTTGATAAATAATAATCGACTTATCATTCGTTCAAATTGGATTACAGACGAGTTATCGAAAGGTCGTGTGAAGCAAACGTTCTTGAAGAATAAGTTCAAAAAGTACAAGATATGCTCGTGCGGAAGTCAGTGTCCTTACGCATTATATAAATTGCCATGCTGCCAAGAGCAAAACAATTCATCGGAAAAGAAAACAGACGAAGAAGACGGCGGATTGACGCTCGAGTGCTCCAGTTTCGAGGAACAAAATAATTTTCCCAAGTTTGTGAATATGGATGCGAGAAGAGAGGACTGTTGCAACGAGTGTCTTGCTGATTTTAGTCTGAACGAGTCTTCGCTCTCAGTGGATGTCAAGGCGGACGTTTGCTGCGACTACGGCAAGCCGGAGAACGTCATTGACGAAATCCCGAAACGAAGGACCAGAACACATGTTATGAGAGAAGCAAAGAGAAATGACAATGCAATAAGTTACTTTAGAACCGAGAATGAACCGCTGACATATCTGGAAGGAAATCAGCAAAGATATCGGACTAGAATGGAAGACTTTACCCACGATTATCGGTCGATAAGAAATAATGATAAACCAGTTCAATGTTCGTCAGCGACTTTGAGAGCCGTTCGAAGAATATCTGTGAAGACTTCAACTCCGGACTTTCGACGTGGTACCTCAGCGAGTCGACCGTGTCGAGTGACAGATATGATAAAGCATATGAATTTTCCCAAGGTGATAATTCCAAAGCAAATGAAAATGAATAATATGCATACGCAAACCGAGAAGCATTCGTACTTAAATCGTCTACGAAGTGTCGACTTGCCGATCGTTTTAGACGTTGGCAACGAGCAATGCATAAGAAATATTCATGAGAATGGAAATAAAAAGATAATAAGGAATATGTATGATTTTCCGAGAGAAAAAGCTTGGTCTCGAGCCGAAAGATATGATACGCAATTCGCACTTCTAACGGAACAAGATGGTGAGACTTATTTAAATAAATCTTCAAACCAAGCGAGCTTTTTAAGTTATCGGCGCGATGGAACGCCTCCTTTAAGAATTTCCTGTCCGTATCGTTGTGATCGCGTTCTTGCTGAAAAGCATAAAAATCTTGCGATTCTGATGTCGCGTTTTGCCAAATATCATCCTTCGTTGGACGAAGGATTTTGACATGAGTAATGTGTCAGAAAGACTATGGCTGCTTCGAGAAAATCGAGGATATCGCCGCGTGATAAACAGCAGGGATTCTGCTGTTTTCGAGTTTTCTTTTTTCTATTGAATCGGTGAATCATGGTCACACTGTGTAACATAAAAGCCGACGTAATAAAGCAAGCGTAGACAATGCCGCCCATTATGTAAAATATAATTTATTATAGTCGTAACATTATTCTCGAATATATAATAAACACGTAAACGTAACGAATGTATAATATATATACAAATTGCATTCTTGCAACGGCTTCAATTGCTCCGAATCCCACTTACATAAACGTGTATTTTCAGCACTCTGGAGAAAAATACATGATGATAGATATTTTCTTAACATCATTAAGTAACATCTTGTATAATGCTTGTAACTGTGTTTCGGGATATACGACGTAGATGGATACATACAAATTTACGCGAGAAGAATGTCGACGAATTTGTGCAGAATAATCTATCTTGGATATATGATCGTATATCGCGCACACGCATTTTTCTTCACATCGTTGATTTGGACGAATGATCGGACCAATTGTATGGTCCGAACTCTGGAAAACATGCTCGAGGCAGCGCATTGTACACATATCGTACTGAAATTTACAGATACATCCAGCGAATAGTTTTTCGAGAATATCTCGTACGAGTCCCGATGCGTGAAATTATATGAATATCAACGTGAACCAAAAGATAATATCGATGAAGTATCGATGAGAAAATATGTCTGATGGGCGTTACTTATTTCTCTACTTCATCTCGTTACAACAGAGATATAATCGATGATGAACAGATTGCGAATGTTGATGATATAACATAGTAATAAAAACAAGGTTATATGCAACGATCTTACGCTACTGAGAGACAAACAATACATATAACAGTTTCACATTCAACGTATATTCATTATACAAAATATTTGTTGTGTATTGCGCGACGACGCGGAGACAAAATCTCTCGATTAACAAATCACTTGTTGCCACAAAGTATAAAAATTACAGATTGCATCCTTAGTAAAGTATCATTTGAGCTTCGGTAGATTCTTCTTATTCTGAAGGATAAAATCTTACATAGAGTTAATGGAAGAACACTTATTAATGTGAAATATTTTAAGCTTCTCGCAAACAGCACAAGTCTTAGAGACTCTTGGAGACATCTAAGAAGGCAATTTAAAACAAGTAGAATATCTCTTAAACATCTCTAAGCCGTCTTTTAGACATTTTGTTATTTAAGATTAGGTTATAATCGGGGGACAACGAAAGGGATCGAAGAAAACAGTAATCGTCGATTTGCTGGGAGATATGAGGATTTCAAATAACGATTTGAAATCTGTGTGTGTCTTTGATACATATACACGTCGTGTAAGAAAAAAAGAACAAATCGCATATGCGAGTATCCGTTTCCGCAGGGATGATGACGCGATAAAAATTTATTTTTGTAAATCGGCCTTCGTCGCAAATTCATCATTCAATCGCACTAAGCTCGCTCAAACGTCCATGTCTCATGCTCGCCATATCACTCGTCTTTTAGGCTCTCCTCTTCTATGTGATCGGCGAAGCACTCGCGTGTAGATTTCACGAAAGTTGTGTTCATGACCGTATATACCTGCTGCATTAGTTCTGGAAGATCATCCTTGGTCATACCGGTGGTAGGAATGGGCGGTAAGATCGTGATGTAACTATTTCCTGAAATATAAAGTCCGCCATTCAGATACGTGTTCAAATGGGCGCGCTTCGCAAGAAATCACGGTCGATAGAGACTCACCTGAATGGAACTGTTTACGCTTGTCATTTAGAAAATAGTACTTCGACACGACAATCGGCTGAATCGGCATTTGCGACTTGATCGCGACATGGAAAGCGCCTTTCTTGAAGGGAAGCAAAGTGTTGTTCGAGTGGCGGTGTCCCTCAGGGAACAGAAGGAGTCTTCGCTGGAAAATACGATTCTTTTTATATCGCAAGTTACAATCATCTCTTAATAATGTAGAGAGCCTAATTACCTTCGTCAGGCGGATCGATTCCGCTGTGGCGTTGATAGTCTGACGAGACTCCTCGACGTTGCCGCGATTGATGAATACTGTTCCCCAAAGCCAACACGCAAGACCGAATGGTCCCAGATACAGAATCTCCTTTTTGGAGATGACGCTGCATCGGTCCATCGACAGCCACAATTTACCTAGAACTATATAGAGCCTGACTTTATCGCATATATGTGCAAACGACATTTGTATCATGTACGTATATTCCCTCACACAGTGCCGCGATAATCGCGGAAACTGTTCGCGGGAACTGCTTGTAATTACCACAAAGGTCCAAGGAGCTCTGATGATTGATGAGCACGACACAGCCTGTATCTTTGACGATGTTCTCTCTTCCGCGCAAATGGTAATTGATCCCGAGCATCTTAGCTATTATCACCACCCCACGGGCCGGCATACTGAAAGTTTTCGTCTCGTTAAATGGAAAAAAGACTCTTCATGATATGTACGCGAAAACGACAAAACGAAGATAACTTGATGTCTAAAATTGTTTAACCATCAAGTCAAATAGAGTTTGATCAATCGTAAGAGTTTACGCACGACGATTATTTGGTTGACGAAGTCAAATTTAAGAAATCGAACCGAATAGTCTTTTTCATCGACCCGACAGATTCCGTGTAGATCGCACGAGTCATCTTTTATTTTTACTTCATTATTTCGGGGATCCTCTCGCATCCACTTAGGTTCTTGTGGAAACTTACATTGCGTTTTTCCAACTTCTCATGCGACAGAACATGAAAGGTATCCATATTCCTGCAGCTATAGCGCTCGCCAGTATAAAGAAAGTGAATTTTGATCGATACTTGAAGCTTTCACTCACACTCAGGGCGAAGAGCATCACGAAGAAGAACACCACTGCGAGCCCGAGCGACGAGCAGATATCGCATGATAATCTGAAAAACACGAACATGAAATATCATTAATGCTTTCGTCTTGACCTTTACCTAGATGATTCATCTAAATAGCACAGACTCCTGGAAGACAACTTGAAGACGTTTCCTAGGAACTTGTACTATATGGGCAGGCATGATGAAATTTCTGACGCGTATAGATATCATTATTTTGAAATATAAATGTTTAATTATAATAATTATGATGATAAGATAATTATTATATGAAAATATGATAATTATAATCATAATAATAATTACTCTTTTTTTCTAATTTCATTAAGTATCTGTTTTCCATTACAAAGGACAATTTGAAAGGACGTTGAAGCATGTAGGAGTATAAGTATTCCCACAAAAGTAAAAAAAAAAGTATACCGATCCTTTTTATAATCCTATCCTCTCTTCGAATCATCCTGTACGAAAGTCTGTAGAACGAACGCATTTAAGTGTCTCACTGAAATAACTCATATAATTAAACTAGCTTTCATAATTGATAAGAAAAATCGTACTTTTTCTCGCTCTTGATATTGCACAAGGTAATATATAAAACTCCAGCCTCGAGATTATTATTTACTCTTATATAATTGCGAAAAAATAACCCACTCTTTGCCCTGTAGAAGAAAAAATTCTCCGGGAAAAATCATGCTGGTTTTTTTGCAATTCTACGTATAGGAATTCGCATGCACTGGTTTTTTTGCAATTCTATGTATAGGAATTCGCATGCATTGGTTTTTTTGCAATTCTATGTATAGGAATTCGCATGCATTGTTGCGCACGTAAGCTATAATAATTTCATCAGTATAGTCTTTATGGTTAATTAGAGTTTTATAAAAAGACAATCTTCGTGGCTGATTGAAAGGCATTCAATATGATTTATATATATTTTATATGTAATTCTTTTTATATATAATTCATATGTAATTTATACATAACTTTATATAATCCTCTTTGTTTGGGTGGGAACAAAATATCCTACAGGAATTCTTTTGTTCCTATAATCAAGTTTTCGTCTGATCCTCAGGTAATAGAAAATTCAGGGTAAAAGTGGGGTTTAGGGGACCCACCTCCAATGAGCTTGTCATTGATATATATTATCAAGGATACCCTACTGAGTGACATTCAAGAGGTTTTAGCCGTCGCTCATTGTTTGTTAAAAAATAATTAACAAAAGAAATTTCATACATAGAATGTAATTTTCCGACACCATGTATATATTTAAGGAATGAGCATGTGCTATACACGCGCTATATATGAATATATTCACCGCACTACGAAACTCGTTCTGTTTTGATTATTTCTATTGTGTATATTCTTACTTGGTATGTTTCGTATTATCTGTATTATTACTCTCAGTTGCTCTTTCGTCGTTCAACTAGTTGGTCCCCGCGCCCGGAGCCCCTCCCCCGCGCATATACGTGTACTATTTACTATATTCCTTTGTATATACTATGTGCAAAAATATACACATGAGTATATATATGCAATATTTATACAACTTTTTTTGTCAATAACTTTTTAATAAACAGTAAGCGACGGCTAAAACCTTTTTAGTGTTATTTAGGAAGGTGAGTTCTATAACATATATCAATATGAAAACTATCAGAGGTGGGTCCCCTAAACCCCACTTTTACCAAATTCAGTTACATTAATGAAATTATTTTTTTCATGTTTCTCTCATAATCCGTTTTAATATACTTTTAAAAAAGATCCACGACATTAAACTGTATCTCGACATAACTGTTTATACAATTTATATTATATGTATAAACTTTATAAATAATATAATTTATATAATTTAATAAAAGAAATTCAAATCATGCGAGGTATCGTAGTTACGGCATTGCAACTTGAACTTAGTGTTACTATTCACCAACGTATAGAAAGTAAATTTAATTAACAATGACAACGAAAGATCATTCCAAGTAGATGCAAGGTTTAACATTTATATCGCGCTTTTAACCGTTCTTTCATTATTACCGGATATTATCTAGATATAATTGTTGATTATGCAAAATGACTACTTCGCGAATTCCACAATTCAAAGACGCACCGGACTGTGAACTGTCCGCTATCTTCGCTATAAAATCTTGTAAATATAGTCAGTTGTGTATTCTCCACAGGCTATTTCGTAAGAGATAACACATTGGTATCAGGCTAGTTGATAAAAGTGTAGATAGTGAAAATTAGACGCAAAATGAACGAATCTTCGCGATTTCACAAGTTATTCTAACAAGAATCTTTGTTATCACGTAATAATATCCGCAGAAACATGCTCTTTCTTATTCCTTCTCTCTCTCTCTCTCTCTCTCCCTCTCTTTCAATTATCCCTCTCTCTCAATTATGGTAAAATAGCATTGTCATCCGGCTCATTGCTCCATACGACATGAGAAAATGACCACTGTGTCATAATCACTGCGTGATAACGAGCTATGTTTTCTCATTACGTGATAACGTCGAGATATACCCTCCGCTTCGTATATTATTTTATTTTTAGTAACGCCGCACTTAGTCATCCGGAACGCGATTGGTCTTCCTGAAATCGTCCGATTTACATTTTTTGTTTTTATCCGTCAATCTGTTTTTGCAATATTCCCACGATGATATCGCGTGTCCACGAAAGCTTATTACAGTATAATATGGTAAATAATATGGTAAATATCTATAAAACATAAAATGTAACTTGTGTTACGTGCGAAAATGATATAACATCACATCACTCAATAAGTTCGTAGCATGACTAATAAAACAACAACTTTTAGGCAAAATTTGACTTTATTCATCTACATAGTCTCCTTCAAGAGTGATACCAGGTCTGTAAATATAAAACCGGAATTTGCCCATAGATGATTCTAGCTGTCAATGTAATTACCGTCAAACCGCGTCATTGGCACCATTTCCATTTGTTGACATCTGACAAAGATTTTCAACTCACAACAATACAAGTTTCATACAACAGCATAGTTTGTAATAGCGTTGAACATGTCGAATTTTGTGTCTGGAAGCTACGATTTGCGGACAGCATTGATTTTCTGTTACCATTTGAAGAAAACTGCTGCAGAATCGCATCGAATGCTTGTCGAAGCTTACGGTGAGTATGCTCTTGGTAAATCACAGTGCTTTGAGTGGTTTAAAAAATTCAAACGTGGCGATTTTGACGTGAGAAACGAAGAACGTGGAAGACCATCGAAAAAGTTTGAAGACAGCGAATTGCAAGCATTGTTGGATGAGGATGACGCTCAAACGCAACAACAACTCGCGGATCAATTAAATGTGACACGAGAAGCCGTCTCCATACGTTTGAAAGCCATGGGAAAGATCCAGAAGATGGGAAAATGGGTTCCACATGAACTGAATGAAAGTAGGAAAGTAGGAAAACCGAAAAACCACTTGCGAAATGCTGCTCGCCAGGTACAAAAGAAAGTCATTTCTCCATCGAATTGTGACTGGCGATGAAAAGTGGATATATTTTGAGAATACTAAGCGTAAAAGATCATGGGTAACTCCAGGCGAACCATCGACATCGACTGCAAGGCCAAATCGCTATGGACGGAAGACAATACTCTGTGTTTGGTGGGATCAGAAGGGTGTGATCTATTATGCTAAAACCTGGCGAAACCGTTAATACTGAACGCTACCGACAACAAATGATCGATTTGAATCAAGCTTTGCGTAAAAAACGACCAGAATATCAAAAAAGGCAACACAAAGTGATTTTGCTTCATGATAATGCACCATCACACACAGCAAAACTGGTCAAGGAAACGATTGAGGCGTTTAGTTGGGAAATACTTTCACATGCGGCTTACTCACCAGACTTGGCTCCGTCCGATTGTTACTTATTTGCATCGATGGGACACGCACTTGCTGAGCAGCGCTTCACTTCTTACGAAAATGTACGAAAATGGCTCGATGACTAGTTTGCCTCAAAAGAGCAACAGTTTTTTTGGCGTGGCATCCACAAATTGTCAGACAGGTGGGAAAAATGTATAGCCAGCGATGGGCAATACTTGGAATAAAATATTTTTTATCATTTTTATACAATAAACGTGTATTTTCTATACAAAAATATTCCGGTTTCATATTTACACACCTGGTACATTGATTCCAACGCTTCTCCAACATTTCGATGGCTTTTTTGTAGAACGATTTATCTTTGGCCTCAAAATAGGCTTCAGTTTCGGCTTTGGGCGAGTTTCGCCGGTTGCTGTCCACTCAGCTGACTGCCGATTTGACTCTGGAGTGTAGTGATGGATGCATGTTTCATCCATTGTCACATACCGCATCAAAAAATCCTTTTTATTGCGCTGAAACAGCTCCAAACAGCCCGCTGAATCGTCGACGCGTTGCTAAAATGAGTCGACGTCGTGCGTCACTAAAACCACTGTAACTTGTGAACTAAACGTCCGATTGTCATGAAATTTTGATACGTATCATTTGAAGGTTAGTACTTCCTAAAAATCATATGGATTTGTCAATAGTAGCGCCATTTATATGTCATTCTACGAACTTATTGAGTGATGTGTTATATGTAACGATCAAAATTTTTGTTCGTTACGTTAACTGCCGCTAAACATCACACGGCAGTCAGCTGAGTGCGCACCCCCTCCCCGTCCGAATCGCGCTACCACCGCGCCTGAAAGCGCTCAACAGCAGCCAACAATGGCCGAACACCAGGCCACCACGTTCGGGAACGTTTGGTTCCCGAGCAGTACTCGCGGCGTCGCCGAAAAAAAAAACTAATCGGCGCTCGCCGCATCTTCACGATTAATCCCGACGATAATCAGGATAATCAACGACTAATACCCGAAAGAAACCGAAGATGAAAAAGTACGGGTATATAAGTCCGATAAAATTTGACCAGGGAGCAGTCTTCTCGGATCGTTCTTCCTGAGAAGTACAATAGCGCCTCCAGAAGATCGAGAACCGAGTGAGTAATCTACCAGGCCGCAGTCGTCGGCAACCGTGATTACTTCCTGTCTTTGCGATTTATAGATCGAACGGCGAGTTTGTCGTTGCTCCGGTGAGTTTTCCGGAAGGATCTCCCGTTCTTGTACCGTTTTGCGATTTAGAGGACGAGCGGCGAGTTTGTCGCTGCTCCGGTGAGTTTTCCGGAACGTTTTCGTAATTGTGTTTTCTTTTTCCTCTCTACTTCGTATAGGAATCTGAGAAGGAATCAGGGGCACGGCAGCACGGCCCGGCGGCCGGCGATTGCAATTCCGCGACCTAAAATGCATCGTGCCTTTGAGCGCTATAAACCCACGGCATCCCGCACCCCTCATAAAGGAATAGGAAATTCGTCTCAACATACGCTTTCTCCTCGTGATATTCGACCGAATCAATAAAGAAACACGCTGCTTTATTCTCGCGCCTCGACTCGCAGCCGAGTCCTTATACTTAGGTGCCGCGTTAGAGATAACGCGACGCATTTTTGTAAACTTTCTTGCGACCAGCAGTCGTAGACCGCACCGAAGGCACGGCCTTTTAAATCTAACAGAATACACCGGCAACGCTCGCCTCGAATTCCCGTTTCTGGGGACCATCCGATTCACCGTTGCAATCATCTATCCACAGATCTGTATATAATTTGTGCCCGAGTAGTTATTTCATGTACGCCTTGCACGTTCCGACACATAAAAATATTCTTTAATTGTCCAGCGGGTAAAAGCCATCTCGTGTATGCGAACTCTATTATCTACAACGACAATAGCGCAACGAAAGCCACGTACCACAACAAACAGTGAGACGTCACGCAACGACACACGGTCGCCGCGTACTAAGAAAGAAAAATAAAGCGTCATTTTATACACACACACAGGTTTCGATTATTAAACAACGATCACCTTCTCCTAATAAATTCCTGCGCCCGAATCGTCGCGAACGATCAAGAGCGCAGGGCCGGCGATTAGAAAAAAAGAAAAACCGAACCTGGAGGCGTGACCGTTACATATATATACATGAAACAACAGCAGCGTACGATCGAAATGTTTTACATAATTGAAGCGTGTACTTACATTCACGGAAATGACACAAGGATAATATTCTTTACATGGTTATATATCCCTAACTATTCATTAAAAAATTCAAGAGTTCGCTCTACAAAGAACATTCTACGTAAATTATTCAATGAAAAAAATTGATCAGTTGTTCCTTTCATGGTAACACTATCACAGAAACAATGCACTTTGTAACGATTGATTCGACCTTTTGAGTACTACAAATGCGTATATGTGTTAGGAGAATATCATCGATATGAACTATAGACGCATATACGTGTCTGTCAAATTTCTACAATTTATAGCTCTAGATGCAAGTAGCAGTTATCATTGATATGCCCTCGCATTTCAGCGATATTTCAGCGATAATAGCAGATAAGATTTCACTTATCTCGATACATTATGCTCTCGATTTCTCAGGAAGTTATTTCTTTCGCTGATTGATTTCCGGCAGTTCAAAATATCTTCTCTTCGATGATCGTTTAGTTTCAAAGTGCTCCGCTCATTCCAAAGGTCGAGCAACAAATCGTTAATCATCAATTTCACTGGAAATTTTAACATATTTCTTCGCATTATTCATTCAGTTGCATTCGCGACTGTTGACTTGTGTAAAGGCAGCACGCTTTTAAATGTGTCACTTCAGAATTACGTCAGTATGGAAAATCATGTTAAGTCGGCGAAGCATTACGAAATAGCATTACACTAGAAGAAAATAAATGCAATAAAATTAAGTAAAGTAAGGCAAGGTAAAGAAATGATCTAGCGTTCGTTTTAGCATATAACAATACATTTAGCACATATCAATATGTGCATAAATATATATCCTAGGCAAAATAGGAAATTATGATGACATTAAAATGACCAAATCATAATAAAAAAATTGTTTTCCTCATCATTTTGACGTCATTTTGATGCCAATATGATTTTTTATTACCTGGATATGATATATATGGCCATGAAAATACAACTTGTCGAAAACGAAGTTTAGAACGGAACTTGCTGAACGAAGGTTTCTAAATTTTAAGAAATTTCGCTGAATAGCGACAATCCAACGACATTATTATCGATCTGATATAATTCCGTTTGAAACCCGAAACACATAACATCCTGAAATAATAGGATACTTCGGTACCCCTTAATTTTCACGATGAAAACGACTGAAAGTATCAGTTACTGATACATTGTCAATTGTTAATAACAATGCTAAAAATGGAACGTTAACGTTTCAAAAGCTCGACGTTAAAGGAGTGCAGCAAAATTCTTGTTTCTTTTCATATGAAAATACCTATGTGCAAAAATACTAAGGTGTCTGCGCGTTTCTCCAAGAAACACCTGACATAACTTGCAAATGAACCAATTCCCGTCTAAAAAACATACATATTCCGTGGAAATATACAGTTTCGTCATCCAATGATATGATATCAAAAGCAATACTCAACGATATTATGATTACCAAGCTCTAGACGTTATTATGACAACAAGCACTTAACGTTATGATAATAACAAGCCAGCCTCGCTTGTGAACATCGTTATACGCGCGTTTTATCGCGCGGATGAAAACGACGCGTTGTCCAGATGAAATCACCGGCAAACTCATTGTGATCCGACACTCGTCATAGAGTTCAAATTCTTCGCGGATTCGCCCATGAAACCAGCACGTGGCTTACTCTCATGCGTCCTTTAACTCTTCGTCACAGCTTGCACTCGATAAACATCGAGTAACGATCGCGTTATTAATAATAACTGGAGCGCGGGTGAGAGACGTCTCATCGAGAAATCCTCATTCGGTTTTTTCGTTCGATATTACGCGCTCGCGTGTGAAATCGACTGCAGGGTACTTATTATGAAACTCGTCGGAATCGATTCCGATCGAATTTATTCCGTTATTTCCTAGATTTCTATTGTCTTTTCTAGGGGAAACGGAATTATTCCGATTGAAGTCGATTCCGACGAGTTCCATGATAGGTGCCCAGGGTACCTATTATGGAACTCATCGGAATCGATTCCGATCGGAATAATTCCGTTTCCTCTAGAAAAGACAATAGAAATCTAGGAAATAATGAAATAAATTCGATCGGAATCGATTCCGACGAGTTCCACAATAGGGACCGATCAAAGGCCGATGCCGTCGAACCTCGATATTACTCACATGTTGAACATGATAGGCAACTTAGCGGACACCGTGCACCACGATTGACCAAAGACAACTGTCAAATGCCGCGATAGCCGCGTTTGTCGTACTATATCGCGCCAGCCGTCACGGACACATGCATGAATATTGAACAATGAGCCGGTCCCCGCCTTTCATAAACTGTGACTCGCTCTTTCGAAAAACGCAGCTGAAGGATCGAAGTTCGATTAAGTAAACTCGTACACACTGTCGTCACGAAATAATAAATCATGATATATCGTTAGTCATAAATATAAATAATCGCGCGTACGAGCGAGAAATCGGCAGATTTGCAAAATCTCCAGTTTTACAGGGACGAAATTGGAAAATTAGTCGTAAAATGATAAGTCGTTGTAAATTCGAACGATGAATATGCTTTGGATTAAACTAGAGTGCTCTTTTCTGTTTTTATTAAAATTTAGGGTTATATACGCGCGATTATTTGTAAATGATAGTGACCGATCAAATTGATTGTATCTTGTATTTATATTAAAATTTGATTTAACATTTGTACTCGTAAAATTGAATGTTTGTTATACATACCTATTGAGCATATTCATAAATTGAAAGTAAAAGCTATTTATTTAACCCGTTGTTCAATCGTATTCCAATCTCGATGCCGCATAGAAGATTGTGGCGACTCGTAACGAAAACATTAGAACTACGTTTTGAATTCCACGGGTTAACGAAACATTTTTCGCCATCTAACAGTGTCATGAGAGACTTGCTAGCCCAACTAATTTGAATCTCGGATAAGAAAGGTTTGAATCTTGAATAAGGGGTCTTTTACTGTTCTAACAGAGAGAAATCTGAGAGGCCTTCTACAATAAGCAATTAGTCATAAGCTATAAGCAAATTGACCAATCACAATTGATTATTTTAAAAATAATCGACTGTGGTTGGTCAATTTGGTGACAACTTATGACTAATAGCTTATTGTAGAAGGCCCATGAAAGCGGCTAACACGGCATTTTCTGCGACACCGACTTTCCGCACTAAAGTTCCTCAAATGAGTTGGGACACGACTTTACTGATTTCTAATTGGCGAAGGAGATGTCCGTCATTAAAGGCCATCACACACAACTAACTTAAGCAGTAAGATGTAAGCAGTAAGCAAATCGACCAATCACAATCGAAATTTAAGGACACCATTTTAAAACTTACGAGAATAATTGATTGTGATTGGTCAGTTTCTTTACTGCTTACGTCTTATACCTCGTCTACAATAGAAGTCGTAGAGTCGTAAGTCGTAGAAATTGACCAATTATAGTCCGGTAAGAGAAAAATAATCGACCGCGATTGGTCAATTTGTACGACTTACGACTCTATGACTTCTATTGTAGACGAGATATTAGGGCCAGAGCACAAACTTCTACATAACGCATAATACATAACGCATAAGAGAATCAACAAATCAGAGTTCTTCATTTCTGTCCTGAGGAGGGAAATGAAGAAAACTAATTGGTTTATTCTCTTATGCGTTATGTATTATGTGTTATGCAAAAGCCTGTGCTCTTGCCCTTACTGTTTACGTTCATTTGTGTGTGTGATGGCCTTAATAGGGAAAGACATAAGTGAGAATGAGAGAAGATGTTTTGACAGACGCTGCAGTGGTTGCATTCTTCGTTGAAGGAAGCAAAAGTGAAAAGGTAAAATTACATTCATATGTGAATCTGACCCCCTAGCATATATGATTGTAGTGAGAAATTGAGATAGTAGTACAACTCAAAGACAATTTAGACAGATTTTTATTTTTGAGTAATACTGCTCAATGATAAGCTAGACAGATTTTATTTTCACATCACATTGGCCGATATTTATAGTTAGGTCTTATATTTAAGACTGCCTTAAGTTCACTTTCAGATACCCCACAGCCAATAAAATGATTTGTACAGCATCTGAAGATAAAGAGTTTGTTTTCTATTGCTGAACTGGCTGTACTAATTTACACTTGTTCTCTTCTCTCTCTTTCACTAACTCCTAAATATATATTTCTCTTTATGTTCCCTGAGTGTACACTAGTTCAGCGATAAAAAATAGACCTATACTTAAGACGGTCTTAAATGTAAGATCCGACTATGAATACCGGCTATAAATTCGTATACCGCTACTGTGTTCGTACGATCGCGGACATAATAATGTGTGCCCGTTTTTTGCAACTTTCGGAACGCATCCCGACTCGAGAAGAATGAGAGTCATTGCTCCGCCTGTGGAGCACGCCTGCGCAGTGACTCACAACGAAAGGCGAGAAATGAAATATACGGTGGGACATATTATAATAATAAGCAACTGTTATATAACAGCTGCTTCTGTATCTAATATCATTGCTTCTGCTATAGAAGATGGCTGTTGCTGGAACAATAAATCACATATAAATGTATAATAGAATCGTAATTATCATAATGCAGCTTAATTCTCTTAATTAAGTTCGTATTGTTTTAAAAACATAAACATGTTTATTTAATGCTGGAGTATTCATTTCATCTGAGTCTGTATTATTATAACATGTCCCACCGTGTATATTTCATCTCTCGCCTTTCGTTGTGAGTGACTACGCAGGTGTGCTCCGCAGGCGGAGCAGTGACTCTCATTCTTCTCGAGTCGGGATGCGTTCCGGAAGTTGCAAAAAACGGGCTATTATATCCGCTACATACTATTATACTATTATCCGATACATACTATTATGTCCGCGACCGTATGGTTACGGGCATAAAGGTTGTCACTTTTTTTTTTAATGACTTTCGGGACGCATCCCGACTCGAGAAAGATGAGAGCTGCTGCTCCGCCTGCGGAGCACGCCTATGCAATAACTCACAACGAAAGGCGAGAAATGAAATATACGTGGTATGACATAAGTATGTCAACAATCATTGCATTTAGCGGAGAAAACCGCTCGATGAGAGATTAATGACTATTAGTCCTTATTGTTAGATCCTTACATTCAGACCAATAACGTTGACAAATTATTCAACAGTTGCTCAACCGTTGAGTGTCGTGAACGTACCCAATTCTTATATTTTGAAAAATCAGCAGCGGAGGGATAGATACATAGTGCAAGTCATTCAAAGGGGAATGCGTCTTTTGTAAGGTATTAAACAGGTATGTATATTAAATTTTAAGTGAAATCACTAATCGCTCACTGAGCGGTTTTCTCCGCTGAACGTAATGATTGTTGACATACTTATGTCATACCACGTATATTTCATTTCTCGCCTTTCGTTGTGAGTTACTGCGCAGGTGTGCTCCGCAGGCGGAGTAGCAGCTCTCATCTTTCTCGAGTCGGGATGCGTCCCGAAAGTTAAAAAAAAAAGTGACAACCTTTATGTCCGCGACCGTACAAGCTGGAGAATGGCGTATGGGTACACCTTACTACCTAAAGCCATATACCAAATGAACGAACGAACGAACTGTGTTCGTACACATCTTATCTCATGGAAAGAGTCTTTTGTTCGCCTCCGTGGCGGTTGGATGTGGTTCTTGTAGCTACGCATATTTTTTGATCGCGGGGACTGCGTACGCGTTGTCCCCGTTTTTCTTTCTACTTCATATTACTGGGAAATGGCGTATGGACATTGCTGAATGTAGTCCGGAGCCATATAACGAATAAAAAAAAAATTATCTCATGGAAACGATGACTGGCGTTGGAGCAGAACTGTTCTGCTTGAAGCCATCTATTGAACTATGAACTGTGTTCGCACGACAGTGTGTTTTGAAATATTTCATGCCATTGTACGATTGTCTGTGAATTTGTCTCTCTGATGGCGTCTCCCGCTCCAAAATCACCCGAATTATCTGAAAAAGCTCGCAAATATGATAGACAACTAAGGTATATATAGTCGCCAATTATGATATTTTAAGATTATGTTTGACAGTTTTATATACCCTCTATTCCTTTCACTTAGACAATTTTATATGTCGAGTCTGTCAGTACACCAATCTTTCAAAACTAATTAAATTTTCTTTGATTATATTCTCTCCTTTTCCTTTCACGCAATAACATTTTTGAATACTGTGAAATACATAATCTGCTTTCTTACTGACAGATTATGGGGTGATCATGGACAAGCATGCTTAGAAACTGCTCATATCTGTGTTATAAATGCCACTGGACTTGGTACAGAAATTTTGAAATCGTTAGTACTTCCAGGCATCGGAGCTTTTACCATAGTTGATGGCAAAAAAATTACCGATGAAGATGTAGGAGCTAAGTATGTATATGATATTATTCTAACTATCATACTTATAAGATATGTTAATGCAATATTTTTAATAAGTTTGAATCAGTTTCTTTCTAGAAGCAGATAGTATTGGGAAATCAAGAGCACAGGTGGCTACTCAGATGCTTTTAGAATTGAATCTTGATGTAACAGGTGATTATATTGATGAAGAGCCTGAAGAAATTTTATCCAATAGTCCAGATTTTTTCAACAACTTTACAGTGGTTGTAGCTACTTCACTGACTGAGAAGTAAGAATTCTAATATTACAGTGACAAGTTGGAGTCACAAATATTAATTTACATCCAATATCTATAAAACTAATTTATACTAACTACTAATATATCCTATATATTTTTTACATTACTTTATTATTTTTAGAACATTAATCCTGTTGTCAAGAAGACTTTGGGAACTGAATATTCCTCTGATAGTATGCAGGAGTATAGGATTTATCGCTTATATGCGGATTCAAGTAAAGGAGCATACAGTTGTAGAATCACATCCAGATAATGAAACATTGGACTTGCGTCTAGACAAACCATTTGACAGCTTAAAGAAACATTTAGATTCCATAAATCTTGATGAAATGAGCTTCAAGGACCACTGTCATGTACCATATCTAATCATTTTGTATAAACTTGTGGAAAAATGGGTTTGTCAGCATGGCACATTACCAAAGACCTACAACGACAAGCAGGAGCTCAAGCAGATGATACAGAATGACATGAGACGCGATGAGAACGATTTGCTCAATAGTGAAGAGAATTTTGAGGAAGCTATAAAAGCTGTGAATACGGCCGTTAGATCGAGTGACATTCCTGATCACGTTAAGAACATACTGAACGACGATTGTTGCATTAATTTGACGGCAAAGGTATCAATGGAACATCTCTGTAATCTACATGCCGTTTGGGAAATATATGATCAATGTTCAAACTGATCAATATATTTTAGAGCAGCTCCTTCTGGATTATCGCGAGGGCGGTGCGTGATTTCATTGATAACGAAGGCGGCGGGTTGCTGCCACTCAAAGGCGCTCTACCCGATATGACTGCCGACACTGAAAAATATATTACACTACAACAAATGTACGATGTTAGACTCGTAAAAACGATCTTATATCGAGACTCCATCCATGTATTCATGATTATGTATTGCTAACGTTGAAATTATATTTCAGTTATCATAAGCAAGCATCAGCAGAAGCAGAAGCTGTATGGCGGCGTACTTTGCAGTTGCTACGTCAACTGGGGAGACCATCGGACTCGATTCTAGAGAAAGATGTCAAGATGTTCTGCAGACATGCAACTGATATTCATGTGGAGAGAGGAAGTTGCATCGCGGACGAATATGACCCCAAGGTTTTTGATACTAATACTATAGGTAATGATCAACAGTACAAGATCAAAGTTACAACTCGTGTAATCATAATTATAACCGTAAAATATTTAAATTACATTATATATATGAATATATAAATATAAAATATATATATATATATATATATATCATTAATTAGTAATAAATTCTAGTAACTGTTACTTTATATGGCCAAATAATGGCATTCTGTTTTTAACAATTCCATGTTTCACTTGCAGTTCAAAATTTAGAGAATCCCGAAAGTATGATGATTTATTACGTTATGCTACGTGGAGTAGACAAATTCCAAGCGGAGTATAACTCGTATCCCGGCGAGTTTGACGATCAAGTGGAGCCTGATATCGTGAAACTTAAAGTATTATCGCTTAATATATATGATGTATATGCCTCTTTAGAACCACTATTTTTACCTCGAATTATATTACAGACTTGCCTCACGAAATTGTTAAGTGAATGGGGATGTGGACCATTGGCCAAAGACGATTACGTGCACGAGTTTTGCAGATTCGGTGGTGCGGAACTGCATTCCGTCTCGGCATTTTTAGGTGGTCTCGCAGCGCAGGAAACTATCAAATTTATCACGAATCAGTATAAACCTATTCACAATACCTTCATCTGCGATGCCGTCACATCGAATTCCGGAACGTTCTTTTTTTAAAACAAACTGTTACATGAGAAGAATATATTTATGTTTCAATCAAAAATGATAATACAATTTGATAATGCGTATTAGTTTTATGAATTCTTTCTTAGCTTATTATCTTAAATCAATTATTATTTTAGATTAAGATAGTTCCCTGGGGGATGTTAATATTTCTACTACCCTATTTCTCTTGTCTTTCATAATTCATCTCGCGCGTTATTGAGTCTTTTTCATCAACATTAAATCAAAAGATGTTCCACTAAAGAAGGAAAAAAATATATGACAAAAACAGGTTTAAAAAATCAATACATTTGAAGTTGATATGTAGACAACTTTTTTATTTAATAGAAAATTTATTAGTTATAAAAATAAACATACCATTTGCTATTAATGTATTTTTTGTTATTTACTGCTGGAGAAAATGACAATAAATGAAATTAAGTTATTTAATAGACGAATGACGTCTAAAATTGTATTTAGTTATTTGTGTTTTATGATTGTTCATTGTTCTTTATTATATATTCAAATAAATATAAAAATAAATAAAGGGTCTCATACCCTCGCCGATATCGGTGATTTCATGCTTTCCCGCTTTTTTCATTTATAACCGCAGATTTGCAAACGTTGTTTGTGAAAATCACTAATTTAACAAATCTAGGTACTTTATTCGGAATGATGGGACACTCTGATGGTGTCGAGTCAGGTTGGTACCCAAGTGGTCTTGTGATCGAACAGCTGAAGAAGACGACGGTCAGGAATAAGAGTGAGAGTCTTGGCCTCTGAAGAGAATTTTTTCCGTATAAACTGATACGGAATTTTGACAATAATCATGGTGGATCGTGCGAATATCAAGCAGATGATACCGGCTCTGCCGGATGAGAAAATTGGTGATTACGCTTTCCTTATAAGAGTTACCCGTATATTTGACAGTGCCCCTCCCAGCAGTACAATCTGTTTTGTAATTATTTATTTAACAGTTATTTTGTCGTTATCACATATGCTAACACATGAACAGATTATTTTAACATCTGTTATTTTATATCGCTCGATTTGTACGCGTTTATGCAATTTTGCAGATATGCTGGCAGCTACAAGTATGCTCCAGCAGCAGGCTGCTGATATCAGGAATCAGCGAATTAATTGGCAGTCGTATTTGCAGTAAGTATCTATAATTTGGCTTTCAGAAACTTGGTCTGTATATTTTAAGAAATTTTAAGAAAAATCATATAATTGATTGCTATCATCAAAGTTATTCTGTAAACTTTAAGACACATTGATTGTAACAATAGTAGCACTATGAGATAAAAAAATATCCTTTATTTAGATTTAGAATTATTTAGGCAGAGGATATATGTAAAATTTGAAAGCACTTGATATTTGCAGATCGCAAATGATATCAAAAGAAGATTATGACTTTATAGCAGCCTTTGATACAAGTGATGCCAAAGCAAGGGAAAACAAGCTAAAGGAGAATCCACATCAGGCAGCTAAAACCTTCCTTAACTTGCTCGGACATGTCTCGAAGGATCAGACCATTCAGTATCTTCTTACAATGATTGATGATATGTTGCAGGTATAGTTGCATTCTTGTGTATTATAAAATAAATGAGGTATCTATATTGTATATATATTGAGAACTAGAAGAAACTCGAAATTTTGTTAATTTATTAATCTTTATAAAAATTTGGCATTTTGCTCACATTGCATAATAGAAACTAATATGATGTTTACTCACAGGAGGACCGCAGTCGTGTAGAAATCTTCCGTGAGCATTCTACGCGAAAGCGGGAATCTGTCTGGGGACCATTCCTCAACTTGTTAAATAGACAGGATGGCTTTATAATGAATATGACGTCGCGCATTATAGCAAAGTTAGCTTGCTGGAGTCACGAACTCATGGAGAAGACCGATTTGCAATTTTATCTGACATGGCTCAAGGATCAGTTGAAACTTAGCGTGAGTTCACTTTGATAAATCACTGCACGCATATCGCATTAACTAGAAGATTGGAAATGCTGTCAATCCAAAAACAAGATCCAAAGTGTAACCAATGACGTCATTAATTTGATTTTTGTGTTTCAGGATATTAATATAATTTATGATAATTACATTACAGTTGATTCTATATAATAATGTAACATGCCGATGCGGTGTTGGTTTAGTTTGATGTAGCTTGATTTGGATTCCCACTTTGCTTTTTGCATGCTTACAGAAATCCTTAGATATATCTCGCTCGCGATGTGCGCTCATAAACTTTTCATACTTGTCTGCATTCATCAACATTTCCATATGAATAATCATTCATTCTGACGAGCCATGCCATGATGAATAGTTAACAAAATACATCGACTCAAATTAAACCCTAACTGAAGACTGTCTAAATGTTTAATACTTCGTTTAAAACACTTAATATCAATATACAACTGTAGCTCAATACATAACTCGTCTCTAAAACATACATAATTTATGACACTTCTCATTTATGAAGCTAAGAAAGCCTGTAGCATACTAATCCATAATATTTAATGTTTAATTCTCCTAACTTCGATCGTAAAATCCACATGGCAAATCTGAAAAAGTACGCAGCAGCCGACTAACCGAGTAAAACGATAAATCGTTCCGCAACTGACTCTCCTCGTAGAAAAATTGTCGCTTCGCGCAGTTAAAGCTTCAGAAATACGAGGCACACTCCGAACTACATTAGAACTTGCGTAGACGAGCGAGAAAAGAATAAGATGGGGTTTTAGTTTGATGCCCTGCAGGACACAGGCTTGCATGCGGGACTAGAACAAGACACTGCTGTGGAGCAGGCCAAGGAGGCCGCTGACATGCTGCACGAATTGCTCAACCCGGTTGGTTCTGTAACAGCTAATCACAATATATAATATTACACGTTACACTCTCTAAACGGTTTATGAGATACCTTCAGATTTATTCGCCGCCCGAACATGAGCGAAAGCGCTAGTCTCTCTCGTCAACTTGTTGTCGAGACGAGTTTAACGGTATTCTCGCACGCGAAAAGTATCGCGAGTCCTTTGCGTTTTAGGACTAAGGCGATCGACTGGTCAATTCTCGATCACGGGTATGCATATGATTTTCATGCTTGCGAGAGCACGTGTCATGTGAGCGTTACATCCAATGCGAGAATCTCCCAAAGCTATGGGATAGAATCTCTTGGGTCCCTTATCATCTCTCCCTTTTACGCATGAATTCTTACGATTTCGCTGATTTGCATGATCCTACTTTTTTGTCTCTTTATTCCTCTAATAGATCTGTTTTTTCTCTTTCTGTTTTTGTTCCTTTCTCTTCGATAAATAGCGAATCACTTCGTACTTCGTACTTTTGCATGTAGCAACCCACATCAGTCCATCCTCCTCCTCGAAGGGATATTTGTACTCTAGTTTCTCCCGCCGAATTTCTTGCCCCGAGGAATACACGTTATTTTCTCCGTGTAGAACAACGATTACATCCAGTCAGTGGCGCGATGTCTGCAAATGATGCTCCGTATCGACGAGTACCGCTTCTCCTTCGTATCCGTCGACGGGATCTCGACTCTCCTCAGCGTCTTGTCTGGAAGAGTAAACTTCCAAGTGCAATATCAGCTCATCTTCTGCCTATGGGTGCTCACTTTCAATCCGCTGTTGGCGGAGAAGATGAACAAGTGAGTAGGCCCTCTTTACGCCGAAAATTACCGGATAACGTTCGCTCACGATAACACCTTGCGTTTTAGATTCAATGTCATCCCTATCCTCGCCGACATACTGAGCGACTCTGTCAAGGAAAAAGTAACGCGCATCATACTCGCGGTATTTAGAGTAAGTTGGAACATTACAGAAACAGCGGATTGCGATTGGACGCGATCGATAATCGTAGTTCATTCTTGGCTCTCATTAACAGAACTTGATCGAAAAAGTTGAAGATGGACAAGTCGCCAAGGAGCACTGCATCGCCATGGTTCAGTGCAAAGTACTGAAGCAACTGTCGATATTGAGCCAACGGAAATTTGACGACGAGGATATCACCGCTGACATTGAATTCCTCAACGACAAGCTGCAGGCGTCCGTGCAAGACTTAAGCTCGTTCGATGAGTACTCGACGGAGGTGAAGTCCGGCCGTCTAGAGTGGTCACCTGTTCACAAATCGGGCAAATTCTGGCGCGAGAACGCTAGCCGTCTCAATGAGAAGAACTACGAGCTCCTGCGGATTTTGATCCACCTGTTGGATACCAGCAAAGACCCACTTGTCCTTAGCGTTGCCAGCTTCGATATAGGCGAATACGTGCGTCACTACCCACGTGGCAAGCAGTACGTTCATCCCTGCGCGCGAAGGCGAACATTTACCTTTAACATTTTCTGATTAATTGAAGTCGTGCATCTCTCGTTTCAGCATAATCGAGCAACTCGGCGGCAAGCAACGCGTAATGCAGCTCCTTGGACATGAAGATCCTAACGTTAGATACGAGGCTCTCCTCGCGGTACAGAAGCTCATGGTGCACAATTGGTGAGTATCGTGAGACTTTAAGTTTTTCCTCATTACCCGGGTATTTATACATGGACGTTTCATTATTCGCAAAATTTCCCTCGTGCTTTAACGCGTGTATAGTATTTTCTGAATTCACACGTGAAATGTTTCCTCAGGGAATATCTCGGCAAGCAGCTGGAGAAAGAGCAGACCAACGCATCCGGACCACCCACCAGCAAGCCTGGAGCACAAGTACCAGCGAAAGCCTGAGCGCACTCGCGCAATTTGTACAAAACTTGCGGATTCGATTCAGGATTACAAGAGTATTATAATTCGCGTATCCTGTGGTATAATCTGCATCCGCTTGCGCAACGCGCGTATAATTCAAGATAGTTACATTCCCTTCCGTTCTTCATTTTATTGTAAAAAAAAAAAGAAAAGGAAGACATAACTAATTACATTTCTCTCTTGTGCAATGTAATTTTGTAACATAATTGTTGAATTATGTATATACAAATTCGTGTGGGCAGACGCGTCAATCGCGTCGCGGATGTGCGATGAATGTGCGAGGGTCAGCGGAATGAACGTCCCCGTCATGCGTGTAAATCCATTTAGATATATAAATAGAAATCTGTTCTCTGGAATGTTAGCAATATAATGAAAATAAAATGTTATTCTGTTGAGGAAGACCACATACGTACAATCTATACATATTCGCACACATACACACACGTAAGGCAAATCGCACGATTACACCTTCTTAAATTGTAATTTGACGTTGATGTTACAAGACGCGAGTTGAGTCACGAGGAACCTGAAGATATATGGTACTTCGATTGTCTTTATGGACTCGTCATTGCCGCATAGGCGGCACTTGATGCTTCTTTCGTAGCTCGACGTCATTTCTATGGCCGGCCCGAGTAGCGTACCGCATGATTGGCAAACTGAAGTCTGCAAAATCAATATTTTTTTTATTAATTACTATTAAATATTTTACCAATGAGCGATAATAGGTATATGTATATAATTAAAAAAGAACTTGTATCTCATCGCTTACGCTTATTTTGTCAGAGCAGTGAAAGAGACGGTCCTGAAGCAGGTATGAACAGCCATGAGAGAGCAAAGCGTCTCGCTCCATTTCACCGAACCGGACACCACCACCCCGTCGTCGACCTTTAATGGGTTGCCTCGTCAATAGATCGACCGGACCAGTGCTCCTTACCTAAAAAAATATACGTTTATCCGTTCTCAGGAGGATGAACAATAGCAAAGTAAGTCAGTCGTGAATCTAGAAGTATCCAGGTTAAAAATAAATGGAAATTCGAGAGTCACAATCGAGCGAAAAGATGAAGCAAAACAAAGCAAAGAAGACGTTCTCGTCAAACATCTCCAAAGGAGATTCGCGTGAAACTTGCTTATACCTGCCACTTGTCGGAAACCATGTGTCGCAATCTTTGATAGTGCACGATGCCGAAAAAGATGTCGGCATTCATCTCGCGTCCATCCACGCCGGAATACATCCTCTCGGTACCGTAATAATTGTAGCCAGCGTGTTCCAACAGTTTACCGAAATAATCTATCGCTGTATTTTCTTCGTCGAACCTGAAGGGTGTAGCATCGTGCACCAATCCATGTACGGCGGCTGATTTGCCAGCCATCACCTCGATCATCATAGCTGCAGACAACGGAGAACACAGATCAAACGATAATTACCCGCGACTACAACTAGCCGACGTTATTGTCAGGGCCCTTTTACTTGTGCTGGAGCTCACCTATCGTCATACGACTTGGGAAACCATGAGGATTAAATATGATATCAGGAATCAAGCCAGATTCCGTGAAGGGCAAATCCTCTGCTGGCCACTTCTGTGAACAGATGCCTTTCTGTCCTGCTCGTGATGCGAACTTGTCGCCAACATTGGGATTCCTCTGGAAATTCGACGAATTTTAAAGTAAATATATAATGTAGCACTAGTCTAATAAAGAGAAGAAAAAAATAAGTGTAAAGATGGTACTCACAGAAATACGGAAGGTGATGCACGCTCTTCGTACATTTTTACTGTTCAATGTGCCACATAGTTTCACGTTATCAACGTAGGCGTCCTCCTTACTATAATATGTCCCGGTGACGTAAGTGGATTGATCCGCATCGTAATAACTGTTAAATACAGACACGATCGATAAATCTTCGAAGCAAAGGTAAACGCGATGCTACGAAAGCTACCTACCAATAATATATATCACCCTCTTTGATACGAGTGCCTATCATGGGTAAACCATCGACGTCCAACGTTTCCCCGAGGCAAGTTTTGTCTGGATTGCGGGCGAAATAACTTCGCTGGTCATTCAAATCGACGAACTCGGACTTATAGATCATCCCGTACGCGAAACCGCGGTCATACGCCGCCTTATTGATGACCATCGCGTCTTCCATGTCGTATCCCTGCGGATCCAATATCAATGGTCACGTATAAGGAAAAATTACTGCCGCAGCGATTCGTATTTTTCTTTCTATTAAATTTCTAATTTAACAGAAAAAAATTTATTATTTGAGAACTTTTTTCATCATTTCTTTCCGCTTTAATTTGTACCTCAGAGGAAATTGGGTGTGCCAATATATTCTATCATTACGAAATGACGAATATGACATGAATAGAATTTTCAATTCTGAAGACAAAGCGGGCTCTCTCACCGTGTACGAGATAACAGCGATTATTGCATTGGTACCCATCGCGAAATCATCCATATTGATATTATCATAATGCACAGGTCTGAAGAATGGGGTCGCGGGCGTTTGGAGCCTGTACAACTTGGTCTGCGACTGAAGCTGCCAGTTGTGACATGGTGTGCCCATCGTTTGTTTCCCCATCTGCAAGATTCCGGAGAGAATTGTTGATAAAGTTTAAACGTGTCATCGATATACTCGAGCGTAGACAAATATTCTACCTGACACTGATACATATTTCTCGGACTTTGATTGCAGTCCGGCATCGGAATGAGACACGCAAGATTGCTGAGGATGGTCGTATTGCTTAATTCTTGATGAGACGTCAACTGCAAAAAGAAGATTTGAACTTTTATTATCGCATTATACGTAAGTAGGAGATACAAATGTATATGAAAATAATAATATATTTACTCCATCGTAAGCTTCTTCGGGGATTACACAAATGTCCAGGTAAACCTGCTCGAACGTTCCAATAAGTTCAATCTTTTGCGTGGCCAGATTGATCACCGGTCTCATCATTCTGGCGGCATTAGTGAAAAGGTACAGACCTGGATATTGAGCTGGGATAGTCTTCTTCGGCACTAAAGCGATCTCCAATGTGTTCGGCACCTATGGATGTAGGCTATTAATAATATAATTATTATGCGAAGAATCGTCCAACTCACCTCTTCACCATTAACTTTCAACTCCCTCAGTTTGCAGGTCACCCTGTTAATAATATTATCCTCGATCAAGCCGATCACTTTGCCGTCTAACATTACCGTGTACGAGTTCTTCCAATTATTCGCAATAGATAATGGAATCATCCCCAGATCCACTAATATTCTCGGTATCGCAGCTTTCAATTTGCAATCCGGATGCTTCGTGACGATACAATTCATTGTTAGGTGATTAAGCAGCCCGCAAGGAGTACCATCCGGTGTATGAACTGGACAGATGAATCCTGGAAACAAATAACAATAATCAACATATTTGTTAAAAGATACAATGAGATGGAAGCTAGAGCAAGATCTTCAATTACCCCAAGCATCGGGTAATAACTGCCTAGTCTCGGTAGTCCTCATTTCTTGGAAGAATGAGCCTCTATGTATCGCGCGAAAATGGCTCATATAACGCATTCTGTTGATATTTTCCGCGACAATTGTCAAGCCAGTGCTCTGAGTCAGACCTAAGCCCGTAGACGACTTTAGGTTTCCTGTAGACAAGAAGTTCTCCATTTGCGACTCGATGCTGCTCCCGAATTTACTGGCGTTTAGCATCTCCTCTGCATGAGCGCAACGGCAGGAAAAAGGATTAGTAGTCCATCCGTGTTCACTTCAGCTTATCCTAGCAAGTTGAAGTTATATGGGAAAGATACTTACGAACAGTCAAGATATATCTATTGCCGGCACTGTTGGCACGTTTGAGGATGGTTATTTTCAACGAGGTCAGCCACGATATCAGCTTCTCTTTGATAACTTGAAGATACAAATGACCGCCCAGCAAACATTCCTGCATCATCACACCGTCGGCACCCTCGACAGCGCATTTATTGTTAGCGAAAGTGAACAGCTTCTTCGTCATGAATACAAGCAAGTGAAATTTGTCAGCGGGCTTGTTCAAATGAATAGCGACGCAATGCCTTAGAAGATATAGAAGTGAAAATAAAGAGTACAAATCAAATGTAAAAAGAAGGTACGAAATTTCATCTTACTTAATAATGTAATCGCAAATGTCGATGTCGGTTGCATCTGGCGGTGCCTCAAAAAATTTTACCCTGAAGATCTTGCCGATGTATGCTTTGCATTGTTCGTGTGAGTGAAGATTTTCTTCGTGAACCGCACGTAGCATGTTCAAGATACAACCCTAGTAATTGAAGGATGAAATTGTTAAGGTTTTTTATGTTTTATGTTAGAAAATAATTATCCCTAAAACCGCATTCATGAAGTATATTCTGCAGCCAGAGTAGGTAAACAATATATGCCATTTGATTTTTAATATAAAAAAGATAAAAGAGTAAGAGTTATATAGGATAGGGTATGCAGAAAATTGTACTACTACCTAAAGTAAAAATGTCAAACCTTGTAATAGAGATCGTCCTCACATCCAGCAATCAATGCATTGTAAATGCAGACATCAGTAATGTCTATTAAACATTTTAACATCAGTAATAAGGGCACATAATAAAGAACCTTCCTATACATAAACATGAATTTTGCAGAGCCATCCATTACATAATGCAATACATTAGTCTGTAAAACATAAACTTATGAATTTATAAAGTACAATAAAAGAAATATTTTACTTGACTATACATACTGTTGCAGTATTATCATCCCGAACAGTTCTCAAGAGGATACCAAGATCACTAAATTGTATACCACGGCTCTTCCATCCTGATCTCTTCATTGCAATAGGATAATTTCGCCTTGTCATCAGTAACATTCGTACGATTCGCTCCAATCCTTTAATTATAAAATAACCCCCCCATTCTTGTTCATGTTCACCATGTTCAACTAATTGCTTGGGATTCATTTTATTCAGGTAACATCGATTAGACTGTAAATATACATTTTTACAAATTGATTTCAAATAAGTGAAAGTATTAAAGTATATGACATTGAATCTTAAAGAAAGATCTTAAGAAAGATCTAAAAATCTCAGGAATTCACAGGAAATGAAGAAGAAAGAGAATCAACAGAAGCATTTACATGATAAGATACATATTACCAGTAAATTAAATTTTACCTTGACCATGATTGGGACCTCTCCCAAATCCTTTTCAAGAGTTTCTTGCTGTACACCATTGATGGACCAGCCTAGTTTTACTGTTATTTTACCTCTATAAGTACTACCTCTCTGACGACACTCAGTTGGATATATCTTGTAATTCTTCACACCAATTACACCAGTAGGTACAGTAGGTTGGTAGATGCACACATCATCTAACCACAGAGCTATCTTGTCATTGTTAGGAAGATTCAAGTATACTGGTGGACTATCCTTTAAACCTTCAAGAAGGCCATCCTCCAGCATGTAATTAAAAGATTCTATGTGAGGTATTCCCAAGTTTTGTAATAACTAGAATAAGATATTAAGATTTATTATATTTGTTTCAATTCTTCTCCTCATAATTTTTACAATAATAAGGGTGAATTCGGTGGATAAACATAGGATACCTTCGATTCTGTAATTTATTTCTATGTAAGTATAGTATTTAAAACAAATTAGTTAAAATTAAATATAAAGCAAGAAAGTGATTTTAATCCCGCACTATATTATATGCAAGAGCTATATTTTTTTATATCTGAAATACACTCACGCGATTCTGTTTATCCGGTGGCTTGCCGAAATTTGGCGAAGTGTTTGTTAATTTAGGCTCAACCAACATATTTGACGAATTCATGGGAAACAATAGATCGTCACGAAAAGTTAACTTCCAATTATAAACGCGTTATAAACGCGTATTATAAACGTTCCCAGAAATTATGTCGATATTTTACGTATACCACACGAAATCCTGTACCAAGCATCACCATGTGATAAACCGGTTAGATTAGATTAGGCTAGGTTATGTATAAGTTAGGTGAATTTTTAGGGTAAAGTAGATTTCCATGTGAAAACTGATCAGTGCAGTTGCAGTTCACTTCGGACTAGGAATGTTCTCAAGCGCTTAGTGACCATCTTTATGGCCACTTGCGCAAAACCGGTTGATTGATTGGATATTGTCTAATGGTTTCTGTAGATGTTACAGCCAATTAACTTCCTCAGTTCCATAATTTTCCATAAGAGCACACGTTTATTGGCGCGTCATTATCTTCCATGAGAAAAATGTCGCGTCCTGTTCACAGTCATTCCTAGCCAACTTCCGTCGCGCATTGTCGCTGTGTGCAAGAGGGTTAAGTTGTTGTTGCATTCAGTATCAGATAAAAGGTTCGCAAATTCAAAATTTAAATTAAACGATTAGCTGATATTCATTCTTTATTAATAAATTTAATGTTATACGACGCGTATCTCTTAACGTTTGGTTCACTTTGACTAAATTGTGTCATCGCATCTTCCGTCTTTGACACACAGATTGAATATGCATATATTCCGACACATTGAAAGAGAAATCTCTCAGATCAACCTAAAATATGTCGTTTCATATTTCAAATGCAGGAAATGTAATGTATTATAGCCGAGTAAAAAACGGCAAACGATAGAAGATGCATCTGGGAATCTCAAAATAGGTTACCGGCTTGACAGCTCGCTACCGATGTAACCTGCATGACATATTTAAATGGGAAAGGTGGGTAAAGTGACTGAACTCGCTTTGCCTTTTACTTCTTTCACTAAGGCACTAATCGCAGAACACCTAAACACGCGTTCGAAAACTTATATTGTGAGTGATCATTCATACGGTTTCATCAGCTGTTTTTGACATACATTATTCCGACAACTAATAGCATCCAACAACCAGCTATGTCTCAGCCCGACGAAAAAGAAAAGCCTGTTAATAGCATCCTGAAGAACCTTGTGGCCGGTGGTGAGTCCTTTGGTATCTTACTTGCATATTCGCCGGTGTTGCCTAATTGACAGGAAAATAACAGAGTTGCAGCAATTCGTATTTTAATTCGGAGATTTTTTTAATACAACTCTCACGGCTTGAAACGCGAAGAAAAGAACTGTAAATAAAAAAAGAGACATCGTGCAGATCAGAAAATGTATAATCGAAGGACTGAAAAGTTATCAACGGCTATATTTTTCGTGTTTACACAATCATAACTTTTCACTTTTTTGTTTGGTCACATGATACGTGTCTATTTGGTTCTAAAAACATTGTAGAAAATGTTGAAACATGCAATTAAGGCGGGAACAAGTCTGGAGAACCTAAGGATGTTTCAAGATTTATGCCATACAAATAATTCCAATAATTGCTGGGAAATACGTGCAAAAGCGTACATTACGAAACTTCTCGCTTTAAGATTGATTAGTCGGCTTATCTAAAATTCGCGCGCTGAGGAACGATATATCGCACGATAGTTAAAAATTTCGAAGTTCACACCTCATAATTCCTTTGGCTCTCGCGATGAGTTTTGGAACGCGTTAAAATACGAAAACGTTCACGATAATTATTGGCTGTCGTATGTTGTATATAAGTCAACTGCAAGGTTTGATTTTGAAATTTGATATCTTGAAGTTCTTCGAGAATTTGTCTCGTAGCAACATGTTGAATATTTTCAAAAATTTAAGCCGGATAAATAAATCTAGACGGCCATCGAGGTGTATCCGAAACATCCTGCATCTGATGTTCTCTTTTTTACAAATATGTAAATTATAATTTTACATTTATTGCAAGTAGCGTGACGAATGATATACTTGCAATTTACAGGTGTTGCCGGCATGTGTTCGAAAACAGCTGTTGCACCATTGGATAGAATAAAAATTTTAATGCAAGCACAACATAAGCATTATAAGAATTTAGGTGAGAATTCTGAGACTCCTCTCTAACGATAAATACTACGATATAGTGAAATATTATTGAGCTTATTATCATGTGTATTTATATCAATTCACAGGTTTTATCTCAGGATTAAAATTTATAGTAAAAAACGAAGGTTTCTATGCTCTGTACAAAGGTAATTTTGTTCAAATGATTAGGATTGTTCCTTACGCTGCGGGACAATTTACAGCGTATGAAATGTACAAAAAGGTAAGAATAAAGAAAAACAAAACTGTTTCTTATGGTAATTGTTACATATTGACATTGAATCCATGTGATTATTTTCAGCATTTAGGAGGATCGTTCGGGCAATATTCACATATAGATCGATTCTTGGCTGGAGCTGCCGGAGGTGTCACGGCTGCTACAATTACGTATCCGCTCGATATGATCAGAGCGAGGCTAGCTTTTTTAAGCAGCGGTGATTCACTTTATTCTGGGATATCCGACGTGGCTATTAAAATTTTCAAACAGGTAAAATGCGTAGGCTGTAGGAAGGCTAGGTCTTTTTTTTTTTTTTAAGAATTTACAAGGATCCCGTGATATTAGTGACTGTGTCTATGTCCTTGCACGAAAGAGAAAAACCCGTTTTTAAATTTCCAAATTTAGCTTTCCGTATCGCATTAACATACATGACGTTATCGTTATCGTTTTAGGAAGGCGGCTTTCGCGCATTATACAGAGGATACCTGCCGAATGTAATAGCGATGGTACCGTACGCCGGATTATCCTTTTACACGTACGAGAAGATGAAATATTTATGCATAAAACACGCTCCGGATTACTTTTGTTCCAAGCAAAAGACAAATACCGGTAAGTGACTTATTCGCTGATTCCAACATAAAGCAGATATCTCATGTAAAAGGTAATCAAAGGTAATCAGAAAATTAACGGTACGCAATTGCAACGAAGGATCGAAAAATTGAAGCTGTTTGCAATAAACAACAGAAAAGTAATGATGTTAATATAATTAATATATCTCGTCGTTGTAGGCGGTCTCATATTGAATGTATTTGCGAAACTTCTATGCGGGGGTATTGCCGGTGCCATTGCACATACAGTCTCTTATCCATTAGATGTCACTAAGAGACGTATGCAATTAGCTATGATGCATCCAGCGACATATAAATACGGGTGAGTGATATATAATGTGCAACATACATATAACGAAAATCTTGATATATTTAATATATTTTGCAGAGCCTCTTTTCTTTCCACGATCGACGTGACTAATTTGTTTACGACATTAATGTCTTTTTTATCTGAATTTTATTAATCCATAAAATTGTATTGTTCCTTCAGATTGGGAATGTGGTCCACTATACGTATGATATACTATGAAGACGGCGTTGTAAGAGGTTTATACCGTGGAATGACCGTACATTTTGTGCGGTCTGTTCCATTCGTAGCGGTCGGTTTTACGTCGTATGAAATAATGAAGCAAATGATGAATTTAGACACGGGAATGAAAGTGTAATTTCAACGAAACATACGCAATCGTTCCTTGCAAATACAGCAAATTAATTTACATACATGTATTTAGTATTTTATACATGAATGCCAAATTCATTTGCATTAAAATTTATAGTTTTTATTCTTTAACTTCTTTAATAGCATTTGGACTTTATTACAAATTACATTGGTTTTATGAAGACATGTAATTCCTTGTGAAGAGAAAACGAAGAAAAAGATTGCGCACTTGTACAGCAAAAGTAAATATTCTATTTATTTTCTGTATTTTTAAGATGTTTTGAACAAGATTTGGTTTTTGAAACATCATTAATAAGTTTGATGTAGAAATACTTCATTCGTTTTAACGTGCGTCATATCACATTTATGAAATAAAATTTCCAAAATATTTTTATAAAAAATTAAGGCGAATTTTATCCTCAATTTTGTTTTCAACGGAATCTCTTCACATATAAGTTTTTAGACAAATCGATTTTTCTAATTGCTATATTAAATTCGACTTTTCGAGAAACTTAATATTTTTATATAAAAATTTATCAATAATTGTATTGCAATATATCAGCGATCGTATCAAGCACAAATCATAATATTCTGTGATAAACATGTTCCGTAAAGATAATGAGATACGTCAGAGAATTCAATCGTCGATAATTTATATAAAGATCAGATCTCAATGTATTGAACACGCTAATATTCGTATTATGATAACGAAGAAGTCAGCGGAACTAGATATTAATTTTATACATATATATATATTATTGTAAATACTGACAAAACTTTATATAAGAAACGAAACGTAAAATAAAAATATTTTCCTAAATATGCTGGCATGTGCTTATTTGTGTGCACAACTGAGAAATATGCTGATAAGATTTTATCTTCACTCATATTACCTTGATCACGCGTGACGCAGATATTCGTACATAGAAATATGATAACGTAGATAAGAAATATACGCTGTACAACAACTGAATCGTAAAAAGATGACAATGAAAAAAACAGGCACACGGAAAATGAATCTTATGCGTGGCATATGCATATATTCCGTGAGAAATACTGTGAACAAAATATAAACAAAACTCCATCTAAATGTGATAATATATCTTTATTTTTCTAATTTCTTATAATGAGATGACATTATAATCGTACGTTCATGGTATTTTTTTTCAGTAGTTTTTCTCGTCACAAATCTGGACTCCTCCAGTGCCAGACTTTGCAAGCTAAAGTGTAAAGTATTTCAAATGAAGCTCATGTTACATAAAGTTACGAGAAGTAAGTCGCGTGCTAGGACAGCTCAATTCTCTATATTTACCATGTACAATCGGCCTTTAACATTATTTCAGATAATATTAAAAAATTATAAAAGCTATCACGAAAGATTTTAGTTTTATCGGGATATATAAAATTTGCTCCGCGCGTATTTTAATACTCGAATTAATATATCGCATATAAATTTCTCTAAGTTGGGTTAAGTGTAAAATGAAAAACTCTACCGCTTCTCTTTTCAAAAAGCTAATATTATCATTGTCGTATATATATGTATATATGCGTATTAATGAATCTTCTTTAATTAATGAAATTCTTTTTAGTACAGGAAGTGTATTCACGAAATTTTGATCAACGAAAATCATCAGAAGATTGCAAATGAATCTAAATATATAATAGTTCTCTCTATCCGTGTTTGCCGCAAGTCACTGCGAGATCGAAATATGATGTTATCCATGCCGGATACTATGCGTGTTTCAACAACGGATTTAGCGGAGCGTTCCGTATTAATTTTGTCCATTGTATGGGAGTCGGTGCGCAGTGAGAGGGGCAATAAATAGAGCAGATACAAAATTAGCTATTACGGTAGCCGGCGTCTATTATTCCTTCGCTGTACTTCTAATTAACTCCGTCTCTCCAACCCCGTCGCATTATAATACTACAAGTGGTGATATTTTCTATAGGAAAATTTATTCTTATTGTTTGTAGTCCAGAGAATATATGTGTGTGTTGTGTGTGTATATATATATATATATACATATATATATGTGTGTGTGCATACTCGTATATATATATATGTATATATAAATATATACATGTATATATGCGTATCGCAATAATAGAAAACAAAAAGGAGGAAAGGACAAAATGCTCGACCTGCATTGTGCAGAAGAAAGGAGATACGCACGTCGCGTCTCCAGGTCGCTGTTCTTCGTGTGCTATGTATGGATTTACAGTCTTAGTAAATTGCTATAATGTGCATCTACACACTCCACGTTCACTCCTCGTCGTCTCGTCGTCCCTACTGCAATCGCTTCCTTTATGCGTTATATACTCGAATTGCAATGCTTACATTATTCCTATAAAATACATCCGCGTGCATATCTTTCCTTTTTTTCCTCTTTCTTTCTCTCTCCCTATCTCAGTTAGCTGCTCACATTGTACACAATGCTCCTGCATTCAACGAATATGAAATTTGACACAACACATTGGGTTGCTTTGGCTTGCATTACACATGTTTATTTACCAGAAGCATTATTTTATATTATCTATTAATTAGTAAAAAGATCATCGGTAGATTTATATAAGCAACTTCTTTTTTTTTTGTTCTTTTCAATTTAACCAACGTGAATGCGTAGATTCATCCAGTATAAAGTACATACGTACGTATATGTGTGTTATGTATGTGTTTGTGTATGTGTCTCACTTTGGAAAGTAGATAGAATTGATGCAAAAGTGTGTTATGTTTCCTGAATTAGCCGGTGTTGACCGATGTAATGTACACATTTATTCTGAAATGTAATCTATAAATAAAAAAAATCCTGTGTGGAAATACAAAAGAGCTTTGTATGAAAATACAACAAAAAACTCTGTGTGAAAATACAGCTGATAAAAAATTAAAGAGAAAAATGATATAATATAATGATAAGAGCCAACAAAATACTCTTACGTGGACAACGTCAAAACGATTGCTATTTTATCTAAATGAAACAGAAGCGTTTCAAGCGCGGATGTAAATATCATTCTCATTGATTTCCTTTTTATTATACAGATACGTATTATTTTGCAAAAATAATATTGTGAGTAATAGAAAGCGACGTCGCAACGAGAACATTTACATTCGCACATTTTGCAGGATTCTACATCATTTAGATAAAAATGTCCTACGTTACCCACGCCCGAAGGTGAGTATCTTATGAATTCTAACGAAGCTATTGCTCATCATGATTCTGATGAATCTGTATGTGTAATGCCACGTTGAATACACTCTCTTCAACGGATCCGCTCGAAAACTACATATTATTTATCATGGACTCTCCCATATGGCACAATTTATGCATGCCAATGTAACTATTGCATCAACTCACCTTTGTATTTCCTTCAAGTGGAACGTATCATGCCCCATTCACACCGACAATAACGTGACAATCTCTTAAATATAAATTACAATCGCTTGGTATATTTGTTTTTTTTCCTTTTCTGGGAAACTCACTGACAGTTAACCGCGTTTAGAATGCGCATTCGCTTAGAATACGTTGTTTGCTGTTCCGCTTTTATATAAATTCTTCTCTCATCAAGTTTTAATATTCTCATTCAAGATTACAAAACAATATGAGGAATATATTTTTCCGTTCTACCTATATATATATATTTATATATATATATATATATTTACGCGCAAATGTGTATTATGTATATATATATTCAGTTTTTTATAATAAAAATACAAGCGGATATAATGAAAGTTGTAAAACTCAATGCTACAGGTGAATTTAATCGGTACGTGTGTACATTATTGTATTCTTCCTCTTGTTTTTTCCTTTTTTTAGTGTACAAGTAATGTTGTGTCTACATGTATCGTGTAAGACGCGCACGAAATGTGCGTGTGTATCTATTCTATCTCTCAATGAGACACCACAAAGTGAGCCATGATATAATACTTGGGACTATATGTGGTGTGCAAAGACCTTGCTCGATCCTTACACTCATTAGCAATGTTCTATCATAAGTTATGTTGTCTGGCGTCACTATAAATCAGGATCGTTTCCATTCCCCTACCTTGAGACCTAGCCCTGAAGCTTAAACCCCTTAGAGGAAGTAGTCTGGCGTTCGCCTGGTAACATGTGGTTCTCCACGTCTTGGTGCTGGATCAAATTGTAGGCTGTAACAAAATCGAGGAAATTAATAATTGTACTCTCTGCTATCGATAGATAAATGTGTCATATACTTTCAATGTTCTTTGTGGATTCTTCTTACAATAAAGAGTAGTGTTGCGGAAAATATATTTGGAATTATCGAGCGTAAAAAAAAAACTTACATATTACACAATATAAAGTTGATAGAGAAATTTGACTAGTGTTTACACTTACAATGAATATTTCAAAGCATCATCCAGTTCCATAATCGCAGCTTGATTTCCGCAACGATAGCAGTAATTAGGTGCAGAAAATATAGTCACAACATTGCGGTCATGACACCTGTGACGAGACAGTCGTGTAAATAATATTATAGCATTGTTATAATAATTTAATTTACTATAAACTAAGTGTACGGTCTATGTTGGATAAACTATACATTCAAACGAAAAACACAAATAAACATTTTATTACTAAATAAACAATGTCAATATTCTTACCAATTATAACCCTCCATGACTAACTGGTGGGCTCGTGATACAAGCGTTAGTCCGTTGGAGTGGTTAAACGTTTCTGAGATATCTTGACCAAAGGTATATCCTGCCCCACGGGGTGAAATACCCCACCCTCCTCTGTCATCTGGATCTGACCAAAGTAGGTCGCACATAGGACCCTGCATCAAATTACAATAAACGATAAAGTTGATGATAAAATTTGATGACGATGACAAATTTCGTTACAATTATCTTTGCCAACGATCATGGTGAATACTGACTTCGTGTGGCACTTCTTGAAGGCGGTCTAGAGCACGTATGTGATCCAAAGTATCAATGGATGGTGATAGACCACCATGCAAACAAAATATTTGACCATCAACCAGTGCGGTCAGTGGTAGGTAATCGAACAAGTCCGTAAAGAATTTCCAGACATTGGCGTTGCCGTATTTACGTAAACATTCGTCGTAAAATCCATACACCTGTGTGATTTGCCTGGATTCATGGTTGCCTCGCAGGATAGTTATTCTCTCTCGGTATCTCACCTTTATGTGCGCAAAATGAGAGAGAAAAAAGAAGAAATATATTTAGTATAGATGAATATATATCTTGTTACTTATCGCGAAAAAATAAACATGTTGTATGATAAGATAGAACATACTAATTTATACATATATTTATGTATATATGGTACTGATTAGCGCTACATGCAAAGAATAGTAACTGAATGTGTAAATAATTACAAATTGTATGTTACATTATACCTTAAGAGCTACAAGCAGGGTGACAGTTTCGACTGAATAATAGCCACGATCTACATAGTCACCCATAAAAAGGTAATTTGTATCGGGTGATTTGCCACCTATTCTAAACAGTTCCATCAAGTCGTGAAACTGCCCATGGACATCTCCACACACTGTCACAGGACATTTTACTTCTTGTACATTTGATTCCTTAGCTAAGATTTCTTTCGCCTGAAAATTAGAAATATCATGAAATAACTCTGAAGATGATAAATACAATCTCTACTATATATATATTACAAAGGGGAGACGAGCAGATTAGTTCAAAAATACTGTGTTTTTATCTCTTCCCCGTTTCGACGCTTTGCGATGCATGGAGGAGCTTTCGTGAACATGTGAAACAATAGACACCTGCAAACACGACGACAGCGTCGAGCAAACGTGAGACAATAGTTCAACAATGGAGTTAACGAAATACTTCGAAATAACGTCGTGTTGTAATTCGTAAATGTCACGCGGAACTTCAGCGGCGAAACACTCCTCCCAACAAGTGAATCTCAGCTGCCAATTACAGATACAATTACCGATGCATATTTAGAGATACGAGCGCATCGGCCAATTGGCATAATAACACAGACGAAACACGAGCAATGAATCGCTGTAAGACGCATTTCACCTATAATACCTCAAGGGTCTAAGTATAGTTCATTCAAAAATACTTGTGCTTCCACCTCTGAATTTTATTTAGCATGGTATTTACATCTGAGAGTTAAAGGTTGTGAAATGAACCTCGGACTAATCAGGCAGAATGTTTTCCAAGTGATCCTACACAACAAATTTTCAATCCATCAACTCTCAAGAACCCAATACCAGGACAATACTTCAATATTTTCCATTATTTGTTGAAATATACCCGCTACATACACGCTTGGCTAAAATCACATTCAAATTGTAGCGATTGTTACATTGTGTCTGTGTTGATTTAAGCAGGATGACAAGTGTCTCATGTTCACAAAACAGCTTCATGACTCATACATGATTGAGGTTTTGTCATCAGCTATCTCGCTCATATCAAAGCGCAGATATGAGCCAGCGGGAGATAGGGTGACTGACAGACGCTACCGCCGATATTGCAAGATATAAAAATTACTGTTATCTCTCGGCATACGGTACACATACCGTACATCAGCCGGATACATACGCAAAGGCGAAGCGTTTACCTGAAATATGACGAGAGATCCACTTTTGTAGCGATAACCAATCGATCATTGCAACATCGGCAGCGCGATGACATGCACCTGTTGCAGAAGCAAATCGGCGCGTTTGAAGTGATAAAAACCGAAATAGAATCAACAACGAACAAAATTTCGTTGCCTCTGTTACAGAAGGTGGCTCTTCTGATGGCGAAGACATCAGAAATAGCGCGCGGGCGAGATCGAACGACGATTGAAAGGGAATGAATCTCGAGGGGGCGCAAGCCTCCTTCGTGGGTTATCCCGACGATGATGACGCGTATATACGACACGGGGAACGACGTTAGAGCCGCGATCAACGGCCCCGACACCAGGTAACACTGCGAGTTGAGTTTGCAGTATACACATACACACACACACACACGTACAGATGTACATACATGTGTATGTATATACACACACACATACACACGACGACGATATAGCCGCCGCCGAGGCAGCACGCGATAGTCGAAACGCAAATAATTAACGCGAGGCCGCGACGTGCCGACCCGACGTTGGGGACGCGCTTTCGATCGCTGAGGTCGCGGGGGTGGGAAATCGATTCCGCCACGAATCGGATACCTTGTCGCAGAGAGTTTTCACTTGGCTTTCTGTCAGTTGTTTGCAGTCGTTTAACTGTTCTATCCACTGGTCGAGCTCTTTGAGCGACGCCTTCTCCTCCATCGTACCGCGATGACCGTTTGCACGGACAATTCACACGTGTGTGCAATACGCGTACGCTCCTTAGCACATGTAATCTGACGCCGTACGTGCCCCTCTACCTTCGCGAAACTAAATCATTCGGGTTTTTCGCCGCTGGCCGAGAGCCCCGCAACACAAATACCCCGTGAGAGCAAGCGCTCATTCACACAAAATGGCCGAACGCCGAGCGCTGGCGCGATGACGTCACGCCGTATTCATGCGCGATGCCCACCCGGTCCGTCGAACACTCACTGATGCCATCGTTCCTCGCAATTTAGGAACGAATAGGGATTTTTATAATTTTTTTTACACATCTTTCGCCGAACTGAATTCTTGGACATTCCGAAAGAACGATAAATAACATTACGAATTCCGTCCGATTCGATAATATAATTTTGATTAGATTGGCGATTATTGTCGACCAATTTGTCGGAAATCGGACTTGAAAAGCAACTGCACTTTTGTGAACTTTATAGGATTCTTATAACATTTTCGAACGACACATCGTTTCGGAGTTCGTATTTCTGAAAAAATATCGCATAGGTGGGTCTGTTCTTTATAGCTGCACTGCTGAACCAGTGCAATAAGTGCAATAGAGTGAAAAAAATATAGTTGTCTCATTTTAACTTATTACACTAATTCAGCAATACAGCTATAAAGAACAGACCCGATATTTCACGAGTGTCACTAGATATTACAATTCTCAGCCAATTGAATTGTCAATTAAAACGCCTGGTTTAGTTTTTCATAAATTTTTGTAGAGTTTGGCTTTCCTTTCCACCGGAGATATCCGAAAAATGTCAATAAATATGTCAATATCATCTATTCCTAATTACAATTCAATGTAGGGTGCTTCCGATAACCTGGTTAGAGTTAAGTTTCCTATAATAAAATATAATAAAATATACTAAATAAAATATAATAAAATTGTATAGGTACAACCATTTACTACCATCATATGTCATGACAACTCAATGCTGTCTTATTGTCATTGAGTTGAGTTAAGAAATTCGGTAGTTGACGATAAGACGAAAAATAGGATAGAAGGTAATAATCCGCAAAATTGTATTAATTGTGATAAACAATAAATTTTAATTAATCATTATTAGTATTACCTTTATTAAAAGTTATAATTATGTAAAATTACCACGCACCGTTAAAATTTATTTTTTATCACAATTAATACAATTTTGCGGATTATTACCTTCTATTCTATTTTTCGTCTTACCGTCAACTACCGACTTTCTTAACTCAACTCAATGGCAATAAAGCCAGCGGCACACGGTGCTTGTTTTCGTGCTGGATTGCTTGCTGGATGAAAATATTGCGTTGTGATATATTGCGTTGTGGTACATTTCCGAAGATGGATGGAAATGCACTAATCAGAACGCAATATTTTCATCCAGCAAGCAATCTAGCACGAAAACAAGCACCGTGTGCCGCTGGCTTAAGACAGCATTGAGTTGTCATGAAGTATGATGGCAGTAGATGGTTGTATCTATACGTATATTTTATTCCTAGGAAACTTAAGTTATCGAAAGCACCCGTAGTTGAGCTCGTTAATTTTTAATTTCAAAGTTTCCACTACGAGGCGCCAACGTTGGTTGCGTTCAGAAAACACAACGGTTACACAACGGTTGAATAATTCGTCAACGTTATTGGTCTGAATGTAAGGATCTAACAGTAAGGACCAATAGTTACTAAGCGCTTAGTGAACGCTTTGTTTTTTGAACACAACCATTGGCTGCGTTCAGAAAACACGACGGTTACAAAACGGTTGAGTAATTCGTCAACGTTATTGGTTTGAATGTAAGGATCTTCTAACAGTAAGGACCAATAGTTACTAACCGCTCAGTGAGCGCTTTATTTTCTGAACGCAACCACTGGTATGGTCTAGTGGCTAGGATACCTGGCTTTCACCCAGGAGGCTCGGGTTCGATTCCCGGTACCGGAAACTTTTCGGGGAGGGAATACAGGCATAGTTCCCCTGACTCCCCCCACCGCGGTCCGAACGGTAGGACCCCGCAGGGATTTTAGCCGGTAAGAGTCCGACATAACCTTCGACCCCCCCCCGCCCCAAGGAGTCGGGGGTATCCATGAGGATTTCCCCTGCGTGACCAAAAAAAAAAATGTATAACTATAAAACAATTTTTGTGGATGATGCCTTTGATGGAAAAAGAAAAATTTGATAATTGTATTATCAAATATTGTTTTATTAGGTGTACAACTTTGCTTCCGCCGTTTTCCTATAGATGGCTTTAGCGATAAGTAGTTGTCGAAATAAATAGAACATAGACGTCATGCAATAAACTTGGGCATCTGTCAACATAATCCCATAGAAACATTAGTCGATTTGTGTCTGCAACATAAAGTTATTCTCGATTGAAAATGTCAGTTTACGAGCCAAATTCTCGTCATTTGCGGGAGGTTTTAATTTTCTGCTTCAATTTGAAGAAATCTGCGGCTGAGACTCAGAATGCTCTCAAATACTTATGATGAGGCTGCTATTAGTGAAAGAACGTGTCGTGAGTGGTTTCAACGCTTCAAGAACGGTGATTTTCACGTCGAAGACCGGCATAGCAGTGGAAGAGAGAAGGTTTTCGAAGATGCAGAATTGGAGGCATTACTTAATGAAGACTCGTGTCAAAGTCAAGAAGAATTGGCACGATCATTGGGAGTAACTCAACAAGCAATTTCAAAACGCCTCAAAGACATGAGAATGATTCAGAAGTAAGGAAATTGGGTGCCGTACGAGTTGAAACCGAGAGATGTTGAACGGCGTTTGTTTGCTTGTAAACAGTTGCTTGAAAGGCAAAGACGGAAGGGATTTCTGCATCGCATTGTGACTGGGGACGAAAAATAGGTTCATTGCGATAACCCCAAGTACAGAAAATCATGGGCATATCCTGGCCATGCTTCACGTCGACGGCCAAACCGAATATTCACGGCTCCAAGGTCATGCTCTGTATTTGGTGGGACCAACTCGGCGTAGTGTATCATGAGCTGTTAAAACCGACTGAAACAATCACAGGCGATCGTTATCGAACGCAATTAATGCGTTTGAGCCGAGCATTGAAAGACTAACGGCCGCAATACAACGAGAGACACGATAAAGTGATTTTGCAGCATGACAATGCTCGACTCCATGTTGCGAAAATGGTCAAGACATACTTGCAAACGTTGAAATGGGAAGTCCTACCCCACTTGCCGTATTCTCCAGACGTTGCTCCCTCTGACTATCATTTGATTCAATCAATGGCACACGGCCTGGTTGACCAGCACCCGGTCTTATGAAGAAGTAAGAAATTGGATCGATTCGTGGATCGCTTCAAAAGATGACCAGTTTTCTCAACGCGGGATTTGTACGCTGCCCGAAAGATGGGAGAAAGTAATGGCTAGCGATGGACAATACTTTGAATCATAAATGTATAACCAGTTTTTACAATAAAGCCTCGAATTTCGGAAAAAACGGCGGAAGCAAAGTTGTACACCTAATACATAATTCCACAAATGGAAAGAAATTATTTTATAATATTGCAAAACCGAAGCTTGTAGCGAATTTACATAAATTAGTCTCAACTGTTTTGGATACATTTAAAAATTTAGATAGTTAAAGAAAAGAAAATTTTATATATAAAAGCTTCATAATATTAGGTGTGTGAATTAATTCGGTTCATCTGGCGGTCAATTGCTGTACTATGTAATTTTCTAACCTGTAATGTCTGCAAAAGGCTTTATTTTTTAGTTTTGATATCTGGCAATAATATTCAGTTGATAAACGTTTGGGTTTGTAACAATAACATCGTGTTTATCTGATTCGAAAATATCGAAATTCGAGCCAAAAAAGCATCATTTCCGGGAAGTTCTCATTTTCTGTTTTCATGAAGAAAGCAAAAATTTGAAGAAAACAGCCGCTGAAACTCATCGAATGCTCGTAGAAGCTTATGGTGAAAATGCTTCCATCGATAAATCATGCAGAGAATAGTTTTGACGTTTCAAAAGTAATCAGTTTCAGCGTCGATGACAAACCTCGTCCAGGTCAGCCGAAGAAGTTCGAGGACGAGGAATTGCAGGCGCTAATCGATGAAGATCCGTGTCAATCGCAACATGAGCTCGCGCAATTGTTGAATGTTGATCGATTAACAATTTCTGTGCGTTTGGCAGTCATGGGAAAGATTTACAAAGAAGGAAAATGGGTGCACGAACTGAAAGAAAGAGGCATCGAGAGGTGAAAAGTCATGTCTGAAATCTTGTTTGCCAGGCAAAAAAGAGAAGGTTTTTTGCATCGTATTGTGACTGGAGACGAAAAGTGGATATATTTCGATAATCCCAAACGAAGGAAATCCAGTAGCGACCCAAGAAAACCATCTACACCGATAACAAAGCGGAATATTCACGGCAAGAAAGTAATGTTCTGTATATGGTGGGACCAGAAGGGTGTAGTATATCATGAACTATTAAAACAGAGCCAAACCATCACTACCGAACTTTATCAACAATTGATCCGTTTAAACAACGCATTGAAGAATAAGCGGCCGGAATATGCAAAGAGATATGACAAAGTGATCTTCCAGCACTTCAACGAGCCAGATAACGCTCGGCCACATGTTGGAAAGATTGTGAAGGCCACCTTGGAAGTATTTGGCTGGGACTTTACCTCACTCGCCATATTCATCAGACATTACTCCATCCGATTATCACTTGTTCAGATCGATGGCACATGAGCTTTCGGACCAGCACTTCAACAATTATGAAGAAATAGAGAAATGGCTCAATGAATGAATCGTTTCGAAAGACGAGTTGTTTTTCCGTCACGGAATGCAACAACTGTCAGACAGATGGGAAAAAATAATAGCAAGCGATGGCAAATACTATGGTTAGTGTGCTTTTTCATGTTTTTTCATACTAAAGTCTTTTTTTGGAAAAAACGGATCGAATTAATTCACACACATAATACATGATTATTATACTATTAAAGATTTAAGACAGTTTCGAAATAAACTTTTTAATTAATATATTATCTCATATCTATCGTTTTTTAAAATTAAATGATTTTAATAATAACACACAACTGAAACATTCATTGTTTATTTATGTAAACTGAAATGATCATTACATTTCAGAAATAATTGTTAAGACAGTTAAATAAAATAGCAGTTACAAAAAGTTACATTCTCATGTCGCTGTAAAATATGTGTCAACATGTTAAAAATAATATCCTTATATTATTTTTAATATGTTGCCTCTTAATGACAGTATTATCAAAAAGAAGTGAATACTTCAGTGAGAAAGAATTATATAAATAATTTTGAGATATTATTTAAAAATGTATATCCATCTAAATCTTGCCGTTATTAATAAATACATATAAGTATACATAGATTGAGTTGTTTCAGGTTTTACTAGAAGTGCAGAGTACAATAGTAGATAATGGTGTAATTGGGAAGCAAAAATATATATATATCAAGATTGGAATAGCATTGTGTTTTTCATAGCTCATTGTAGAATAAAACACAAAACTTTAATATTATCAATAATTTCTCCGCGATATAGAGTTATGGAGAAATGAACCATTATATGTGAGTTCTAATTCTGATTGGTTCGATAATAGTCTAACATTAAGTATGTCTTGGGTATGTAATTATTATCATTAAGCTGCGTATCATTATAATGTTTCTATAGACGTATATCTGGAGCTACAAACGGAAGTAACAATGATGCTGTTTTGCTTCTTCATTCATTACATGGACAAAGACACATGGACTGATTTTTCATAAATAATTAATGCTATTTTGGAGTCGCTAGTGCTACACGCTTCATTGTTGTTCTTTCCATTGTTAACATATTTTCCTCTTACAAAGAGTCGCATCCAGCTGCTCGAGCCACGGCAGTAGTAACATGATTTTTCTCCTGTAATTTGGTTCCTTTGCGACAGGATTATGCTCCAAATATATAGTTCGCAAATTCTTGTTAGCTGTTAAATTCTCCAATGTGTTCCAGTCTTCGATCTCGTTATTGTTCATCTGTGAATAATATATAAATGAAAACTATAATATTTTCATGTACAATCACATTATTTAACATTGTTTTCCTTACCCAAAATTCCTCAAGACTTTCAAGATGATCTATATTTTGGATTTTCTTAATTTTGTTATTAGCAAGATCTAACGTCGTTAATCCCGAACAATTTTCTATGCCCTCTATACACGTTATACCATTCTCAGATAAATACAATTGATCTAGCTTCCTTAATTCTTCAATATTTTCGATTTTTACAATGCGATTACTTTGTAGACTTAACAATGTAAGATCCTGCAGGCTCTCTAAATTTTGAATTTTAGTGATTTTGTTTTTACCAAGATACAAATTGATCAGTTTCTGAAGACCCTCTAGATTCTCAATTTCACGTATCTTGTTATCACCCAATTCAAGTGTTGTAAGATTTACCAGATGTAAGATATTCTCAATATGTGAAATTTTATTTGATGATAAGAATAATTTTTGTAGATTCAATAAATTATCCAGCCCTTCTATCTTCTTGATACGATTAAATGACAAATCCAAAAGTCTAGAAGTAATACAATTAAAAATATATATACATACATATCTACATACATATATACATGTATATATACAATTAAAAAAAAATATATATGCACACCAAATATTTATAGAATTAAGGAAATCGAAGACAACTTACTCTAAATTCACCAAAACATCCAGATTTTCTATAGTCATAATTTGATTATCTCTTAATTCTAATTCTACCAAAGTAGTGAGTGTATCCAGATTTTCTATCTTTTTAATCAAATTCCATGTAAAACATAATCTACGTATTTGTGTCAATGGCTCCAAATTTTCCAATTTTGTTAGTTTTGAATGATTAAAATCTAATTCCTAAAATATATTGTATATAATAGTGATCTTGTTAATAAAATATATACAGTATATCATATCATACATAACAAATTAATGGGAGTATATTAAGCTAACAATAATTAGAACATATATAAGAATCACAAACTTCGCTATCAGGATCTATAATTAATATCTTATCAGCTTCCTCAGTTTCTTCTCCTTCATTATCCACCTCCATCTCGGTAGAACCTTCGCTTTTGTCCTCTTCTGAAAAAAAGAAGCAAATGAAAAAATTAATCAAATAAAACATAACCTAAATATTAATGTGTACATATAATAAATTAAAATTTGCTTTTCATATATCGTACCGTGAGTAGCCATTATTGTTAGAATTGTTGCACGACAAAAACAATAATGACAACGATTTGATGAACGCAATCAGTTATTTACTGCTAAAATTACACGCACGGAATTATCTTTATGTCAAACTTTTCTACAGTTTGCCGGTGTTTGCTCGATAATGCGCTTTGATCCATTAACGATGTTAAAAGATGATAACGAACACTGCACTATACATATAAAAAGATGTATCTAAACAAGAAATTATAAAAAGAGAAATGCCATCAGCCCTTCCTCTAATAATATCAATAACAAATCAATCACTGCTTGGAGTATGAATCATCCAAACTGTATCAGGGTTCAAGTCTCTGCTAAGGTTCCAGTGGGTTCGAGTCTCGGTTAAATGATAGGTCGTACGGTAAGTTTCACGTATATGTATACATTTTGGTATCCTGTATGTTCCTATAATTCGTTTCTCAATAAAATCATATGACATTATCAGATATAGAGAAGAGTATTCATATGTTATAGGTACATAAAAATGCATATACAGAATTGTATAGAATGCTGTTGACTTTTACCGTGTGATTAATAACTTATCGCTTCCTTCGTGGAATAATCAGAATAACCTCTTGAAGAGTGACTAATGATGACAATTTGTTTCTTTGCAGGTTAGATTTTGTGATTGGATAAGTGTCTCTTTTTATAGCATCTTGTTTCATTAGTGCAAAAATGGCATCTCTTGTCAAGGAAGCAGACAAGGTTCTTGTGGTATCAGGAGATGAAGTATGTCTTAATGACATTGAGGATTTTGTCATTGCTGTTAAGCAACATATCGGAGACCTTGGCAAATTATTAACCACAACATTATCAAATCTGAAAAAGGGTAAACTCTTGCTTTGTTCAATCTATAAAAGCTGCTGTTATATGAAATCACGGGCAAAATACATCTATATCTTGCTTTTCATTTTAGAAAATTATGGTGCTTCTACTCTTGATGTTGTTATTACTATTTTGAAACAACCATGTACAAAAGATGAGTTTCTTGGAGAAGCATTAAGAATTTTGAAACCTGATGGTTCTTTTGTTATCTACGAACCACTGCAAACAATCAAACAGACAGATACAATACTTACATATCCCGAAAGAATATTTAGGTTAAAGCTGTCTGGTTTTAAAATAAAAGATACAGAATGTGGGAACTTGGATGCAGATATGGAAAATAAAAATTTCTTAAAGAAAATATACAATGATGTAAAAGATGTTTGCAAAATCTTGGCAAACAAACCTCCATTTGAGGTAAAATAATCCTTTTATATTTATGCAACCTTATATATATATATATATATACATACATACATATACATATATATATATGTATATATATTTATTGCATATGTGTATATATATGCAATAAATATCTAAGGAACATATTTTTGCTTATTCAGGTAGGATCTAGCATTCCGCTAAGTTTTACTAAGGAAAATATGTCATCTACAAAGAAGGAGAATACTGTATGGACATTAGATAATCTTGTAGATGAGGATTTGATAAATGAAGATGAACTTTTAGATGAAGCAGATCTAATAAAGCCAGATGCCTCATCATTAAAAGGTGAGTTTTTATGGTATTTGAGTAAATAAAGAAAATTACTGCATCCATATAAATTTCATAAACAAAGTTACCGTTTTAGTCTGCAGCACAACAGGCAAACGAAAGGCATGCAAGGATTGTACATGTGGACTTGCAGAAGAATTAAGTGGTAAAGCAGCACAAGAAACTAGTGTTAAATCTTCTTGTGGAAATGTAAGTTTTATTTTACTGTTATTGGCTTGATTGATATATATGTTTTAGACAACCATCTTATTGTATTATAGATATAAGTTAAATCTTGAAATTTTTTAATAATTCAGCATATTGAAAGAGAAATTTCTGTAATTGTTAAAATATTAGGAGTACAAATAAGTTTCCGCCGTTTGACAAAAGATGGCCCCACCAGAAGCTTATGTTGGAATTGTCAGATGTAAAACGTAATATCGTAAGTTTGGACATCTGGTAACAACATAACCTTGAAGTATTAGTGCTCCGTATCAGTATCACATAATTTTTTTCGTGCAAAGATGTCAAGTTTTGTGCCGAATAAGCGTCATTTGCGGGAACTTTTGATTTACTTCTTTAATTTGAAGAAATCTGCAGCTGAGGCGCATCGATTGCTTGTAGAAGCATATGGTGAGACTGCTTTAAGTGAGAGAAGTTGTCGTGAGTGGTTCCAAAAGTTTAAAAACGGTGAGTTTGACGTGGAAGACAAAGAACGTAGTGGAAGGCCGAAAGTGTACGAAGACACGGAATTGGAAGCATTATTGGGGGAAGATTCGTGCCAAACGCAAGAAGAACTTGCACTTACATTAGAAGTGACTCAACAAGCAATTTCACATCGTTTAAAATCGTTGGGAATGATTCAAAAACAAGGAAATTGGGTTCCATATGAACTGAAGCCGAGAGACGTTGAACGCCGATTTTGCACGTGTGAAATGCTGGCTGGTGAATTGCCAAGCATAAAAGAAAGGGCTTTTTGCATCGTATAGTCACTGGTGATGAAAAATGAATCCATTACGATAACCTAAAGAAGAGAAAATCATAGGGACCTGGCCATGCTTCAACATCGACAGCCAAACCGAATATTCATGGAAAAAAACTCATGCTGTGTATTTGGTGGGATCAGCTTGGTGTCGTGTATTATGAGTTGCTCAAACCGAGCGAAACCACTACTGGAGCTCTCTGCCGAACACAATTAATGAGATTGAGCCGAGTACTCAAGGAAAAACACGCCCATTACTACTCCAGACACGACAAAATTATTCTCTTACATGACAACGCTTGGCCACATGTTGCAAAACCTGTCAAAACCTATTTGGAAACACTTAATTGGGAAGTCCTACCTCATCCACCGTATTTACCAGACATTGCCCCTTCCGAGTATCACTTGTTCCGGTCGATGGCACATGGCCTGTCTAAGCAGCGTTTTACATCATATGAAGATACTAAAAATTGGGTCGATTCGTGGATAGCCTCAAAAGATGAAGAGTTTTTCCGACGTGGTATCCAAATGCTGCCAGAAAGTAGCTGGGAAAAAGTAGTGGCTAGTGATGGATAATACTTTGAATAAAACATAATGTACTGTTCTTTCACAATAAATTCCTAATTTTTGATAGAAAACGGCGGAAACTTATTTGTATTCCTAATACTAATTAATTAATTTTTAGTATATATATATTATATATTGAAATGTTTACAAATTTAAAAAAGAATTTTTATTAATGTACATTAATTTTTAGTGTTATCTTGGAGATGCATTTAGATGTGCCAGCTGCCCTTATCTTGGAATGCCTGCTTTTAAACCCGGCGAGAAAGTAATTTTGCCAGAGGCACAGTTAAGCGTTGATTCCTAAACTGTGCTCTTTTCGACGAAGAATTTATTGGTTCTAATTATAGTAAATTACACATTATATTAGGATTCATATAAGGCATAATAAATTACATTTTAGTTTACACAAGTAACGATACATTACAATTATATTTTGATTCGTATAAGTAACAATTGCACGCAATTTCGAGTGCGAAATGTATCTCGTCCTATTAATTTCATATTAGATATTTTATTTCAATGTAAAAATAAAACGGTAGTATTATTGTCTTCTAAATAGATTGTACTTAATTTATTATAATTCTGTTGCAAGTCTTTTTACTATTTTTTTCAATAATGGGATTATTTATAATACACCGATAATAAGAGATGATCTGTTTTATTTCACTTTTATCTGTATACAATAGTAACCAGCACATTATAACCATTGCAAATGGATGCAGAATATGCAATATATTTCTGAAGACATTTGTTCGATTGCCTGATCGCGTTTTAAATACAATGTAATAAAATTTGCTTCGAGAAAACTGCAGTAGATTCTTAAATATTCAAGCATACAAAATAGAAGATATAACTGTGTTACGAAGGTAAAACATGGATTGTTTTGGAAAAATGAAGTATTCTAAATAGTTCCCACATGTAACGTAAAATATAATTGAGAATATGCTATTAAACGAAAAATTTCCATGGGAGAGCTTCAAAATTCTGATCTACAATAATATAATCTATGCATATTGCATACTATGCATCATCATAGTTTTATTTTAGGAATATAACCCTTTCACCATAAATCCACTATCCCGTCTCTGGGGATGAGTGTGTGGGAGAGGGCTATTTTCCAAACACAATGTTGATACGTGTATATATAATATTTATATATACATACATTTACCTATGTATATATAGCCCGGCAAATATGTCGCAAACGTTTAGTACAAAATTATACGTTAGATTTAAAAACCAAAGAGACGATGACGATTTAAGTAGTATCTATCGTATACAGGAACAAAAAGTATCGTCATGTATTGCGAATGATTTGTTTGTCACGACGACAGGAACATTCTTCCGTATTATATAAAAGAATAACGTAAACCTCATAAACATATAATCAATGAACAATATGGTAATTATCGGTTTGCCTCCCTGCGACATGGTTAGAATTAAGTATTATCTCACCGCGCGGTGTTTTTTCTATATAACACTATCACTAATCAAGTCTCGCTTCAATGTATGACAATTCCTGCAAACCAATAATTGTACTATGTCCTCTTTACACTATAATTAAAAACAACTTTGGTGTACAAAAATTATATGTGTTAACTGCTAATTGCATTACGCTGGTTTAAAAGTACGGACGTTAAGGGAAACAAAATTTATACGATCGTTCGTTTTAACGCGTTCGCCACCACGCTGATTTCCGCAAATTGTTGTTTCAAAGCTTACAATGCGAATAATCGAAATAAGTGCACATTTCCCTCTATATATATTTTTTTTTTAAGTTAGTTTCATCGGCTCCCTATATATTGGCTGCGATATTTAACTCGTTAGTTACAATTAATTACATTTTATGCGTAAAACAACGAGACACGGCAAAATCGCAACGCCGGTCACCTCCGTGGCAGTCAACGTGTTAAGGACAACATAAACTAAAATCAATTGTCTGCGCTATTCACTTCGCGCGCTGCAGATGATGTTTAAAAACAGTAAAACTGGTGGAAAATCTCGTTTTCACAATAGCATAAAAATTGGAAGAAAAACAGAAGACTCAAGAATTGGCATCGCATTGCACACACCGACGCGAAGAACGTAAGTTTCCGGGGTCAAATAATCGCGTGAACAAACCGATTGAAGGATCTCTCCGCGAGGAACGCTATTGCGAATTCGCTGCGCGAAGGACGATAATGTGCGAATTTGGTAATCCTCCGAACTAGAATCCTGTTTGGAAACCAGCAATACGTGGACGTCGATTGCCGATGTGTACAAATCATACGCAGTAAGTACGCAAATACACCGAGAACTTGTCGCAATGTTTCGCAGCGCAATTCGCAGCGCAATTTATCGCTCGGACAAACGAGGTATCCACGATTTGACAGTGAGGACTGCTCGCGCACATTGTAACGTTCAGCAATATTTTTCTACTTTGTCTAGTATACACCTCATAATAGCATGTACATGTGTTATACAAGACGTTCCGCTTATCGTCGCGAACACCTATGATTATCTTCGTTGCTTTCGATGATGTACAGGGATAAATGTCTAAGAAAATGGCTATCGATTCGAGATCATTGATAGATTCTAAATGAAATTAAGCGTTGATTTCCATGACGTTTGTCACAACCGGTGTCGAGAGATATGCGAGGTGTTCGCGATGAGCGGGACAGAATGATATACAGACTGATATACAAAGTGTATGTAGGATGAGGCATTTAAAGCGGATCAAATAAAGCTGTTTGAATCTCAAACAGACTTTACTCGAAACAGTTTCTATCTTTGCACACGGGGAAATTACGTAGGTAAGTGGTCCGTTTTATACGCCTCACCCTGTACACATATATACATTGTATATTGTATTCGGTATGATCAAATGTATGGTCAGCGGTAGAAGATGGTTACGGGAATACACGAAGTATGAACTCGTTGAAAGGCCCGTGGTTTATAGTTTTGTAGTTTTACGATTTTGCAATTGTCACTTGAGACCAGCCTCACACAGGGCAAATCTCAAGCGACGACAACGAGCACGAGCCTGAGGGTGGAATTAAAAGCGTTCATCGAGATATGAGACTCGCGAGGCGCGAGAAGTAAGACCAAGGATGTATTTGTCATGATTGGAGAATTACGATTTACGCGATTAATAACCACGTGTTTATCCAAAATCGATTTAGTGTCGCAGCCTGCGTAGCCGCATGAATAACGTGACAACCAATTTAGTAATTTCCGTCGACTATAACTATTGATGTTACATGTCGTACAAACAAGTATGTTACAACTATACTGTGACATATAACATTAGTAGTCGCAACATTGAGAATTATCAAATCTGTCCACCGACACGCTTTTAGGCTCTAACGTGTAAACGCAGTTTATGATAACGAAATCGGTGGTAATTCCATATCTATATGCAATGTTGACGGTTTTCTCAGTCGACATGAGAACAGAACTATTCGTCACCGTCGTAATCTGAATTTTTTCAGGAATGTACTCACAATAGTACTTTGAGCAACGATTAGAATTACCGTTTAAGGCAACTTTTGCGCACCTCGTGACCGCAATCGCTACACGTTTTCCTTTTTTTTTTCTTGCTTCCTCCGTCTCTCTCACTCCAAACTGCTTTCGCACGGTACAAGTGAGTTCCCTTCGACCACTACAGCGATTCTATGTTAAAAGAAATGAACGAGAGAAGATGAATATATAAGGAAGCGTCTGAGTAAAGTCTTTCCACGTCAGAGAGCTTGAATAATGTTATTCGGCAGATACCTCTACATAATGAAAAGATTCCTAGGTACCGCGCACACATTCCCTTTCGCTTCTTACTTTCATCACATACTGCATCAAATGCCGGAAAAGAAGCTACATATTTACAAAAAGTTAATTTTTTCAGTCCTTGATACTTTTATTTCTTTACCACGATTATGCTGATCAAACACGATGACGAGAAAAAACACGCTCAAATTATTATAAAATATATTGGAATAAAAAAGATATGTCTTTGAAATATTTTACAAATTTGCAAATTGAACATATTGAAAGTCTCTTTTTATTTCTATGTACTTGGCAAGAATTTTCTTTCAAGATATAAACATATATCTTCTTAACACAGCGATACAGTATCGGAGATTTTAAATATTGTGCCGTCAAACGTTTTATAACTTTTGGAACTTGTTGGTTCCACAATTTTGCAGAATTCTTGGAACTGTCTCAATTGTATTATTATCGTGACATGTTATGGAAATTTTGAAAAAGTCCGCAGGCATCATAAATAATTATAGTTTTATAATTTTAAGTATTAATAATTTTGGTGTTACAATTAATTAATTTATAATAGTTATATATATTATTATAAAAAAATTTATAATAATATATATGTAATTATATAAATAATCGCTTAAAATCCTCGACCATAAGTTGATCATAAGTGATACTATGATAATGATCTACTGATGAGGCACGATCACACTCGTATCAGAATTTACGAAAATGACGCATTTCATAAGTGTACCTAAGAGTCTCAGTTGTGTTTTCGTGCCCGCGGCATCGGGCAAATGAGAGGAATCGCGTTTCTGGCGGTTCCTCGAGAAATGTAAGAGCACTCTCGGTGCGCGTCGTACCGCTGTAAACGAGTCAACAAGTGTCCAACAAAACCTCACGATAAAGATTTAATATGACTACGTAATTAATTACTGGTTCTATTAACACAGCCCTACGTGTTAAGACGTAATAAGAAACAGGACTTCCTAAAAAGAGGCTTTGGCTTCCTTTCGCAAGACGTAGCGAAAGCAATCGTCGTCGACACGGTGGCCGTGCGCATCCCGTAAACGCGCGGATACTTTCGGACTCCGATGGAGAAGTTATCAATGGTAGAGAATCCGCCGCAGTACGTACAGAGAGGTGGCAGATCCCGCGAGTACTACTTCCGCGAGTGGCTCGCGGTGGTGCTGCGGAATCCGCAGAATTTTCGCCATTTCATACGACGACACATTAGCTTGTGCTAGCACGAATTCCCCTCCATGTTATCCAACAAGGAATTCTTCTCCTCTTTTTTCGAGCTATTGCTCCTCGGCACCATGGTGCATAATTTCGGTTCGAAACACGGCTGCAAAAGAAATCGTACCGTTATCTACCTCTGCGATCGTCGTCGACGTCGATACGTCACGTCTCGCACGAAGCGGACGAAATAGATCGGCCAGGCTCTCGCCTTCGAGTGTCGGTGAATGTCGAGCATGAAAACAACAAAAGGCGCCGCTCGCAAATGTTGTCGCGCGATTAACCACGTTACGAAGATTGCAAATCCGAATTTCAATGACCGTTAAATGGGGACACTGGCGAGAAAAGACGGATCAGCCTTGGCATAATTCGATCGTTGACATTGCGCGCGCTCTGGAAATCTAGCCGCGAACGCATTAGTGACGCTCATAATAAAGTCAAAGATAGTACGATCCTCAACTTTGCCCTCTTTAATTACCCACGATAACGAACCGATTGATTCTTTCTTCTCTCTTTCCGCTGGCCGGTGAAGTGAATCTAACAGTTTCGTGAAAATACTTTCGTTTAATCGATCGTGTGAGACCGATCAAGATGATTTGACAAAATTGTCGAGTAAGTGCCAAAGAAGTCATTGAAATATCAATCATGCGCCTTCCCTCAGCGAACGCGCTATTTTACAATTAACCATGAATCTTTAAGCGCCATGGAAAGAACGTACAGAAAGCGATGAAGTTGATAAGCAATAGTCGTAAAACAATAATGTATAATTGCAAACGATAACGTCACGCGTGATCTATATGTATGCGTTGTTCATCAAACAAGCCACGTGTCGATTATGAGATTACGCAATTTCATCGTGCGTATTAATAAGTTCGAGTTTCGAGTGACCATGCGAATAATAATGCGCATAACTCGTGTTAAAATAGGTTAATTGATAAAAAAGAGATTAATATATATAATACTGGTGCAATACTGCTCCATGGCGGGAGCGTCACCACTTGGAAATGTGCTGGGTGACGCAATAACGTTAAGTTGTCAATAATGAGTTTCTCTTTTTCAGCAAGGCTGACACACGCGAATAACTTAAAAAAAATTTTTTTTCGTTACGAAAGAGTCTCGCAAGAGAGCGCGAACTAATAAGACGAATTGATCATAAGTCTACTTGGAAGCGCATAAAACCCAAGCGACGGTCCCGAATGAAAGACACAGTCTCGAGAAATGTTTCCACGTGCGTAGCAAACAACACGACATTTGATTGTGTGTCTTCGATTTGAGATTGAACATATCGTGAGATAACGCTCGAGTGTTAGTCTCGAACGAATGAAGCTTCTCTTAATACAATTAACTACGCAAATAATTACATAAAATCCGCTCGAGACGATCTATGATTCTCGGATTTTGTTTTTTGTGCTCTTGTGTACCGTGCGATAAGAAAGAATGTTGAACATTTAGAGATACGATACGTACATAATTTTAGAAATATATGTATGTCATATTTTGATAAAAGTACGTGAGCGATTCTACAAGCGCGAGTAATCGCTCTTCGCGCGATTCTGTTTATCTTGCAAACTGCAGGTCTCTCGTTTCATTTCGAATCCTGTTTTTCTTCCGTGCAAAATGATAGATCGTCTCAAGTGGATCTACTTGTGAGAAACAATGACAATGAAGAAACGAGACAATGAAGAGTGATTTCGCGTACAAGGTGAAGTGCGGTTCGCGCATTGAAATGACATCTCGGTGATGTTGTTTTATGGAGACGCTGACAAGCGACGGGACGAGACGGCACGCGCTATTAGTGTCGTATGGTGTTATTTAGTGTGCGATATTTCACTCACGGTTTCGCAGATATTCATATTGCAGCAATTCTCTATGGTAATTTCGCACTGATTGTCCGGTATCTGCGGTCGGGACGTGAGCGGCGTCACGCCCACGAAGCGCCTCTTTACGCGCGGTTTCCTCCGTAATATGCCCGCATAGCAGGTGACTCCACCAAAAAATAAGAGTGCTATAGTGGCGAGGACGAGGAATATCAGCAGCAACTTCCTGTACTCCACGCTGTCGCTGAGCTTAACGATTCTCGCGGCTGTTTGCACGTCGTCTGTGCACCTGTCGATTCGAGATCAATAGATCAGTTAGTTATCGCATATATGCATAAAGTACACTTCAAAGTTTCAAGAAGGCTTGAAACACCCTTCGACGATCCAACGAGGGAATTTATTTCCGGGAAAAATCCCAGAAGTTCTCTCATTGGATATTTGAGGTGTTTCGAAACTCAATGTATGTTACTCTAATGTCGCTCTAATTACGAATAATTCGCCGGGGAATTTGTTTAGAAGCTTAGAGCTTCGGAAATGCTCGAGAAACGCACGGCGAAACTTGATCCTTCGTCGAAGATTTCATGTTTTGGCCGTAAGTATATTTTGAACTTTGTCTGGCAGTTATCTCTCAATCATCCAGCTCGAGATTATTGCGTGTTGTTAGATATTAGGTACGAATTATTGTGGATAACGAATTGTTCGATACTTTGACCGTGAAATCGCGCGTCTGTGGATGTCCTCCGTACCTGCAGGATGTCACGTTGATATTCAACAATTCGGCGCGATCGCTCGCGCAATAGATCGCGCAGATTTCCCCGATGTCCTCGGCTTCTTCGCACCGGGTTCCTGTGGAATATTTACAGCTACAGTGTGGCCTTCCATCTAGGACGGAACATTCACCATCGTGGAGGCAGTATCCGTCGCAGACGTCCCTCTCGCATCGAGCGCCGCTAAATATGCCCGGGCACTCGCACTCGGGAAGCCCGCGATGATTTGTGGTGCATTTACCACGAAGGCAGTAATTGTGACACAGAGAGGTCTCGCAAAGGGTTCCGATGAACCTGCAAGAGTTGTTATTGCGAGTTGTTAATTCCACGGCGACGTTAAGTCGGACATATATTTAACTAATCTGATCGATGCGATCTTGCCTATCGGATTCCTTGCGTGGATCTTATGTCATTTTATAGTGTTATTTATTAGTTTTTATTTATTTATTTATAGAAGTAATTTTTTTGGTACGATATATCAATGACCGGAATAAGAAAAAATAGAAGAAGAAAAAGTATCTTCTGTTAATTTTTACACGATGTTGAAGAATGAAATAACGAGACATACGTAACTGCTGTTCTAAACATTATGCAAGCTTCCTGATTAACTCACCCTGGTTTACATCGACACGTGCCGGCTGTTTTATTCAAATGGCCGTCGTTTAGGCAGTGTATGGAGCTCTCGGTGGTCAATTCCGATTCCTCCGTGCTGGTGGTCAAGTTGTTGAATGTCTCGGCCGTCAGTCGCTGCACGGGCTTTATGACATTTTTTCGTTTCACCGCTGTCAAGATCGCCGCACAGTCTATCTTGCCGACGTTGTCGCGGGTGACGATGCCGGCCGGATTAGTGTCCCTCTTGGACTCGAAGTAGGACTTGAACTTGGTTGGGTAATCGCCTTCCTTGACGTTCTTCGGCATAGTCCAGACTGCACTATATATCCAATCAGACCAGTATATCGAATCGCTGTCTACAGCGAGGTACACCGGCTGCTGATGTTTGTAGTGGACTAACAATTCTCGCTTGCTGCCGTCCAAGTTGCTGCGCTCGATCTTGAAGTGAATCCCTTCATCATCATCAGTCCAGTATAGCTTCTGCTCCGCGTGATCAATTGTCACCGCCAACGGCTCGTACAGGTTCTCGTGGATCACGATTGTTCGGTTGCTACCGTCGAGATTGGAACGCTCAATACTTGGATTAGTTTTGTTGCTGTTCGCCCAGTATATGTGGCTGAAAAAGATCATAGGGTTATCGTCAATTCCTCGATTTCTTCTTTCACAGATATAGCAGAGATTGGAAGAAATGAACGGGGAGAGAGAAAGAGACACAGATATTTATTTTTAACTCGCATCACAATGAAGAAACTTGAGAGATTTGCAAGATAAATTATTCTTGAATGAAACTTCTCCTGTGTTCAATTATCAAGCATATTTTCGTAATCGATCTTGAAGTGAAGAATTTTCTCTTTTAAACAAAATATTCTGTTTTCATAAAGTAAAATGGACGATAAAAACATTCCTACAGAATTTCTCGGTGGTCGTTTTATCTTTATTTAATCTTGTCTGAATTCTCAGTATGCGCTAACGATATAAGAGCGAATGAGCGGCGAGTTGCTGCGACAGCTAATTCACATTGATATATATTCCCGTATAGCTGTTTTTCTTACATTCCAAGTTTAGTTTCATATGTCACATGTAGCCGCCGATATATTAATTTTTTTATTACTCTATCTTATTTATAACGTAACCGCACGATCAAATTGCATTCTGCTAAACCGGCTTAGCAAATACAAGGAAATAAAGAAACACACATGAACGTATCATAAATATACGATTGAGCGAATAGGAAAAAACGACACGCGCCCGCAATTCTGAGATGTTTCCCCACGATTCCTCATAATTCTTAACGATTTCTATTTACATATTTGTCCCTGCATCGTCGTTTCATTTACATCATTTCGCATCATCGTCGATTAAGAATTTCCCAATTATCTCAACAATGTGACCTCTTTTAAGAGGTCATATAAACGGGTAAAAGATGAGAAAAGGAATTTCTTTCTCCTACACCGTCACTCGTCCCCCTCCCTTCTCCTCCCTCCTTCCCCCCTTCTCTCTCCCTGTGACGTAGCAAGTAGGAAATCATAAATGGCACACCTGTTACACACGTCGAGAGCGATGCCACGCGGATTGCGGTTGGTAAGGTTGTGCAGGATGACAGGCTCGCCTGGTTCGCCGTTCATCGACACGTGCATCTTCGCGATGATCTCCCTCAAGGCGTCCACCCAGAATAAAATGCGTGATGACGCGTCGAAGACGATATCTATGACGTGGGTCCCGTTCTCTTCTGCACACACGTCACAACGGTTGCATACGGCGGCGATGGCATATATAAACATCTCTCATAAGAAAATAAAATTTCAAGCTACGCATGCCTATCCATCTCCATGCAGACTTGGTCTGACCGAGCGAGAAGAAGTGCGCAAAGGGAGAAACACGCATGAAACGAAGTTCTATCGCGTATTAAAGTATGAACGATACCTGCGGAGAATCCTCCGGATATAAGTGATTTTTTATCAATGAAACCGGTTTATTAGTTGGATTTAAGCGAGCACGCGTAGGCGATACGTCGATATTGATCTCGAGATTCGGAATATCTTCTTTCTTCTCTTCCATATAATCTCCTTTCCCAAGAAAGGAGTCTCGATGGATGTGTGTACGAGAAAGTTTTGCAAATAAAAGAAATAAAAGAATAAAAGAAATAAAGAAATAAATAGAAATAAAAGAAGCAAATAAAAGAATCGCGCATGATATAAGCAATTTCGCAGCTAATATAACGACATACGTACAAGAAAACTGCGGTTTTTAATTAAGAGTTCCCGATAGCCACACTCTTTTTTCATCCTCTCAAATATCCTCTTTGAACTTTTCTAAAATGCCCGTACGTAGGGGAATGGTGTTATATTGTTGCTAATCAACCATTAGAGGTAAGATTCTGAGTATGTAAACGAAGTATGCAAAGGAGACATTGAAATATGCATAAGTTTGCCTGCTGATGAAATTGCGTATTTCTCTACACATATGGCTGACGTCGCAGATTTTTTGCGATAACCGGGAAATTAATCTACGCAGGCGTGATCATGACACTCACTCTTGAGCAATGGGATCGACGTGAAATTCTTTTTCGTGAGATCGTTGCTGAATATGGAGACGTTGTTCCTTGCGGCGGACAAGAACATCGTTCGAGTGGTGTCGTCGTACGTCACTCCGGTCAGGGTGACGGCTTCTCCGATGTTGGCCTGGCCCGTGAGTGTTTGGTTCCGCGCGAAAAAGTCGATTTCGCTACCGATGACTACAGCCAAGTCTGTAAAAGATAGGACCGCATGATGAGATCGGTTACTCAAATTTTCACGGTCATCCTCGCGAGAGAAAACACACACGCGAGAGGGTATCGTAGAAAGGACACCGGCACTCTAATCTAATCTACGAAATCGTTTCCGAACTTTCATCCGCGATTAATCGGAAAGCGTTATCTTCGTAATCGTAGTTTCCTATTCGCGGCAATTTCGATTACATCATACAGCCACGTGTATGCAAGCGTCCTTAGCTCGAGATTATCATCGAAAGAAAAATATCTTTAATCGCACGGCGCCGTGCCGGCGCGCGGCGGCGGCGGTGGAGAGACTACGGTCGTGCGGAGCGACACTTGAGAGTCCGTCATGCTTTTCCTCGACAATCAGGCATCGATGTACCGTTGACAGAATTGCTGTGGATTAAATTTCCACAAGTGAACTTTTATACTTTACAAAGACACATTTTGCAAATAATGAGTACTTATTTTGAGTTTTACTCGTTTAATCTCGCCCTGAGTTTCATCGACTCCAAAATGGAGAGACAACGATTGCGAAGTCTCGATTGGGATCAAGCTTCAAGAGAGTAAAAGATCGGAAGGAAAAAGAAGGCAAAATTCCAAGAAGATGATTGGCGGAGAAATAAAACGCAAGGAAATAAAGTAAAAAATATGATAAACAAAATGATAATAAACTATAAGCGCCGTTTTCAGTCGCCATGAAAGTTAATGAATGAAAACGAGCGGCGAAAAACGATGGCGGTAATTGGGACAAGTGTCTTCCAAGTGTTCCAGAAGTGTCTTCCGCGTTTCCCATGTGTTTGTTCAGCTCTTGCTGAGGTATCTTAGTCGGCTCGTTTTACTTCAAAACGGAACGCAACCTTGCTGCATTACGAAATACATTTATGTTTTGCCGATCTGCGAACGGGGTTACAACCGATGACGGAACATGCAGTCGCGATCGTTTGACGCACGCATAAGTAACGTGGAAATTTCTCGAGGAAACGTATCAACAAATACTTATATAAGAATTATCGCGCGACCTAGTAAATTGGTGCGCGTAATAAAATCCAGCCTTTAGATTATCCGTTCACTCGTCTTTCTCTCTTTCTTTTTACGTCCCCGAAACGGACCGACCCAGCTGGAGACATGGGAAAGTTCGCAGTTCCTGCTATGCGATCGGTACAAAACGGATCACAAAACGTAAATCGAACATTCTAGTGATCTAGAATTCTCTAGCATCTTAACGATACTCGGAGCGATTTCTTCTTCCCTTCCTTCTTCTCTCCTTCCTTCTTCTCTCTTTCTCTCTCTCTCTCTCTCTCCCTCTCCCTCTCTATCTCTCTCCCTCTATCGCGATCGTCGTTGAATAATTTATTCATTGAGTCACGACTTAGATAGAGAAGTCTGTTCGCGACAATCGAAATAATATCGCGCAAAGACACGTGGGTGCGCGCAATGTTTCGCGAAAGCAAGTCGTTAACGTTGCTCGCGTATACGCGCTCCACAATTAAGATAAGTCGGAGATAATCGTGCGGAATAAGAGAATGCATGTACGCAACGAAGAGAAAAATAAAAACAGGAATAAAAATAAAACAAGCAGCTACATTGATAAAAAATGCAGAAAGAAACGATCGATCTCGATTACTTAGGCGCATGAAAAAATGTTGCACGACTGATATAATATAACGTCGTCGGTTATTATTGTTGAGTCGTGCATCGACAGCCAAACAGATCAGTTTTTCTTTCCGTTTCTGACATGTGCGTTATTATGCATTATGAAACATTGTCAACATCAATCCTTGCAATTGCAACTATGGGCAACTTCCTTCGCGCACTGTATCGTTTATTCAATCAGTACTCTTTGAAGAGATCTCGCAGATTACCTAGTCGGTGTAAATACTATTAGCGGAGCTCACGTTGCTCAGGAATGAGTTAGCGGCACGAGAAGAAGCGTCGAGGTCACGTTGTCGGATTATCGCATCTTCGTCATCGCTGAGGAATCACGAGCGCAGTGTCGCCCGATTTTTTTCGGGAGTTATCGCTCCCTAATTATTGCCCAACGATGTGATTCATCATACCCGTGTCCGAGACGTGTTTCCCAGCTGCGCCAGGAACTTATCGCACAGTTTTGTACAGCTCGCAAAGTGCAATCGCGGGTACAAGCGAGCGCTTTTGGAAACGTAAATTGCAACGGTAAAAAAGCAAATTTATGGAAGGAAAGCAAGCTCGCTCGCTTGCTCGCTCGCTCGCCTTCGCGCTGCGCTAGCGATTCTCTTATTCATTTATATACGCCGACCTTTCCACCTGATGTGTCGTCGCATGTGATTCTTCATCGTCCGCGCGTGATTATTCGGATGCATTAAGAGTCTTGATTGCTGTGACTCATAAAATTCTGTGCCTGGTCGTTTCTTTTCGAAATAGCGCGACCATGATTATTAATATCTAATTACCGGTTATATAATTTATAATTACTCTCTCTCTCTCTCTTCTTACTTTTTTTTTTTTACGATATCTAAGTCATCATCAATGGGACATCAATATTATATTAAATCTTTTCATCATCATGTATGTGTTATATTTCTTCACGGCACTGTTTAATTGCTTCTTGCCTCCACTCCGTCCCTCCACGTTCTCCTCTCGCTCTCCTCGGCGAATGAAAACATGCGTAGCAATAAAAATAACCGTATTAACTTCCTTTTACTTGCTCTAACCGTATTCATCATGTTGACATTCATGAGACAGCCTTAGACAGCCTTATTGTTTTCCCGTTTGTAACTTTTTTTCGACGTTCATCGCGACACGAAGTATCGTGTAACGACCATCCGATGAGAATTTCCAGATTGTGTAATGCGATCGCACGCGCGCGTGCGTCTCTCTCTAGAGCACACACAGTTCTTCCCTCTGGATTATATAATATTATTATTTATATTATAGCGGACATATATGCAACACACACACACACACACACATACACACACGCTGCTTTGATCTTTGACTACTCGGCTTTTCCGTAGGCGAGAAACGAAGGCGATGACACTCGGACTCTGCGCGTCGCGATCGCTCTCCCGTTATTCGGCTCGCGCGATTAATAACGCGCGATCAGGCGAATTCGCCCGATTTTCTTCAGCGTTTTTCTCCTCTCGATCGATCTCTCCTGTCCGTACCGTCCGCCCGCGCGCGCGCGCTCCATTGTCTGTGTCAGAAATAAATCGGACGGATCAAAAACGGCCTCAAGATACGGCCTCGCGCTGCTTCCTGCTGCAACTATCGCCAAATGAGCCTAAAGCGATAAGGTTACGCGTAATCGGCGAAAAAGCGCGCGACCTTAAACGTGACCGCCAAAAGGCCGTCTGCGGCTGCGAATTTCGGCGGCCTCCGACGTCGATGCGGAAATGTATCCGTTTCGACCGTCGATTTCGCGAGCCTCGTGATCTGCTCGCTCTCGTTTCCCACTGATGTGTGTGTGTGTATGCGCGCACAGCCTCTGTGTGTGCATATGGTCTTTCTCTCTCCCACACACATAACACACGCACGCACGTAGACGAGAGAACGGGCCGATCGTCAGGTCGCCTAGGGCCGCTTGACATTCGTTACGTAAACAGGTGTAAGGACGAGCAACGGCAGCCCGCGACAATGGGACGCGATCGGTGATATCGGTAGGCGCAAGTGCGAGCCGGTCGTCGCGATTTTTCATTCAGCTTTTGACTTTGCCGTTTCAGAGCGGCGCGCGAAAAAGCAGTACGCGAAAAGTGGCGTACGTGACGAGCGGCCGCGGGTGAATGGAGTCGGCGCTGGCGCACCTACACGCGCGTGTCCGCGCACACCGACGGGCGCACAGACACAACTCGGTATAGCGCGGCGTGCTTGTGTGCGTGCCGACATCCGACCCCGCGTAAGCAGCGCGAATCCCGGTATAATCGGCCGCCGGGCCCGACGCGACGTGTCAGAGAAAACGTCCGCCAAGTCGATCCTCCTCGCCGCAATTGGCGATTCATTCATTAATAACTCACCCCAGGATCTGGCGTACGTCGGGACCACGAGGGTGCACAGCAGAAGAAGGCAGCTCGGCAGAGGCGCCCGTCGCGTCTTATTAGAGATCATGACTGACGATCATCTGATAATCGCGCGTACGAGTCGAGGAGAGATGTAGAATGCGGCGACGGCTGATTTGATAGCGCGATGGACTATGGGGATACTTTTTCTCTCTCTCTCTCGCCTTCAGGACGCGATCAAACTAAACCTCAACACATCCTCTCGTCGCAGCGGCCGTGCGCGAACTGAAGTCGCGCGCGCGCCGCGCTCGCCGACGACGTGCCGTGGCGCCTCAGTGGCGTAGGCGTTGGTGGGCGGACTGCGATGATGCGTTAGCCGGCGCGCGCAAGCTGATTCTAACATTTCGGATCTGTACGATTGTCTCAAGCTCGGTGCCGTTTCTATTTCCGAGCGATGAAAAACAGCGCCTCGCTTTGAGCTGCACAACGTATTCCTTGCGATTGAGTCGTGTTCGTTTTCATATCTTTTCGTTTTGTATCGAAAGAAAGAAAGGAAGATTTATGTTTTGACCTTGTGAAGTTTTTCGCCTCTCATTCCGATCCGCTCACTCCCGTCAGGCCGGATCGTACAGTCGAGCTGTAGAAAAGAGCGCGACTTATAATTGCATTAATTTAGCCGCGTCGCACTTCGAATCGGACGAATTGTTCGCGATGGATCGTAAGGTCACTCTGTTTATTTGCCGTAAGGTCATGCGCTTTAATCGCTAATTGCTGAGCCAACGCGCAATTTATTCGACTTAATTAAATGCATTCGCACGCCTTATATGCATATCAATGCCAACGCGCTCTATCGTTTCTCGTACATACAATAAATTGATCGTATTAGGGACGCGATTATCTTCCTGTTGTGCGAAACAACACGTTTCATAGATTTTCAAATAGGCGAGCATATGGCAACGCGAATATACGAACACGCGATGATGCACCTTTTCAGCACGTGATTCGCGCTGAACTGAAATGAATGAAGACGTCACTTGTTGCATATTTACTGTCTTGACTTTTTATCACTTGACATTTTTATCACCAGGCCTGTCTAATTCCTAACGCTTTATGCGTCAGCAGATTTCGAGAACTGTCTCGAGATTACAACGCGCGATCGGTCGGCTACGCCAATGCGTGGGTGATATGGAATCGCGTGTCCTCTCTCGCGGCTCGTGGCCGACACGCGCCAATTTTCTTTCTCGCTCGTCCATTTAAACGTCCCGAGTCCTCACTCCTCGACCCTTCCCATTATTCAAGAGCGTAGTGCGAATGTATAAGCTTCATCGCGGATCTTGTCATCACGATCGAATCTGTGTGTTCTGCACGCGTTCGTTTCTTTCCGCTGAGGTTTTGGGAGACGAGCCATCGAGAAGATGAGGGAAAGAACTCTCAACCGTGCGAGAATCGAGGAAGATGACTCTTTTTTGACTGATTCTGTCTGCGGCAGCTTTTTGAGCGTAAGGAGACAAACGGTTTGCTTTTTTATATTTAAGTGATCCTAGAAGTATCCTTGTGTGATGCGAATAATCCAATCGAGAAGAGCGTGGAAAAAAAGAGTAAATTTTTACATTTTGACATTTACGCGAACAATAAAAGCTGTAACCTCGTCGACTAATGAAAGATTATATCAAGTTGTATAAATTTATACTTGAAGATTACTGTTTCAAAAATAACGATACTTCGCGTTCGTTGTTATCTGGATTTGCATTTGCGGTATTACAAATTGTTTTGTTATCTCTCGCAAGAATTTCTAATCGCGATTTATCATAGGAAGCTTGAAATTGCCTGCTGCAAGCTATTACGAAATGCATTGTTAAAATCTACCACTGATAAGCGAGTCTGCTGTATCTTCGTTGGAGTACACTGTACTATCGACGCATGGTTAGCCTCTTTCCGCCTCGTTGCTTTTTGAGGAAATTTGCGTTAGAATGACACGTTGCAAAAGTCGTCAGATTTCATCAATCGGATATTTATAAAAAAAGTAGAAGCATAAAAATTATGTCAAGGAGTTGAAAGAAGTTCGAAAGAAATCAGAGTTTTCGCGCTTTTATAACTTTCCTCGGGGAAAAAATTTAGTTTCGATACTTCTCATCTTATTTTCAAACTAATATAATTTTACAACTTTATTAAGTGAATCAATTTGGATTTAAGTCTGCGATATCTAAGCGTATTTCGGTCGTACTTTTTATCATGAAATGCGTTGCTTTCGTTTTTTGAGGAAGTTGTATATTAGAGAGAAAATCTTACTCGCAAGGCGAGCATAATGTAATTATAAAAACAAAATCAAGTGATCAATAATCGAACATATTAAAAGCAAATATGTCGTATATGCTTGCAAATGGTGTTTAAACCAAGGGAAAGTCGACGAGGCGAAAGCCAGCGGGAAAACTGACTAGTTGGAGGGACGATCTTCAGAAACGCATGTAACGTGCTGACATGTAAACACGCGTCAAAATAATATCGTGCAAGGCGTAAAGATCATTGAACGAGAAAACAAAAGGCTAACGGAGAGTGCGAGGGCGAAGGGAAAATCACTGATGTCTTGAAATAAAATACCTCATCAAATCGAACCAACGAAATTTTATACTCCTGCGACAGTGTCGTACAACGAGTTCACGTCGCCCAGGAGTAACGCTCGCGACGCCTTTCAACAACTCCGTCTTCGTCTTTTATCGATTCGCAGTTAAAACTAATCACATTCTCCTTTGTTCGTAGAAATAACAAGAGAAGCCAGAGTTGAGCAAAAATTTAAATAAAATAAAAAATGCAACAAAAGTGACATAACTTCGAGTGTGATTGAAATCAATGTCGCGTAGCAAATTTCCCTCTTCCCCACCATTTTTACTCCCCGACAGCAATGTCGCTGTCTAAGGGGAACGAGTAAGAGAGCCGTACGACCCGAAATTTAAGTCGAGGAACCCAACGTCCGAGAAAAGCGAAGAAGTGGGCGAATTTCTTCGTGAGAATCCGCTGCGCGAAGACGGCGCGACTCGGCACGCGGTCGGTATCGCCGTAAACGTCATCGTGTACTGAATCGTGATCGGGGCTGAACGAAGCGACGTCGCTCGCGGGAAAACACTCGCGGGAAAGCGCACGCGACGGGAAAGCGGGCGGGAGGCCGGGAACGACGACGTCGAATACTAGGCAGGTAGGCAGGTACGCAGGCAGAGACAGGCAAGCAGGCAGGCAGGCAGGCAGGCAGGCGGCGGCGGCGGCGGCGGCGTATATTATTGATCAATAAGAGTGAGCGGCTAGCATGGGCGACCCGTGCCGGCGGCACGGCGGAGGCAGCTGTCACTTCCTCCGCGTTTTTACGTTGCGCGCGGATACACGCGCTCGCCGCCGCGCGCGGAACCGTCCCGGTGGCAGCGGCGCGCGTACGTCCTCGTGATCCTGTTGAAGGTGAGAGAAAGAAAGAGGAAGAGAGAGAACTGTGTTCAGCGGAGAAACCACGCGTCAAGACAGGGAGAAAGGGAGAGAGGGAGAGAGGGAGAGAGAGAGAGAGAGAGAGAGAGAGAGAGAGAGAGAGAGAGAGAGAGAGAGAGAGAAAGAGAGAGAAGAGGAAAAGTGCGGGTGTTCCGCGAGAGTGTGTAACGCGACTCGCATGTTAACGAGAGCACGCATCCGCGTACATACGCGTTATACGCGCCGCTAGTCTCGCGCTTACGTCGACTCGTGAAAATACGTATGCGCTCTGGAGGGTGTGAGACACACACCGGCGGGGTGCTCGACAGTGCGCGAGGGGTAGTGGAAGAACAAAGTGAGACAGACAGAGAGTGAACGCGAGAGAAAGAGAGAAGGGGTTAAGGATTTTAAGGGCGCGCGGGGTGAAGAGAGGAAGGAAGAAGGAGAGAGAGTGAGAGAGCGAGAGAGAAGGAAAGAGAGAGAGAGAGAGGGAGAGAGAGAGAGAGAGAGAGAGAGAGAGAGAAAAAGACTGACGTGCTACAACATGCATCCGTGCTGAGGATCGTATCCCCGACTGTGCGACGTTCGAGGGTGCGCCTTGAAGGGTAGACTGGTCGTGGGGGAGGGCGAGCAAGAGAGTGAGAGAAAGAGAGAGAGAGAGAGGGAGAGGGAGAGAGGGAGAGAGGGAGAGAGAGAGAGAGAGAGAGAGAAAGAGAGAGAGAGAGAGAGAGAGAGAGAGAGAGAGAGAGAGAGAGAGAGAGAGAGAGAGAGAGAGAGAGAGAGAGAGAGAGAGAGAGAGGGACAAGAGAGAGAAAAAGAGAGTGAGAAAAATTTCGTCGTCTCCCGTGTGTTCGGGGTTTTCCCTGGTCATCGCCGTCGCCGTCGCCGTCGCCGTCGCCGCCGTCGCCGTCGCCGTCGCCGTCATCACCGTCGCCGTCGTCGCCGCCGTCGTCGCCGCCGTCGTCGCCGCCGTCGTCGTCGTGTACGCGGGACCACCGATGCAGACCCTACGGAAGAAAAACAGTCCGTGCAAGTGTGAGTAGCGATTTCGCCCCTGGTTAACTCGGCGGTGCTAGTGATGCTGGTGTTGACGGTAGCAGCGATCCGCTTTAACGTGGACGTCGATTCCCCGCGATATAAATTCGTCGCGATTACACGGCCGGGGTTCACGCATTTTCCGCTCGGGATGACGTGTATGACGTTGGGGTTGGAAGTTGCTGTTCTGATGCCACCCTATAGATCGCTTAGGGGTGCTTCTCACGTAATATGGCTTCCTCGCGACCTCACGACGCGCGGATATGTTGATTCCTTGTTTCTAATTTTTCCTTTCGCATGCTCGCCACCAGTTTGCGTCCTACGATTATCAGCGGATCTTGAATGAGTGCATATTGCGCGATGTTCCTGGGGAAGAGTTTTGTTTAAATAGACGAATTCGCTCTCAAGAATATACACGCTCGCTGCAGTTGCCTGTCGCACGTGTTATCGGCCGAGGGCCGCGCGATTGATGTGAACGGGTTGCGATGTTAGATGTCGCTAGCTGTACCGTACGCGTGCTTGGTTAGGGATTACTACTGAATCTTGCGCGGCCCGCGTAGAAGCGCGTTTATCTCCTTATTCGATTAAACATTAATTGACTTAATGGGGCGTAATAGAACGGGGAGAGGCCGAAGGGAGGCCTCGTGTTCCGCGCGCGCGAAAATAAATTGAGCACGCTCCTTCAATTTGACTTGTAGTGGAAATGCTAGAAAATAGACACGTTGCACATATCGGCCGATGCGGTTTAATTATGTATGTTTCAAGCGGAACATTCGTTGGTATAGGTTTTAGATACGTGACTGAGAGAAATTTACATTAATTTACATTAAATCGCAAAAGCGATTAGACCGATTAGAGCAAGCGCTGAACGATAGAGCGGCGGAGCACGGGAATGGAAGTTGCACTCATTCAAATACGTAAATGTATGTTTTTGCCGATAAATTCTTGACGAGTCACGTCAGCCGACAGTGACACGTCGCTTTTCTATATTTATTCCACGCCTGCAGCCAATCCTCGTTGTTATGTAAATATCAATTATTTGCAAAACCGCGAACCTCGCGTTATATATACGCTCCACACCAGATGTCCGAAAATAAACGGGTCAAGTTTAAATAAAAGGGAGAAAGGGAGCAGAGAGCGACATATAATCAGCGAGAAATTAATCTTTTTAGCGAAAATATCGAGGGAGGTCGTTCGCGTGATACCTCAGGAGATTCTATCGCGAGGATTCGATCGTGCTTTCCCAGTCTAACTTTTCGCTGATAAATTAATATAATTGGCCGGTGGAATTACGCGCTACCAATATTCTTTCCTTCTTTATAATAATTGTATTGCACTCACGATCATTCATGCGCGCGTGCGACGGCGTGCTCAGAAGTGAAGAAGTCATTGCGCGATGATATACGCTACGTCCCATCGCTCTGGATCCCTTCATTGTTATCGCGCGCCTCATCTCGCGCCGCAATAATAATTGTTATGGGGGTGGAGGGCAGGGCGCATCTGGCGCGCATCGCGGAGAGCAAGGAAGGTGGCCGCGGAAGGAGCAGGCTCGATGGCAGGTTCAATTGGTACCGGACGTGTACCTTCGAGTGCAACGACAGTTGGCGTTCTCCACTCGAAAGCCCGTGAAGTGCCTTCTCGAACAAACGCGCTTTAGTTATTAGAATCGCGAGCGGGATCGTCGCGCGAGATGCCTGCTGAGAAGGAGAAAAAAGAGAGAGAGAGAGAGAAGCGCGATAAAACGCCGCGGCGCCGTCTCTCTCTCTCTCTCTCTCTCTCTTCCCTTCGCCTTTTCTTCACGCGTCATTTAGCTTCCGTCGACGACGAAGACTCACCCTCACATCCCCCCCCCCCCCCCCGAGCGGTATTCTCGTGCGCGCGCGACATCGCAAATGTAATTAACACCGCGGATTACGCGGTCGTAGTAAACAGTCGGCGGCGTCGACAGGCTCTATCGCTGGAGTTCTGTCGAGTAATTATGTTAATTGGCCGTACTTTCGTTATAACTTGTACCAATTATCTCCGCGGGAACCGTAGCGCGGAATCACAACGAGGGGCGCGACTCGTTCGCTTGCTCGTTCGTTCGTTCGTTCGTTCGTTCGTTCGTCGTGTCGCATCGCGTCGCGTTGCCTCAAATATTTGTTCATCTCAGTGCGGTGTCATATTAATATAATCCGCTTGCCAAATATTACCGAACGCGTCGACGTTGAGCGACAATATTGGCACTTCCGTTTTCCGGACGGACGTCACCGCGTGCAGACGCAGAGGTATTATTATCGTAGCTCAGCGACCGTATTTATCGTGTTTCATTCCGAACGATTAATTTGGACGCTGGTCTCCGCCGACGGCGGATCGTTTCGCGAGAAACACTCGAGCATGCTTCTCTCATTTTATAGTCCCGCCGGTCAAATTGGTCGCGCGACCGATCGATACCGGTTTAATGCGCTCAGACCTATCGCTCTCTCTCTCTCTCTCTCTCTTCGGACCCCCCTGCGGCTTCAAACACGATAATTCGATCCATTGGCCGAGTCTCCTTCACGAGCGCGGGGCCCACACGTCGTGACGCGTTACAATGAACGCTCCACCGCTGTGCCGAGTCTCGTATTTTCGCGTTACTTCCGCAACGGTTCATCGCTGTTCAGTGGATGAAGAACGACTCTAAGCTCGTTGGCACCCCCGACGAAGCCTGATCCGACTGAAGACTAAAGTTGTTATTAGCATTGTTGACAACCTAACAACTGCAGTCGATGAGTAAACTCTCGACTCGGACTATGCTCTCTCGGAAATTTTAGTAAAACTAATCATACTTTCTTCAAGGGGTTGTTTTCGACTTTAGAAGCGAAATTTAGAAAACAGACATGTCGTTGTATTTCTGCGCAAAGCTTCACATTTCTTAAGATTATGTGGCGGGCTGTTTAGAATGTTTCTCGCACGATTATTCAGCGGATAATGAAAGAATGATCGTGTCATAGTCTGGAATTGGTTCGGCTCACTTTCCTCATTCGTTGACGGAAATTATTATAATAAACTCGGTCGACCGAAACAACACGCCCGCCGACGAAATCATTAACGAGGTCTCTCTTTCAGTCAAGAATGACCCAACCCGCTTCCTTGGGGAGGGCGTGTCATTCAAGGCGAAGCTGATCGGTATCTTGGAGGTGTCGGAAGCACGCGGCGACCGGATGTGCCAGGCGGCCTTGGCTGACCTGAAGATGGCGATTCGCGCCGCGGGGGAGCACAAGCAACGAATCGCCGTTCAGGTCAGCATAGACGGGCTTCGTTTGAGGGACGAGAAGACGGGGGTGAGTTCTCAGTATCGTATTTTTACACGTACCTTAAAATTGATTCGTACCTCTAAGAATAAAGGTTTCCTTCGATCGCGAACGCGCTTCTCGCGACGGCAGAATGCTGTTTGGAAAAATTGTCAAAATGTGCAAAATCAACGGTGGAGAATCTCCGACGTAGACTTTCACAGACGAAACGTGTAACGTTCACGCGGCACGTAAAGAAGCTAGTCGGATCGATTATTGTGATGTAATTCACAACTATATATATCTTTATCGATCCCTCGCAGGATTGCCTGTACCATCACCCGGTGCACAAAATATCCTTCATAGCTCAGGATATGAGCGACTCGAGAGCCTTCGGCTACATTTTCGGCTCCCCGGACACCGGCCACCGGTTCTTCGGCATTAAGACTGACAAGGCAGCGAGTCAGGTGAGTCTCGTCCCATCGTCGCTCCGAAATAAACTCGTCTTTCGCGTTTCTGTTTAATACGCGGATTACGGCGCAATCCTCGTTCGATCATCACACCTCCACACGCACGTGCGTGTCGCTTTTAAAGCCCCGCCGTATATCGCTCTCGGCGAACGCACGAAAATCTAATCGAGGCGCGAGCTGCAAGACTAGGGGGCGGGCAGCTATCGAATTGATTTCGCAGCTCGAGAGCGCGTTATCGGGGGCACGCACGAGCGATTACAATTTCGCGATAGTGCGCGTTCCTACGTCTGCGAGCGCGGTTAAAGTGTGTCAATTATCGGGGACGGGCTTGTGCCATGACAGGATAGCTAGAGAGAAAGAGAGAGAGAGAGAGAGAGAGAGAGGGGGGGGGGGAGGGACAGAGAAAGAGAAAGAGGGTACAGAGTTAGAGGGAGTCTAGAATGATATTTGCCCAATCCGAGAAGCAATATCGACCCTGGCGACCGTAATCCCGGACGCGTATGTAAATAATTGCATTACATCGTTCGGCTCGCCGAACGGCGACGATTCTGATGCGCGCCCCTCGCCCTCTTGCCCCGTCTCGCCGCGGGAGATTGTTGCCGGATTGTTCACGGTTCGCTTCGCGCGCCCGTTCAAAGGGATCGGGGCTCGGCAACTTCTTGATATTCAAATCCGCCGGTATCCCACTTTTGTGCTCGAACACCGCGGCGTTTTGGTCGCGTCGAGTGGCCGCTCGCGTATCCCTTTGATACCGCGTGCCTCCTCCTCACGTGTCGGCGAGGAGGGCGAAGGTCGCCCGCACGAGATTAGAACGCGCGGAATGTCTTCGCTCTCGTGAGACAGTGATACGGTAAATGCTAAATTTAGAGCGGTTATTGAGCATCAATTCCGCGAATAAATCTGTCTTCAGCGAGCGAAGGGGTGACTGTGCGAGGGGACGGTAATACGTTTGTTAAAATTGACTGCACGATATCTCCCCGACTGAATTTCACTGGAAGAAGTAGTACAGATAAGTTTTTCTTTCTCCTCTTTTTCCTCTATTTCTTTCTTTTCAACGGACTCGGCCCACGTCTGTCCTGATTTACCTTGTCGGGTAGTAGATCCGCGAGTTCAGCAGGGTGGTGTAATTCGCACGGTATAATGTATTAGCGCGTTCGCGCGGGCAACTCTCAGCGAGACGCAAAGCTGAGGCGCGACGCGACGAACAGAAGGGAAGTTTACGACGGCTAATTGGCCGCGATTAAATCGCGGAATATGTTTAACTGCGTTACGCAAAAGAGAAAGGGAGAGAGAGAGTGAGAGAGAGAGAGAGAGAGAGAGAGAGAGAGAGAGAGAGAGAGAGAGAGAGAGAGAGAGAGAGAGAGAGAGAGAGAGAGAGAGAGAGAGAGAGAGAGAGAGAGAGAGAGAGAGAGAGAGCGGGAGGAGAGAGAAAGAGAGGCGTGTTAGACTTTCGCTCTCGATCAGGCACAATTGTCGGGCCCTCAACTCGCAACTCAATAGCGGCGATTATCGCGCGAGAATGAAATCAGTCGGGTAGCTCGCGCGACAGGTGGCAAATTAATTCAACAACCTTACGCCTTCATTCAATTTCCAAGTTTAATTTCTGCGCTCGGCTCCTGTAAACGACTCGATAATCCTCCTCGCCCGTATATACAGCGGTCGCGTTTGACGCGCTGCTGGAGCTTTTAACCGGCACGGAATCGCGGCAAACAGAGGGGTTGCTCGTCGTTGGCGGGGGGGGGGGGCGGCGAGAGTGAGAAAGCAGGACGAACGGAGTAGGAACAGGCTTTCGGAAATTACCGCTATCGGGCGTGGCCGGTGTTCCTGATTTTTTTTCTCCTTTCCGAAGGAAGGAAAAGATGCTGATGCGAAATTTTCGAGAAAATCTGAGAGACTCCGAAGAGATCGAAAAAAAAAAAAAGATATACGTCCGGAAAAGCTTATTAATTAACGGGAATAAATTGTTTCAGATATGAGAAATTACCGCTATCGGGCGTGGCCGGTGTTCCTGATCTTTTTCTCCTTTCCGAAGGAAAAGATACTGATGCGAAATTCTCGAGAAAATCTGACAGACTCCAAAGAGATTGAAAAAAAAAAACATACGTCCGGAAAAGCTTATTAATTAACGGGAATAAATTGTTTCGGATATGAGATGACGAGTTTTCGCTTGGACACACCGCAGAAGTAACGAGGGGGAAATTTGCCCGACAGGTGGTGATAGCGATGCGAGACTTGTTTCAAGTAGTGTTCGAGCTGAAGAAGAAGGAGATCGAGATGGCGAAGCAGCACATAGAGCAGAATGCCATTAACGCGATTAAATTCCACACCGGCGGTATTTTCGTTGAACCGGCGCCCGACACCAAGGTAAGCTCGGTCTCTCGGAATAATTGCCATGGTCGAGATATTTGCCGACTAAACTGTCCTCAGGCTCAGGGTCTGCCTGTTCGTGTTTCTTATTCGCTTCTACGTTCCACCTGTCGCACGACCCAAGTATCATTGTCCATCGACATTGTTCATTTCCATAAAAACCACCGGTTAACTTTAATCGATCCCGCGTTTCTTCCTACAGGCAGAACTAGAGAGAGGCGAAAGATAGAGAGACGGAGAGGGTAAAAGAGAGGTTTCATTGAGCCTGAATTTGAACCAATCTTGGTTCTACCTTAAGAGGAAGCGCTGGAGACTCGGAGTTAAGCGTCAAAAAAAGACAAAAAAAAAAAGAGAAAAAAAAGAACGAAAGGAGAAACTCCAACCGGTTAAAGTTAACCCCAACCGATGTTTGCGCAAACGACTTCCAACAGAAGTCCGGTTAACGCTAATCGCATTTGATCGTGACTGTCGCTGTTTGTTGCGGCTCGATCTTGACGGATGAACAGTGAATCGGTTAAATTACGGTACGACGAGACGAGTCGTGTAATATTCCGCGACACGCAGAATGTAAACTGTTAAATGCCAGACGCGTTTTGTAACGCGATTTGTCGCAGGGCGCAGCGGGCACGGAGTCCTCGTTTCATCGAATTCGTACGAACAACTGCGAGATCGAGAAGTCCGCCGATCGCAAAAACGAGTCGCAAAGCGGCGTGATTGCGGATTTGCTGGATCTGCAGTTCGAACTGAACTCGCTGCAGCAGGGCATCCATCAGATGGACAAAATTACGCCGGAAAATCCTGTGCCGTCTACCGACGATCTGTTCGAGACCGATCCTTTCGGTGATTCATTCGCGAACATGAAGGTATTGCGACACGCAAACGTCTTCTTCATCTAACACGCAACTAGATCAGATTGTGGTCTTACTATCGATAGCGAAGAGAATCATTCCTTTCTTTGTTCCCATCGTATATTACATGAGGAGCTAGCTTCGAAAACGAGCGAGTCCGTTTACTCTCGGATCTCTCGGAGAGAGATTGCGAAATTTTTGTTGGGGGGTGCATGACGAACGAGTAAGAAAGAAAAGGTTGTCGAAAAATTTCTTTCGCAAAAATCGACTCGATCGTCTGTGAAACTAGACGCCTCATGTGCGTCACGTTTTAGCCGCGTGTTGCTCCGCACCTGTTACAGCTTCAAGAGACAGTTCGCCCGATCTTGCCTCCGCCACCCTTTTCGGCGAAGAGAGGACACCTGGAGCGGCAACACACCGTGCCGGCACCGCCGACCTCGGCTACCTCCAGCCCGGCGACAACGTTAGTTAGCAAAACGCCACCGCCGCAGAGCACGATTCACTGGTTTGACAAAGAGACCGAGAATCTCTTCAACGACAATGAGCTCGCAGGTTTGGCTAAGAATTCGACGACGCCGAAGAAGGACCAGGAGGACGTAAGTGTCAGTTCGCTGGTCGGAAAAGCTGTATTTAAAAACTGACTCGTTCGCGTTATCAGTAATTTTGTCTCGCTAAGTTTTAAGGATTCTTTCTAACGAGCCGCTGAATTTTGCATGCGTTAAATAACGATTATACTCATTAATGTCACTCGACAAAATACAATCGCGTTACTAGCCCTGTTATTAAAAAAACGAAATTCTTCTCGCGTTACAGAGTTCGGTGGAGATCACGCCGCGCAACAATCAGACGAAGAGCCCGCAGATCGACGTGTTCACGGAGCTGGATCCCCTCGGGACTGGCTTGATCAGGCCCTACGTGGACAAGAAGGATTTCTTCCAGAACCTGAAGAACCCACCGAAGAAGGTCCTCAAGGACCTGGTGTCCACGAGCTCTAGTGACAGCTTTCCGACGAACTTCAACATCACCACCACAAGCAGCTCATTGGACTCGACGAAGGCTCAGAGCGAGGTGAGCACGAGGGACAGTGAGGAGAGTAACTTTGCCAACTTCGACCGATTCGACGAGAATGAGTCGACCCAGGCCACGTCGGACAAGAACAGGATCGAGTCGCCGCCGAAAAAAGAGATTGCCGCAAGGTCGGCGCACCATCAGCCACTCTCGGTGTCGCTTCCGCCGGAGGAGACGCCGTTACCCAAAAGCACTGGCACCGTCAGTAGTAGCGCCACCGTTATGCCAACGAACACTCCCGCGGGAAGCTCGATTCTACGAAACACCGATAAGGAGTCGACGGAATCAACGCACGCGTTAGTGAAACTGCCCAGCCCGAAGAAGTACCTTCAGTCCGTGCGGAAACGAGACTTCGATATCGACCTGCCAGCCGGTAAGACACAATCAATGGACAGCAAGCCATTCCCGGTGGACTTTTCGACGACGAACGAGTCGCCGGCGTCGCCACTGAGATCTTGCTCGTCGGACGCGAACTCGCGACTCTCCAGTTCGAGCGTGGAGCTGGATCTGGCGCCGGAACCGCCACCCAGAGACACCAGCGGTATCTTGATCAATCCGCCGCCTTTGCCGCCGAAGAAGCAAGGTGCCAGAGTAGGAATGAGACCACCGCCAAGACCTCCGCACGGAGGTGGACACTTTCACTACGACTTCCCGGAGCGTGAGGCCTCACCGTCGCCCACGAGAATCGTCAGCGACAGGAGCATGAGCCCGCCGAAGGACATGAAGAGCCAATTTGACGACAACTTCAACCCGCCCACGCAGATGCCCACTCGATCGGACTTTATCGATACGATGACCACCTCGGCCTTCGAGGACTCCTTCAGCACGATGATACCGACCACGTCGTTGTCTTCGCTCTTCACCAGCACTACAGTGCAGGCGGAATCGAAGAGGACCAAGCCGTCGCTCGACATCACTCTCAGTCAGTTGACATCGTCAAACTTGAACGAGTTGGCTTCTAGTCTCGGCATGACTGTTCAGGAGCTGACAAGCTTGACCTTGCAGCAGCTGACAGAGTGCTTGGCGAGTTTATCGGCGAAGGAGACGACGGCTGCTGAAGACACGGAGGAAAGTATCATGCCGCAATCGACGACAACAACGACAACGTCAACAATGACAACGACAACGACAACGACGACGACGACTATTACGACGAAGGAGCAAGTGGTTCCCGTTAAGCCCGTGATGTCGACGTCCTCAACGTTGTCGTCGTCAAAACTGCTGGAGACAGCGTCCTTCATGTCCTCGGAATCTTTCAAACCTAGTTACGAGTCGGAGTCAAAGCAAGATGCCACGTACGACAAATACGCGGTCTTCCGAGAGCTGCTGGAAATGGAGCAGATGGAACAGCGTAAAGAGGAGGCCAAGGTGGAAGAGATGGTTGAGCAAGAGGAGGAACCCTACGAAGGACGAGCTTTCGACGAAGCGGAGATTCAGCCGGAAGCGCAGCCTGCTGAGAACACTTCGGACTCCATATCTTCTCTGGTGAACTTAACAGTCAAGTTACCGCCTAAGGGCGAGGATCTCTTAAAAGCAGAACCTGTAGGAAGACTCGTCGACAAGACGAGCGACTCTCTCGTAGGTTCATTGATGGAGAATGAAAAGTCGACGGAAGCCGCAGACAAGGATGTGGAGAAAGAGGACGAGGCTACGGCGGACATAGACGTCACATCCGATTCTTCCACAGTCCAACAGACGGAGATAGACGTGGAGGACGACACGGAGAAGACGCAGACGATCATGGAAGTAGAGGAGAAGACGGAGAACTCGGAGAAAGGTAGTGACGCTAACGGCACATCTGACAAAGTAGGTTCGGACATCCTCAACGAGGAGACGAACGGCTCTTCGGTGGCTGAGAGGTCCTCCGAGGTGAAGTCTTCGACGTCGACGTCAAGCGACAGGTATGCCGCTCTACGAGAGATCATCGGCGAACCGGAGCCGCCGGTGAAGAAAGATGACGAGGAGATGATGAGCTCCGCTCGAGCATCACCGGTGATACTCCCGCAGTCAACTCAGCCCAAGAGTTTGGCCGAGATGGAGTTATTGAATCTGTTCTCGGACAACTTGCCGCCACCGTCGAGCCCGAACATATCAGCGAAGAAGGATGATGTTCTGAAGAGCGTAGCGATGGATATCTTCGAGGAGATCAAGATGTTGAACAGCGGCACGCATCGCGCGAAGGACAGCAAACCATCGATGACGTCGGGCTTCGAGGACGTGTTCTGCCCGTTCACGGAAACGTCGTCGAGGCCGGACAAGGACGATGGCAAGGAAGACGGCAACTGGGCAAAGTTCGACACGAGCATCTTCGGCTCGGACAGGTCGTCCTGCGAAGGGCAACGGTCGATAGGCGGCACTTCGCCTTGGTCACCCGACGGCAAAGATTTCCACCGGGAAGTGCCGTTCAAAGGCAGCAGTGGGTATCGACATTCCGGCGATAGCGACAACGAATGGAAAGACGAAGAGGAGAGCGAGGAGAGTAACGGCAGGGTGCGCGGGGACGGTAGGTTTTGGTCTGGCTCGCGACATCCACGTTTCGACGCGCCAGGCTTCGAAGAGAGATTCTACGAGGAAGGCGACAAGCGTGATCGCAGCTTCCGCGACAGGATGAGCAGGAAGTCGCGTGCGGCGCCGTGGACGAAGAGCGCTGGCCACCGGCCGCGTGATCCCTCGCCTTGGCATGAGGAAGGCCAGTGGGAGGACGAGCCGAGGCGGTATCCGCACCGGAAAGTGCCCTACAAGGACGACGAGGATCAGTATGAGGCTCACTGGAAATGCAGACCGAAGCCGCAGGGTCGTTGCAGCAATTGGGCTCACGACGTTCACTATTACGACGACGAGCGCAAGCGAAAGTTGATACTGTGGAACGAGGAGCTGGAACGCTTCGGCAGCCAAGAGAGCATGGGTTACGACGAGGAGGACAGATGGAACAGGAGAAGGTACGACAGGCGAAGGTGGGAAGAGGATCCTAGATTCTGGACGAGAAGAGGGCCACCCGACGCCGATTATCCGATGAGAGACGCGTATTATTATTACCGCGACAGACCTCACGACTACCCGTCCACTTGGGACGAAGAGTATGGCCCGGAGCGTCCAGGAGACGACTCGCCCAGGTATAATCCGCCAGGCAGGAAGAGACACTGGCCGAAGAGACCCAACAGCGCAAACGAAGGTCGCAATTCCGACATGGTGTACGCGGATCCGCGTAAATTCGGCGCTTCCAGGTCAGTGTTGTCAATACCGGTTACCCGGATACTCGAGTATACGAGTCTAGTTGTTCCAGACATTGCCTGATTATCGATTTCTTTTAACGGTGAATAATGAACGAATGCAGAGAAATTTTCAAGCGTATAAATGACTCAATATCCGGATATGGTTACCATGCAAATAAAATTGTTTATTCGTTATTTATGACAACTCTATGCTAAAAGTTACGATAATTTATAAACAATTTATAATATATTTAGTATAAAATAACTACTATAATTTTTGTTAAATTGATTCGCGACTAATTTGAACCTGACAGTTCTCAGATAGCAATATTGCTGGCGCACTGTTGTTATAACATACGGGTGTATCCGTGAACTGATACAAATATATGACCAAGTTAAAAGCAGCTATGATATATATATATTAAAACAGAAATAGAAATAAGAAAAGAAACGTTTAGGATTGATATATGCAGGATGATAAGTACATATTCCGAAAATACATAGACTTTCACTTTGAAAGAAATCAACACATTGATTTGTTCAAACTCGCGACTACTTACTCGGATATCCAGGTAACACCCACGAGTTGTGGTAAAGCCAAATATAATGCCCAGGTGGCCAAATTTAAAAATATACGATAATAACAATACTACTCCAGATCCGAGTGCAGCGACAACGATTCGGACCCATATCTGGGTCTGCGATCGTCCCAACGTTCCCGAAGCCGTGAGAGCTACTGGGGTAGCGATCAGGAATACGACAGCTGGGTGGAACGACCGTACTGGTCCGAGGGTCCTGATTCCAAGAGCGAGACGCTCCATCGCAAGAGGATAGCGAGGCACAAAACGCGAGCAAGCCAAAAGACGCAAAGTCCGTTCGAGGATGACTTTGCGCAGAGCGTCGAACACGTGGAGTCGGCAGCGGCCGGCCCGGTCGAGCCCTTGGCACCGGTGGACACGCGTATACGACCGGAGGTCGCCGATCAGAAGCGAGAACCGCCACCGTCAAGTCCTTCGCCCGGCATCAGATGTCCGAAGGATCATCCGAGGAGAGACATTAGCAGAGAGTACAGCAAACGGTCGAGCTACTTCGAGGACGACCTCACGCCGACGGCGAGCGCTTCCAGCGACACCTCCGACAGGCAGAGATTGTCCGCTGACCTGAAAGCCACACCGGAGGAGTTGCCGTGCGACACGAAGGAGCCTCAACAGCCGATCGACGGTTTCGTCTCCGAAGACAACGGTCGCGACTCCTTCTTCAACGGCGACCTGAGGTTCGACGACGACGCTTTCGTCTTCAAATCCGAACTGGAGGACAACGTGCCGGACCATCGCGCCACCACGTTACCCTTGAAGAACTCCCGGCAAAAGTACGGGCCGGGGAATAACAATAACAACAATAAGGCGACCAGGGGCGACCAGTACATCAGGAAGTCGGAATCGGTCAACATCTTTGCGCGAGAGAGCGACCCATTCGACGGCGACGATTTTTTCAACTAATTCCCTGATGACCCATGATGACGACGAGAGGTGGAAGAGAAAGTCGCTGAAAAGCCGCGCTGAACGGCTCTTCGGTGACGATTCGGCTGAGGGTCGGCCACGTTTTCGTCGCGCGCGCTCGGGATACGTCGGCGGATCGTGAAGAAACGGTGAAGTCTCGCTACAGCAATACTTCGTTCACGTCGGAGCCGGCTAGAGCAATTTTAACGTAGCGAAATTGACGGAGGAGCGTCGCGCGCGCGCAGCGAACGCTGCTCGCGCACGTCCTCGGAAGTATTGTTAATAGTGAACTTTCGCCGCGCTTTCGTCTCGCATCACGAAACTCATCATCATTCTTCTGGAGAGATTTGTTCCAATTTGATTTAGTATTTTTACGATACTTCGTTGTGAAACTTTACGATGGATTTGTTTAGAGTATTCGTGTTATTTCGCCCTGGAAAAAAAAAAAGATAGGATCGCTTCGGTCTATCGAGAAGAGCCGAGGAAGTCAGTTTTCAGTCTGTCGTTGAAAAGGTCGATGGTCGTTTGGAATATTTCGTTCGAGATTACCGACTATATGAGATTACTACGACATTACACGACAATCGTTTCCGAAGGAAGTAGTCGCTGTTTTAACGAATTTGTATATATTATAGTTGATGTTAGGATCGATCTTTCCTTCTTTCTCTCTCTCTCTCTCTCTCTCTCTCTCTCTCTCTCTTTCTCTCTCACTCTCACTCTCTTGCTCTCTCCTGTCCCTTTCTCTCTCTGTATGCAAAGAGATCCATATGATTTCCAACAATTATACATTGCGTAATTGTTCATTGTTCATTGTTTGATTTCATACGATCGTGTAAGACACAGGCAGCAATACAGCCGCTTCGTCGCGGCGACGTCAGCTCGCAAACATACGATAATTAGCTGTAACTGTCCGAACGAACGATTCTAGTCACGTGTGCGTAACCGTTGCGTTTGGGAGCTTCGCGAGGGAGGTCAAACTACCGCTGCCGATAGTTTGGGGAAATCAAAACATGATTTTTATACATTTTTAACTAGCATGGATCGATTATATACTTTTTGCATTAGGCATCCCACACGTCACCGACGACGATGTGTATTCTTCTGCAAGCTCCCCTCCGATTCGCCGGTTCGTTCGGTTACGCCGCCGAGAAATCGCTCTCACGCGCGAGGAAGGAAACCTCGAGGAAGGTAGAATTACGTTCACACTGAACCGTTCTCCATTATGTTCGTCGTATTTTAATGTCTAGTCGGCCAAACAGGCGCGGGTACGATGCATTTTCATGCGAATAAGGCCGGATTGGAAAGAGAAGCTCGTTCGCGAAACTCTATCTCACACACGATACGATGATTGCTCGATATACTACAATGTTTTCTGCTATTTCCGGAGAACGTTGACTCTTTGTGGCTCGAATGTACTCCCGTTCCTCTGAGATCATGAGAGAATAAAAGTCGCCTCTTAGTAAGTGTAAAACAGGATACGTGAATATTCATATCGGTTTTTCGTACAATACATACACACACACACGCGCGCGCACATACTTTTCAAGTTAGAAAGATCCGAATCACCGCCAATTTTTCCTGTCCAATCCGGATTTACACGCAGAACACGCGCCATTTGTCGAGATTTATCGCAATTGCCCGCTCCTCTCTTCACATGATTTCAATTGACGAGTATTCTACTAGTCACCGAATCACTCAGCGATCACGCCGACATTTTACACTGTGTATGTATTTATGTAATAATAGTAGTAAATTATTTATCACCGTTTAAAATGATTACCCGACACTGTAATTGCGATTACACATCAGAAGGATAACGACAATACCGCTTCAATGGCAATTCGACTCCTTGTCCCAACATCCGTGAAATTTGTTAATATGCCAGACGGTCGATGATACATACATACATACATATATATATATATATATATATATATATATATATAATTGTGCAAATCCAAATCTCGCTGTTTTTACATGCGACTTTTCGAGAGATCGTGTAGATAACTTTTACTGCGAGTCTGCGATGGTCGACTACGGAAAGAAATCGGCGCGGAGACTGTACAAAAAATAAAAAGTAAAGCGAAAAAAGAAAAAAACAGAAAAAGAGAACGTATCGGCGATACGTGGCGGTGTCTTCGGCAAGCTGAACGATAATAATTACGAAAATAATAATTTGAAAATTTTGAAGCTTTTCAACGCTCTGTGTACACTCGAAAGCTTTCCTGTCGAGAATCGCTCTCCGAGAACGATAAGTAATCAAGCCTAAGACCAAATATTAGACTTTCTGTGTCACGCTAATGGTACGAGCGCAAATGATAAACTTACACCTCGTGTTCCAAAGGAGGATTTGCTAGAGCGAGAGTTAGATTTGTTTTGCAAACGGTGACTCTCTTCTGACAGCAAGCGGATAAGATCGATGTATGTGACAATTACTTTCGCGACGATTAGGTACATTCCTTTCCCTTTTTTGAGATTTCATTTAAGTACTCAACTATGATACAATAAATCTTTGCCATACGTGAAATTACCTGCTTTATGGAGATCCCGCTTCATTAACTTTCGCTTAAAACCTAGCGACCAAGATAAGAATCACGTAAGTATGCGATTGCGTCTTTAATCTCTACCAATAAAAAAATAAAATTTTATTACATAATCAGGAATGTATACGATCTTGGATCACTTATTCAAAAATTCCATATCGCGTGTAATCACGTTGTAATGGAGATATTTCGTTATTGAAAGAAAAACTGCAAATCAAGAAACGAATCTCAGAAAGCCAACTCAATTCTGTCTCATAATTTCGTAACCCTCGTCGTGAGACGCCTTTGGCGACGATTTTTCTTTTCTCCATAATTAACAAAAGCAGACTGATAAATAATATAGACGACAATCTTCGATCAAGTGGTGACGTCGTCAGACATCGTCGACAGATCTTCGAACAGTACATCCCTCCCTCCCGCGCGCGCGCGCGCGCGCGCGCCTACCGCGCCACCCCGTTTCTTGATTCGGCCGCGCACAATGCACAATAAAAGAGCATTAGATCGCCGGCTTTGTCGAGAGCGGCTGGCACGACTTCTCGCAACAATGGCGCGGCCTCCACTCGGCCACGGTGCTCGAAACACCTGGCAAACAAGGAAACAATGCGCCGCACGAGCCGCACTTCGACGGGATTTCGCGCATTTGGGGTGCGCGCACGCTAACAAATTATCACCCCCGCCCCGCCTTGCCGTGCTCGTCTCACCCTCGTCTATTTCTCTTTCTCCCTCGTCCTACGTCTTTCTCGCGCTCCTCACCTCCGCTCCGACCGCAAGTTCTACCGCAAGTCTCGTGATTAAGCGCGCGGTACAGGTACGAAAATTGAACGTTCCGTTTGACCATAAAAAAGAATAACCATGTTGTATATCCTTGGATAATGATTTGTTCTATGTATGTTTTCGAAGTAAACATCGGGCAATCAATCAGAAAAGTGTGTGGAGAAAAAACCAGTTTTGAATTTCTAAAGATGATCATTCTTGATGACATTCTTGATTACCGCGGAAATTAAAAGCAGTGATTTTCCCGACAAAAACGACCATAATAAATATAATAAATACAGAATATCATAAATAAAATATGGTGAAACATTGATAAAATAATCGCATATTTCGGCATAACATGAGCCTGCCTGCGAAAAGGCGGAGACATACATTCGAATTCACCATAAACGTAACGACGGCTTCTCATTTAACGCGATTCTCTCGGTATAGATAGTTGCAAACAATGCGTATAATTCAAAAAGGATCTCACCGGTGCGGTGTTGGCGAAGCAAAGTGAACAGGGAGCAAAACGCGCGTCGCTTTTGCGCGTAAGGTGACGCACGGCGAGGGATTGGAAAGCAGCAGGAGCAGCACGGGGCTGAAGAAGAGAAAATCAACCCGCATGTGCTCGTACATACGTACTCGAAAACGAAAAGTACTTTCGGCGGCTGGCCGAGAGCCGGGCGCGGAGAACGGAAACTATAAAATGCACCCCGACGGAGGGCGGCGGCGCGCCCTCCTCGGCCAAATGCAACTCTGAAAAGCCACGAGAAATGTTTGTAATTGGGATCGTTGGCCCGTCTACTCTCCCTACGTGCTCGAGAGAGCGTGCCCCTTTTTTGCTCGAGTGTCGTGCGCGTCCGCGAACGCTTTCGCGATACGCGCCGACGTTTTATTTCGTTAGAATGCGATACATTTCACCGGGTGACTCGCGAAGACACAGGCGTAATCCTCGGGACCCGATTCCGCGGATTCAAGCGAGCTTCTCTCTCGCTGAGAAAGCTCGAGCGAGCTCGTCGCTGTATCACCAGACAACCTGCTTCCAGCAATTTAAATCTCGGTAAGAGGACAGGCAGATTACATCGATAGCAATAATACCAATACGTGTAATTGCGGTCGATTAATTTGTCCAATCAAAAGTTGGGAATTTCCAAATTTCCGACGAAATTAGGAGCCGATAAATTTGTAATTCGGAAAAACTGCCAGACCACGGGTCATCACAAAATAATATTTTTGAGATATCGTCGATAATAAATCACAATTCTCGACAAGTAATAATCAATTTAGAAGTCTGTCGGAAATTTGCTGTAACCAAGTTCAAAGGCAACTCTCTTCAAATCATTCTTGATATTTTCCTCAATTCTCGCTTGTTATTTTTTACAAGCGACCAGATCGCGACACGGTTTCGTAATAAGACAGAGAGAGAGAGAGAGAGAGAGTATGTGTGTGAGAATGATGCGCGGTAATAAAGTGTCCCAACGAAAAACCTGCGATCGCTGGTAATTCGTCCGTCAAGTATTTCCCACTTACATAATGACGACGACATCGTTAGCGTCGCGCGCCAATGATGTGTCCATCAATATTTCATAAGTCTCGCAAAAGCATCGAGTGTTTACCGCGTCCCGAGCAACGAATCCTCGATCTCGTTCGCCGGTTAGGCCGTAAGTGTGTTCTCCGCCGGCAAATTTGCATTGAATTGAATTTCAGATTCGGATCGCGGCTTCACCGCAATCGGGCCGTCGAGGGGGTTCCTCTCTCCGGACCCCCACCCGTCTTTCTTCAATCTGCGCGAAATCGAATGAGACGATATACGGGGTGAGCCACGTAATAACTTGACTACCCCGGCTGTGTACCACCTCTCGCCGGTGTAGCGAGCGAAATTTGTTCGTCCGAACGCGACGCGAAATCGACCGAAACGCGGTTGTTACGTTACGAGTGTTGTCGAGCGGTTTGCGCTCTGTTCTCACTAATTAACATCAGCATGTCGAATCGCCTTACGAGTCCATCGAAGATGGACAACCGTATTGCCGTATGAAATTCGCGATGGGTCTTGCGGACAATTCAATCTCGACAAGGCGAATCTCCGGTTTACTGTGTCTGAACCGCATAGGTAAATGCCTGTTCTCTCTCGACGCGGTGCGGCAGGCCGGCGAAAGGGATGGATGGACATCTCGGCGGGAAAAGTGGCGGACGGAGTGAAGAAGGACCAGCCGAGGCTCTCGACTGACAGAAGTAGTAGTAGAAGGAGGAGGAGGAATAGGAGGAAAAGAAGGAGTAGGAGGAGAAGGAGGATGAGGAGAAAAGAGGAAGGAGAGCCTCGGAGCTCTCCGACGAAGCGGGAAAACGACGTCTTGGAAAAGGTGCAAAGCCGACAGTATTCTTTGTAGCGGGGATATTCGCCTTGTGCCGCCAAGACCTCTTCGCACTTCTTTACCTTTCCGCACTACCCCTACCTCGTACTCCTCCTTCCCAACGCTTTCGACTTCCTTGCACGGTACCTCCTACACCCTCGCGACAACGACGACGAGGATGTGAACGAAGACGACGACGACGACCACTACTCTAACATCATCGTCACCAACACCGTTACAAACACCACCATCTTTTCGACAACGAGCGGCTAGCAGTAGCGGCTTACTTCTCCACCCACGTTGGATCCCTCGCTCGACTAGAAGCTCTTTCGGCACGGGATATTTACCAACATCCAAGATGGCGGTATAATCTCGCCGGCTTTTCGTGAGAAGAGCCGCTACCGCCAACGACGACGACGACGACGACGACGACGAGGACGAGTTATCCGCATCGCGCGGTGCGGTCTCTTTCCGCCGGTAAACACTCGCTTTTTCGCCGCTCGCTCGCGCCCCCCACGATTCTTAGCGACTTTACGTCCCCGGCTTCTTCTTCGTCTTCTTCTTCTTCTCTTTCTTCTTCTTCTCCTTCTTCTCCTTCTTCTTCTCCTTCTTCTTCTTCTTCTTCTTCTTCTCTTTCAAAGTCCCTTTGTGGGCTTTGTGCTGCTCAGTGTCGTACTCGGGTCACCGCAAAGCGGCGGCTGGCTGCGGCTGCGCTCGTATTTCCCGATGCCAACTACGACGTGCGGTGCGTCCTTCTCTCTCGTGAGAGAGAGAGAGAGAGAGAGAGAGAGAGAGAGAAGGGGGGAGAGGGGGAGGGGGGAGGAAAGAGAAATTGAGAATTTTAGGTCGCGCTGTGGAGCATATGTACGACTGGTAAGATGCGTCAGCGCTTCCTTAATCCGCAAGTCTCTTTGCGATGCGCGGAAAAGGCGCGTCGCGCGAATATATCTCCGAGGAGTCCGTATTTGCTTGCAAAGTGGAAGCTGTGTACGTCGCGTGCACAGTGTCGAGCGCCGCTTTTATATTAAACGTTCGATCGGCCCTCACGAAGATTGGCCAAATCGAATCAGCGATCTGTCGAATCTAGCGGCAGCAGCAGCAGCCCGGCGAACGAGTTTCCTCCGCTGTTTCGTAGTTTCGTAGCCGCGAGTATAAAGTCGACACCCGATCGCGGTTCGCCCTGGAATTTCCGGAAGATTTCGTCCGTGGGGAAGGGCGCGGGTGAGGGTAAGGAATAGAGAGAGAGAGAGAGAGAGAGAGAGAGAGAGAGAGAGAGAGAGAGGAAGAGAGAAATAGAGGGAGAGGGGAAGAAATCAGGAGGTAAATACGAGAATGGCGAGAGTCCAGGGTAAGAAGCAATCGAATCGAATGGTGGAACTCTCGGAATCCGCAATCCGCCGCGAAGTGAATGGCGAACCTCTAAGAGTTCTATACCGGCTCCGCGGCGGCGCGTTTCCCTTTCCACCGTCCGTCCCATCCTGCTGTCGGTCTTAACCTAACCAGAACTTGAGATTAAGGCGGTAATCGCTGAATCGGCAAGGGAGACGAAAGGTAGAGCTCTCTTCCGACACCTTGCCGCAGATATTTGCGCGCGAAAGAAAGAGAAGATACGACGGCGCGGCGGAGAGAATCGCCTGACGCGGCGCGAAAATATTTTTACTGCCTCGCCGGGTCGACGATTTTTGTTTCTTCGCGCCGTAAAACGTAATTTCTTATTTCTGGTATCTGTGAATATCGATATACACAGCGCACTTTTACCCTTCTGTCGCACAAATAAAAAATAAAAAAGTGACAAACCTGCCTGGAATAAAAAATTGTGTTTCAACACGAACTGTACGGAGAGACGTTGCGATCTTGCGACTCCTACGATGTTCCTTTTTTTCTTTCTCTTTGACATACGAATTATTCGTGCAGCGTTGCTTTCATCGATTTGCAGCGGAGTTACCCTTTCTTACACCGATTTCCCTCTCGCGCGAGAACGTCGAGGTGTCAGGCGTTACCTGACGAACTATAAGCGATCAAAAGTGAAACGTCAAGGTGTAAAGAGACTTTCGAAAATAATAATGATAATAATAATAATTTTCATTCGCGTGCATTTCGCGTTGTGAGATTTCAGAGATATAGCGACACAATATCCGACATTAACATTAGCACGAGCGATATTGCAATCCGACACGCGAAGAGCGCGACAAAGAAGCGGAAACGTGGCGAGAGAGTGGTGGGTGCAGTAGTTGGCGAAGAGTTTCGCCCGTACGTGGAGTAAGTGCAATAATACCAGATTATTGGCACCGCAAAGCCATGCGTACGGGTAAACACAATATTCGCTCTCGGCTCGGTTCTGTGAACCGATAGTGCGCCCACGTAGACTCGCATCCGCATCTGTATATCGCGGTTCTGCCGTTTCAGTTTCTCTCTCTCTCTCTCTCTCTCTCTCTCTCTCTCTTTCCCCGTCTCTCATAGCGAACGCCCGTCACCCACCTCTCTGCTTCTCTTGCTCTCTCGCTTGTACACTGGCCGTCGCGAATGCCTCGACATTCATCAGACGCGTTTTGCTGAAACGTAGCGGGCAGAAAAAGAGTGCCGAATATTAAATAAAAATTGAGAGGTCAAGTGATTCAGTAACATTGTAATACTTGAACCCTGCGTGCGTGTGTTCACATGACTGATGATTAGCCAGATAAGCTTTTGTGCCTTTATTCTTGCTACTTCATCAGATATTTGTTTGTAAGTCACGCAAATATCTTTTCACGACAGGGGTAACACGCGAAGAAAAATAATGAACGCTGAGCGACTACTGAGCAATCCGATTGACTTTAGATACGTATCATCTTCATCGGTGTTTATGCATTATGATGAGCTCGATTTATAGCACCTGTTCGATAAATATTGAGGCATTTGTGACGCCCTGTATACGTTCCGCGTGCTTCTCGTGCTCGTCTCTCATCCCTCGCGTCATCTCGCTTTTGCTCCCTCCTCCTCATCCCTCTTGTCGTTCTCACCCTCCCTCTCTCTCTCTCTCTCTCTCTCTCTCTCTCTCTCTCTCCCTCCCTCTCTCGCTCTATCTCTCTCTATGTACTGCTCTGGCGTAATACAGATTCTATTTGAGCCGCCTCAGGGAAGTTAACTTGTGATGCGTGCAGCTCGTCTCGCTCTGTTGGCGATTCTACGGATCTAGTCGTTGGTTGCGGCACTCCCACGACGAAAATGCGACACGATAATGGCGCTTAGTTATTTCCTTAACCTTTGCATCGTGTTGCGTTGAGTTGCTCTTTCCAGATTTTTAATAAAAAGAGCAGACATGCACGCGTCGTCGTCACGATGCTTCATATCGGTGATGAGTGGGAAGTAACGTGCCGTGGTTTGAAAACCGCAGTAACTTTGACGGATATAAAGAATTACAGTCGAATTTATACTTTAATAAGTAAGAGACTAAGGCAGTCTTCGAATTGAAACGATCGGTTGAAGGCGTAAACCTATACTCGTGAATCAAGCTGTTCGAGTAAGTACGTAGCAAAGTGTAAATTTGAACGGGCAAGTAGATAATGCCATGCGTGGGCGGACGCGATGCGTCCGAAAATATTTGGACGTTGCTCCGCATTTTTCAAGCCGCGACTTACAATCTCGTGTCGTAAATCGATATTTATGGTAACAACAATCAATCAATCGATCAATCAACAAATTCGGGTAATGTTGTTCTTCCCGGCGCTTTATGAAATATACGTGTTGACACGCGGGGGTCGCGTTTAAAGATCATATCGAACGTGGGAAACATTTTCTGGTCGCGCCGTTTGCAACATAAAAAAGAGAAAGGAAGGGAGGGAGGGAGGGAGGGAGGGGAGAGGAGAGAAAGAGAACGAAGAAAAAAAGGGAAACGCGACCTCGTCGCAAAATGGGTATCCGCGAGCGATCGCTCGCTCGCACGAAGGTCGCGTCGCCGGTGAGCGCTCGCAGATTCGCGCTCGTGGCTCGCGCTTCTCCACCTTCATCGCGACGCTCAAAGCAAATCAGCCCCCGGAGTGTTACAATTTCGCCCTCCCTACCCCCGTGCCCCCACCTCGAAAGTCCCTTTAACTATCCCGCTATTTTCCTAACTCCCGTCCTAACCCCCTCCGGGGCTTTCTCCTCGTCACCACGTAGCCGCTCCTCCACCCTCGCCAGTCAGGGTGGAAACACGTCGGTCCGAGCACGGCGACGGTGGGGTGGCTCGTCTAACGGGGTACGAGAACGTGGGGGTTGAAACGCCCGCCCATTGGTCCGCCCACATAGGACCGGAGCGGCCGCTTCGAATCAATTCGAGCCTCGATCTCACCCCGTAGACGATCCTACGCTCGCGATCGCGCACCCTTCGCCGTCGTCGTCGTCCGCGGCCTCGCGATGTCCCCGTGCTGACCGTCTTAACCTCAAAACGCGACGCCGCGTTCCCCGTTCGCCAAGTTCAAGAGCGAGAAAGCCTGTCGGTGGAGCCTCACGAGGACGAGGTTACTGATGTGACTCGAGATTCTGAAGTAAAGCAGCGCAGCCAAGTTCTGAAAGACAATTTCACTGGAATCGAGAAGCGTCAACGATTCGTTCTCTCCGACGAGGAAGAGGACCGGACGACCGCGTCGTGTGATCGCGAGGTTTCCTCGCAGCGAGTTAGTCGACGGGGCTCGACGAAGATAGCAAGGCAAATTTTGAAGGTTAACATTGTTCGGATTAAAATTTCGAGTGTCTGTTCCTGGAAGGGAGGAAATCAGCTGATATCTCGTGATAGAGCGAGATCCACTTGGCAAGGAAAACCCATTGGGTTTCGCTTGGAAGAACGTGCGCGATGGAAAGTGTTCTCGCAGGCGAATCGCGAGAAGTATCCTTGACGGTGCGCCGGACTGACGCGTGCGACGCAATTTGAGAGCGCAAGTTGCTGCAAGACGAAGAAGCAGGGGAGTACGAGAAAAAAATCCCGTTATCGTTGTGGAAACAAACTATTAGCGTAAGATAGCACGCGTGTCAAGCGGATAGAGCAGGCGTATGACAGTCGCTGCGCTGGAGCACACCGGGGCAGAAGTTACTCGCGTGTCTCACCGACGGCAGATGTGCGGTTCGTAGGAGAATTCACTTCACCGTTCGTCACAGCGGTTCTTACTCGAGAAGTAAGGAAAGATCGAAGCTTTCAGCTGCAGCATTCGCTGAAACTTCTGAGACAGGACGCGCTCGTCGCGGAAACAGTAATTTATATCGAAGGAATCTCACGGACACGTTAGGTGAATAGAGTCTCGTTATATTTTAGTCAGAAGATTATTTTCGCGGACTATGTTGAGCAAAGATTTATACGATCGTTCAAAATGTTCCGCCGGCAAACATTGTTTCGCGAGTGATAACCTTCGCGGGACCACTCGGCATTCGCTATAATCAATTCAAAATTCGTGATACCGAATATCTTTCGTTGAAATCTATGGAATCTGTGGAAACGATACGCTGCTGTTAGAAAAAGAGTAACAGATTTCCGCCGGAAAAGCAAGCGTAAAGCAGAAAGAGAAGACGAAGAGAGAAGAAAGAGAAAGAGAAAGAGAAAGAGACAGAGAACGTTCACGTTCGAGACGACATTTGACGAAGGATGACAGCGAGCGGCGGCCTCGAACTATCGGTCGCAAGACCGTCGGCGAAATAGACAGCATCTCGGAAGCGGGCCCTTACGCTCATGAGGCGATCACGATGGAGCCACGTGCGATGATGATGTCGAACCTGTCGTGCGACGGCTGCGCGGACAGCGACCGGGACTCCGACAGCAGCAGCATGATCGTGGACCCGGTGAGTCTCGACAAGAACGATCTGTCGCCGTCGCAGTCGTCGTCGAGCCCGGTGATACCGAGTTCCCCGGTACCGACGCCAACGTCGACGCCGACGACGGCGAGAAGTCGGGGGGGCAGTAGCGGTAGCGCACGCTCCAAGAAGACGTACTCGATGATGTCGAGTCAGCAGAAATCCAGCGGTTCGAGTCAACCGTCGTCCGGATACGGCTCGGACAAGATGTCGTCGTCCTTGATAAAGCCGCCGTACTCGTACATCGCGCTGATCACGATGGCGATCCTGCAGTCGCCGCAGAAGAAGCTCACGCTAAGCGGCATCTGCGAGTTCATCATGTCGCGCTTCCCCTATTACCACGACAAGTTCCCCGCTTGGCAGAACTCCATCAGGCACAATCTGTCGCTTAATGACTGCTTCATCAAGATCCCCCGCGAACCCGGCAATCCCGGCAAGGGCAACTACTGGACCTTGGACCCCCTCGCGGAAGACATGTTCGACAACGGTAGCTTCCTGAGACGTAGGAAGAGGTACAAAAGGCCGCCACCGCATTACGTCCTGCGGGACCGAGCGATCATGGCGACCTTCGCCATCTGCGGCGATCGGGGACCCTGTCCAGGCGGCGGAGGTCATCCAGGTGCGTTGGCTTACCCCGGCGCCGCTTACCTGTCGCCGCCGCCTGGTCTACCACTGTTGGACTTCTCACCGTCTACCCTGGAGGCACTGAAGCTCGGCGGCTTCCTGGAGCCTCCGCCGCCGCTTTACAAACCGGTGCCCATTACGGCGCCCCCGATCAGACAAATCGACCCGACCCCCGCGAGGATCACGACGATACCGGCTAGTCACACAAGCGTCGACAAGAAGCGGAACTTCAGCATAGACGCGCTCATCGGCAAGCAAGCGGCCAGTGATCAAAACTGCGGCGCATTACTGGACCTCAGCCCGTCGGAGCACAGGGAGATCAGAAGCCAAGCGTCTGCGTTCTCGCCGCTCGTCTAGGAGACGTCTTTGGTGACGTTCTCTGCTGATTGTCGAGGCAGAGAGGCAACCAACGGTGGGTGGTGACTTTCGAAAGCGACGAAGAACTGATCGTTTTGTAGGATCCTACGGGGCGATCAGAACGCGCTCTCGTCATTTCTGGAGTTCGAGTTTCGAGAGCGTAACTAACCGAGGATACGTCAAATGTGTCCGTGTTCGAAGAGGAAGTTTAGTACTGTTGCTGAGCAAAACGTCGTCGCGCTTTGGGAGCCAGAAACTTCAGCTCTTTCAGGCAGATCCGCCGCAAAGACTTCCGGGGAGTTCCCTATCCGAGAAAAAGAGTGATCGCATTGCGACGTGAACACTGAACTATCGCGTTATCGAATAGTGACTGTCTCGAGTCTCACGTTGGTGAATCGTGCGTCGCTGATCGGACGCTTGGCACGGAGTACTTCGAAGAGATGCTTTACGATCTCCGACAAAGTTTCGGCCAATTGCACCGCGGTCATTGACTCACACCGAAAGCGATAGTAACTGAATGCGTCAGTTTATCAGATATCTTCTGATAAATGCTGTCCAAATGAATTTGACATTTTCATATTGCAAATGAGTGGACTCGACAAATTCTAGACATTTTCTTCTTTCCGTAGACAATAATTCATCAAAATCTGCAATATTTCATTTCAAAAGAAGCTGTTGAAGTAATATGTAGAATCTTTGTCATTCAAACCTTGTCATATAAAATGTATTTGGTTACGGATGTATTATCGAGCAATTACAATGATGTTTATTCGAAAGCATCGAGGACACTTGTATCACAAACGTCCATCATTTGAACAGACATTTGTCCATCATTATTCGCAATGGATTTGTTACGTTCGACGCACGACCTCTTAAATGAAAGTTCAACATAGATCTTCGGGAAGCTCCGGTGAGATGCTCGCTCTGCATTCTGCGTTTTCACGGTGAAATGTTCAGCGATTGCAAATGATAAGAAGAACGTACGCGAAAAATCGAAGTTCGTGGCATTATCTGTGTTACCTAAAGTCCCAGTTTCCACTCGGTAAGGCGAAACACAAATCGTTCTTTGCATAATCGAGTCAGACCTGGCGCAACATGCTAGGTGATCGTTTCCTACCGAATAACCGTTAAGGATGAACCGCAGAAATTATAGAGGGACGTATGAATCGATTTAATGAGATGTATATCGAGGATAATAACGCATCCCGCATTATATATATATATATATAATATATATATATATATATATCGGCGCATCATTGTAAAAAGGCGTAGTGCAATAGCGTGTGTAGCGTTTTATTTCGTATGTCGCGGCGCTTCTTAAAACGACCGGTGGAAGTAAATTATTGACCGATTTCTTTTTTGTAACTTGAACTTTCGCTACAGCAAGTCCAATTCATCGACATAGTTACTCGACAAATGCATTCTTTTGGAGGTAACGACACTCGCGAGGAAATCGGTAGCCTATTCGCGATATTTGACAGTTGCTTAATTATAAATTAATTCACGATCAATTGCCGGTTCATCTTCGTGATTTTAACGTAACGTTAACGATGTTCACGTAGCATCACCTCGCATGCGTAAAATTACTTTCTGATTTCTACGGATAACCGGAGAAATTAAACAATAATGTACTTCCACTCGCCGGGCGATTCTTTTGCAAGCAAAGTTCGTCGTGCGAATGAGTTGGCCGCGCTCCCTCCGATTCCGCCGTTTCACTTTCGTTGCTCGGATTCGTTCGGTTAGACGAATAGTCGGCCGTTTCCACCGCACGGTCGATTAATATCGGCATTGTAAATACGCGTCCCGAACAAATATATGCGCAGCACTCTGTTATATAGCGGGGAGCACTTTTCTTTGGCGGATTTAACGTAAGGCCGCCCCACACGCTCTCCTCAACTCCCATTTAGCCGTGAGCGGTCAAGTAGACGTTTGGTGTACATACATCGAAGTAGCGCGATCCGTATGTTATTGTGAATAACTATATCGCATTTTACAGTTTAACATGCATTCTCCGTCTCGCGCGATAATTTCGAACGAAAATGCTTTCGACCTGTCGCATTCTGCACCGTGCGCGATAAAGGGGGTAAATGTATTGGGTGATATCTCATACCGCGAGTCTATATATCGTCTACATCGTGCAACTTTTTTGCAACTTACACTGGACAAACAAATGAGGCAGCTCTAGTTTTATCGCAAATGGTAATGGAGCATTTTACGAAAAATATAACCTAAAGTATGACCAGAAGAAAATGTCGATTAATTAAAGGGAAAAAGGAAGAAGTCTCGGTTTTAAAAGTTTGGGAAATTAAGTCTCTGTTGAAAGATAAAGTTGGATTTTGCGGCAAAAACTGATGGAATTTGTGTGTAGGAGGAAGCAAAGAGAGGGCGAGGGGGGAGAGAGAGAGAGAGAGAGAGAGAGAAAGAGTTTCATCGATAAAATTTAAATTTGTCGAGGTTGGGCAATTTGCACAAAAAAAAGAAAAAGAAAAAGAGGAGTGAGACCACTAAAGAGCGCAAGATCGATTGGTACACTAACTTGACGCTTGCACGACGCGAGGCGGCATTGTGTGAAATTTAATTAACGATGCGTAAATCAATTAGGCGGGCTTATGCAACACGTTTCAAAGTTGAAATTAATGCATGATGTAATTTACATTTAACGGCGAAATTGAAACCCGTCGAATCCGGATTATTTCAATATGGATAAACACGCCTATTTCTACATCGCGATGGTCAATGTACTCGAAATGCGGAGTTCTCGTAACGCGCGACTATTTAGCGAATTTTAACATGGCGATATAAACACACGCACGCACACACACGTACACACGGTATATTTTACTAATCCCTAAATATTTTTAATCGTTACGAGAAAAAGATGCCGCGTCACTCCACTCTGTTCCTCCGCTAAGAGTAAAGCAGCGAGAAGCCAAGATGAATATATGTTTAGTTATAGACTACTGCGATGATACACACACACACACATACAACACACAACCTATCGTTAAAAATCGTCTGTAGACTTTAGTAAGTATTGTATGTGTCAAGATGATAGATTTATAACATGTAATGAAAAGAAACAATAAAGTATCGTTAAGTATATGCGCGCACGAGACTATTCTTCCCAGTATCTCCCGGCGTCGTTCTCACTCTCTCTCTCTCTCTCTCTCTCTCTCTCTCTCTCTCTCTCTCTCTCTCTCTCTCTCTCTCTCTCTCTCTCTCTCATCATCGATGTAGAACAAACCGAGCGAAGCAATCCTGATAACAATTCGCAACGATTATCGCGAGGAGGAGAAATAATCTCCGTCGTGAAAACGCGTACCGGACGCGATCCGTCGATCATCCGACGAGCAATTAACACTCGGGCAAGGAAAGACGCGGGGTGCGAAATAAGACGGTAAAGGAGAGACTTAGGAGAAGCCAACACGGTAAAAACGAAGCGGAAACGGAGTGACGAAGAGAGCGCGGTACAAAGCAATATCTTGTTTACCCGCTTCTCGACAATAGCAATGGCGAAGTGCAGAACAGAAGAGAAGGGAAGAGAGAAGAGAAGAGAAGAGAAGAGAAGAGAAGAGAGTAGAGAAGAGGGTAGCGGCGGCGGCGGCGGCGGCGGCGGTAGTGACGGCGGTGGCAGGCCGGAGGAGAATGAGTGGATTTTCATTGCAGTTTAATCCCCGTCCCGTGCCCCCCCTTGACGGTATTCTAAACGGCGATACGAAGGCAACTCTTGTCGCTTGGGGTGACGATATTACATTCCTCGATCGTGACGAAGATAACGGGCTGCCGCATCTCGAGCGGCAATTCGAGCATCGCGTTAAAACACGCTTCTTCTAATCTCTCTCTCTCTCTGTGTTTCCCTCCGTCACCCTCTGCAGCCGCCCCTTCCTACTGCTCCCTATCCACCTACCTTCCTTCCTTCCGTCTATCATCGCTATCTATTTATATGCGGCTCTTTGTTTTTATCTCTGGCCGGGAGAAAGACACGGGACAGGAAATTTACGACGATCTACGGGCGCGATGACAACGCGGTCGTCTATTTTCGGTTTGCTAAAGCAACTATTATTGCACCGTCTTGCATACGAGTAGACGATGAACCGAGGCTGGCGAAATATAACTCTACGTGTCGCTGAAGGCGAATGCCTCGCGCTCAGTAAACGCAGCTCAGTTAAGACCTGCACACGTTATCTTCTTTCACGCTGTTAACGTGATCAACTTCACATGTTTATCGCTCGAATCGTCGAATCGCAGCAAAGAACGCTTATGTAATTGATCAACAGCGAGAATCATCGATGGAGGATGAGGATTTTCCTTCGCGCGAGAGTCTTAGATCAACATTAGATTTATCACAGATTGTCTGATAAGATTGGCACACACGCTAATTCGCCGCTAAATAGAGAACTTTTGCAGAGTAGCTATAATCATCTCTTTTCTTGCCCCTCGTCCGACGGTCGACCAAATTCATTGTAAACTGCTCGTAAGACACGTGCCGTGTTGGTCATATTATATTTCGATAAAGAGAGAAAACTGATACGCGCGCGCGCGCGCGCGATTTCACTGCAGAACTTGCGACGAAGTCGTTGGTGTCGCCAAGATTTACGGCGGCGCGCACGCGTGCTCCGAATAACGATACTGCAGTTTGCAAAGGCAACTATTATTGCATTATCTCAAACGCGTTGCACGCGGATAAACGCTGCAAGTATCGCGGCCAATAAATTAATCACACACGCGCGATAAGACGCCCAGGGTCGAGGAGAGAGGAAATTCGAAGGTAGGTCAACACTAAATCGTAGACAAACGCTTGCCAATCACTTGACTTCGCACATCGTCAAACAGCGAGCCGTCTCGAGCGAGCGCCGACGATCGTTTGCGACGACGACGTACGGTCGCATAACAACGTTATCTCGCGTATATTCGTTGCCGTTGCCGCATAATCCAGACGTGAGATCGTGAGATAATGAAGCGCAGAATCGGCCGAGAGAATTCCACATCGCGAATTCTACGGCCGCATCGCAGGATCGCAGCTCGCTCTTCATCCTCAGGGATGGCGAGATCCAATCGTGGGCGGGGGAGACGGGACAAGAGACCCAACTTGTATTATTGTTCGCGCCGTGTCGTCGTCGTCGACCTTGCGTGAAGATTTCAAATTGTTCTCGGTAACAACGTGGATACATCTCACTGGGAGAGATCATTCAATCGAGGAAGTACGTAAATTACAGCGATGTAACCATGAAGGAACCACGCCGGCGGACTCGGCAAACCGTCCGGGTGGTGATACGCACTCGTCCTTGTAACGAGCACAGCTAAGTAAGTAGTAGTCGGCGGGGAACGTCGGCGGGGCGGCCGTGTATCGTCGTCACGATCGTGGTTCTTCGCGCGTGCAACACCCCTTTAATCGTCCGTCAAGTGTGTGTGCATTCGGAATGTAATATATCCTGGCGGCCACGTGCCGCTCACGTGCCGCTAAGTGTTTGTTTCGGTTTGCATTGTCACCGCGGATACAAGCGCGCCCGTGCCAAAGGCCGAGGGAGGAGGCGGGCGAGTCTCTCGCGCCCTCCCTCCTCCCACCGCCCCCCTGCTTCTTCTCTCTTTTCATAACTACTCGCATAGGGGGTAAATAATGTGCCGGTGGTTGACAATTAGAAGCGATGGGAACGAGCTTCATTATGCGATGGGGGGAGCCCTCTGATTCGCCGTATCGAGCGTATATCCGTGAAACGCGAAAATATTTTCGATAATCGCCGACTACGTCGCCCGCGTGCGAAATCAGCCGAGGGTGGAAGAAGAGGGGGCAGGGTGCTCGGCTCGTGCTCTCGTTCGCACCCTGTCGTGGGTGATCTCGTATGAAGATTTCAAACTGTTCTCGACTGTAACGACGCGAATCCATTCAGCTCTATCAGGAGATCTATCTCGTTTAAGCGAGACAATATGTAAATGCTCAATTAAACAGAAGACTCTGCGATGACACGACGTGAAATAGTCTCTGTCGCGTTACGTCGACAGCCGAAGTCGGCTTTCGTCAGGCTTGTTCTAATTAATTGCAGAAGAGCTAAGCCTCAAGTGCAAACAAACATAATGGCAACACGTTATTCGCTAGACTAAAGATAAGAAAGGTGTTATCGGATATGCAAGGGACGCACGACAAGGACGAAGTAAGTGCGACCATTACTAAACGATGCGGAGGCGCTCGACATCTCAACTACGTCGTTGAGACCTCGTCATCGCAGGGGTTAGAGGGACGACGAAGCTCGAAAGAAGCGCACCGGATCATCCACGCTCGATTTTGCGGAAACTTAGCAATTACGTGCACCGGAGAGTCACGACGGCAGGTCTTCCTCGCTGTTTCGGGGTGGTTGCGGGGCGAGGAGAGTATTAACACGATGGACACGCGACACTCACACATACGCCACGCAGGTGGTGGTGTGGTGTGGAGTGGTAATAAGTCGTCGGGACGCGGACGTTGTACATACAAGAGAGAGGTCTGGTAATCAGCTACTTCGCTTCCCGGCCAGAGAAGAGAAAGAGAGAGAGAGAGAGAGAGAGAGAGAGAGAGAGAGAGAGAGAGAGAGAGAGAGAGAGGCAGCAGGCAATGACCAATATTATGATAATTCGAGCCTCTCGCGTTTTATCCTTCCGCGTCTCCCTCTTCTGCTCTCTTCCTCCATCAACTTTCTCTGGTCCTACTCCCGCCTGTGCTGCTCCTCTCATCTCTGCACGAAGAACGAGAGGAATCGGGTAAGCACTCGGTTCACCCGCCGCTCTCGCCCTCCGATCTCATCCTGTCGTGCAACCGGAAGCGCTACGGCGGCGGCCATGTTTCAGAGGCGCGGGCGTGGCCTTCCGGTTGCCCGGGGCAACCGGCGTTATCCGGATATCGACCTGGGAGCGACGAGAAGGGTGGCTAGGCTTCTGTCCGGGAGGGAAAATGTTATCACTGCTTTGTGGTGGCTAAGATAGCAACCCGCCCTTCCCCGCCGTTCCTGCAAGCCTCTCTCTCTCTCTCTCTCTCTCTCTCTCTCTCTCTCTCTCTCTCTGTCTGTCTCTCTCCTCCTCCTCATTCTCCACCTCTTCTTCTTCCTTCTTCTCTCCCTGTCGTCCTGCCCACGTTGTCCTCTGACTAACCCCTCCCGTCCGCAGATCCTCGTCTCTTCTACGCGATTCTCCGTATTACCCGTCTACGCGAAAAATGCAGGACTCACCTCGTGAGCTTGATGTATCCTTGAAATGTGTGTACGGACGGTTTCTATGTCCTGCGTGTGTATGCGCGTACAGATCGTATTAGGTCCCTGCGCTTTCGCGCACAGGAAACTTCCGCGCGGCTACGTCGCGAGAATCTCAGCAGAGAGAAGGAAAATTGGAGGGTTGATGGTTCTTCGGTTTTCTACAGCTTGGAGTCGCGGCGAGTATACCCGGCATCTTCGGGTAAACTAGCCCCGAAAGTGCCGGGACGGAGATACGCGAAATTGACGCTCCACGCGACACGCGAAGAGGGATGAAAATCACGCGATTCTTCAACGAATCTTTCGCATTGTTTAGTACGAGTATAATCGCACCTCAAAAACTGCCAAAATTCTTTGATAACGATTAGATGCGCGTGCGACAATGTTTGTATCACGATTATCACGGAAATATTCGTTTCGTTGTATTCAGGAGTATTATAAACATTTGCCCGACGTGAAATTACAAGGACCTTGAGATGATTAAGGGGTGAAATCCTGTCGCGCTCTCCTACATAAGGAGGACATCGTGTACCAGCTGCTGCCGTGTCCTGGCGTGCTATGGCATCCTGAGAATGTGTGTGCGAGCCAAGGATGATATTAGATTCTTGGACAAAGTTTTCGCATGGCCGAGGTCTCGAGAGCAGTCCCGGAGACTGCTCGTCCCTGAGCAAGGACGCGTGTTATCCTTCGGCATTGATTTCTTCCCGGCTTCTTCGCCGCCTCGTCGTTGCCGACGACAAAGAGCCGAGAAATTTCATTCGAGCGAGAACCTCCGTTTAACCTCTCCCGTATTATTATTAACTTTAATTATGATATTGCAGCACACACACACACACACGTAGATGATCTAATGTTTTC